CGAATCACGGTCATCTGGAACTCGGTGAAGGGAAACCGAATCCCTAACTTGGTAATCAGATCCCGGTAAAAGAAAAAGAAATGGGGCTCGTCCAAGATAGGACCCGCACACACCGGATGATCACCTGCTGGGAGCATATCCACCCCCACTGGGGTTTCCAACTGGAAGTTGGGCTACGTCGGCAGGAGACATCGTAGATCGCATGTGAAGGATCTCAAGAAGAACCCAATTTTGGACGTCAGAATCTTCTATAGCTATGGTCCTGGAACACGAAAAATGAGGATCAGTACAAAAATCAGCCAAATCCGATCTCGGACTTTCGAGATTGGATGGCAACGAGCGCGGACTCCATGAAAACGGAATGGAGCTATCAGAACTACTGACTAGATTGACAAATGGCATCCGACTTGAAGTCGAATCGCCAAAAACAAAAGGGATATACGACTCTGGAAATAAACCCAACTTGGATGAAGAAAGGCTGGAAGAACTATCATCCAACTGAAGGGGAGGAATCCGATCTAAAATGGACCTCGGACCACGGGCGACCTGGGATGACGGTAGAATGTAGGATAAAGGAATCAGGTCAGGAGAAACGTTCAACCCACTCGTTGAAGGACTCGAGGCTAGAGAATGACCACTAATGCCGAAGTAAAGCTGAGGCTGATAACCCCCTCCTCTCCGACCTCTTCTGCCACGTCCACCTCGGGAACTCCGGCGACCTCCTCGAGGACCGCGGAGAAGCTGTTGAATCTTCTCCTCCTCGGTGTACTATCTCCCATAAAACCAATATTGCACAGATCGAGACAGTTGTTTCATTATTTCTTCGTCATCCTTACCACCTCGGCTAGAAGCCGGACCCGAAGAAGTGATGGGAATATTCATATTCAAGTCCCAAAATCACAGGCAAACTCCCTCAAAACTCTTGAACAAAGACTCAAAAGAGACACAAACTTCTCCCAGCACCACAACCGGAAATAAACCACTAAATCCAAACTCAAATCGAAAAGAAACACAGGTGGTAACCGAACCAAAGCGTTTGAGCAAAAACAAAGAAGGAAGGAAGGAGTACCTGAATAAAAGGTGAATGAAGCAACTGGGAAATAGCTAGAGAAGAAGCGAACTCAATGAGAACCTCCAAGAACAGCAAAAAGAGAAAACACTCGATGAAGACAATGCCAGGAGAAAAACCCTATACCATTTTGGAAAATGGTATTTAAAGGGAGACGAACCACATGCGCGAAGATAAAATGACCCCAAACGGTTGAGCAGTTAGGGGCCAAATGATAAAATCACTCCTACATGCATTTAATAAGCACAATCATGACCTGCACACACTCAGGACGGCGCGCCCTGCACGATGCACAAACTGCCAACAGATGCAGAACACGTAGATCGTGGTAACCGTCACAGCAGGGCCTGAAACGAAAGGTCAAGCTGATACGATAAGATCAAACTTCAAGCCCCGAGCTCCAAACTCGCCTTAATGTCGCAGGTCAAACAATGAACTCGACCATGAGGTCGCAGCCGAAAGTCGTAACATGACCAAGAACTCAACTCGGCCCGACACAACAAAGTCGAAACTCGGAACAAACAATGCCTGAAGGCATAGGTCGGACTCGTGGCGAATCCGACATGTTAAAAATCGATCTCAACGTACAATACCAAGGAAGGTCAAAAAGCATCACGCGAACGATCTTGGCAAAAGTGATTCCGAGTAATGTCGTGGACCCGAACTTTCAAAGGCTCAATACCGAAACAAGTGAACTCGGATGAATCAAATCCGAGATGATATAGCAAACACCTCGGCATTCCTAGCCTCAGAATACAAAGTTAGGGGGCAACTGTTATGGATATGAATATCATATCCCAACTACTCACCTAAGAATCTACTAAGAGATAGATTCATGAATATCTCAACAACATTAAACAGTCAAAGGGCACAAGATACGGGTCACATCCCAACAGAAAGGGAGCTGAACCCTAATGCAATCTGAGGAGCTCAAAAGACCCAAGCCTAGAAAGGTAATCCTTATAAATAAGAGTCTAAGGACCACAGGTACACACTTTGAACCTATTTACGAATACTGCCCACACTGTGCACACACCTACCCCTTGGCTATAAGCCTATTGCTTGTACGCAGTGATTAGGATATCGGCGATAAACCTAATATACATCTGATTATACACTATCTCTGAGCGCATACCTCACGGTATAGCAATACGGTCTGTCCAGGACCTAACACCATCCAATTTTTAAATGTATCTTTGTCATTTATATGCTTTAACTATTCCTTTAAATTTTGACATGAACAAATTAATATCGAGAATATTAAATAAAGGCTTCTCTTATCTCATATGACTTGAGGTAGTACACAACAAGTGATGGGGCCTACCATTTGTTAAAAAAAAAATGCTCAGATTTTGATTTCTCACAACATGATAAAGTTATCTCCTATTGCTTGCTAAAATGATTTCCCCATTAAATAATCAAGTGGGCTCAAATGAAAGAGAGGCGTGGAGCGAATCCAATAACAACAAATCACAAAAAGAAATAAAAATTAAGAATTTAGGGTTTAGATAAAAAAAAATGGGTTGACCCGCAGTTAACCCCACCTAACCCAAATGAAATGAAGGTCATTGATCTAAGGTCGAAAATAACCTTACCATATGTGAGCTGAAAATAAGGGTTGGAAATTTGGATTGTACGGCTGGCTGCGGGCTGGAGCCCTTATTGACAACTCTATTCAATATGCATAAAAACATAATTAAAAACAATAGAAAGCCATCGACAAACGAAGTTTGGTTAGATATTAAATACACAAGATCATACAATACAATCAAATACACTCATGTAGAACAAAACCTATACAATGACACATGAACCCACACAAACTAAACCCTAACCAATAATTGATAAAAGCCTTTGGCACTTGTTTTTTAAGCTAAAAGTTATTTTTAAGCTAAAGTTAAAAAAAGTAACTTTGAAATAAAGTGATGAGTTGTTTGATAATTATATAAAAAATTTAGCTTAAAAGTTGTTCATTTAAAACAAAAAAACACATTTCAAAAAAAATCTGATACAACTTAAAAAAAGTTCATCCCAAGAGCTTTCGATTTTTGGTCTTTTTCTTCATTATAAAAAAAGCTTTTTTTATTTTAAGAGTTTTTGTAAAAATCTGTTTGGCCTAATTTCTACTTATAAAGAGAAATAAAGATAAAAAAAAGACCTTCTAAACCGAGACAAAATATTACATCAATGAATTAAGCATCATATATTTTGCCCATTTCCTTTCATGATCACAACACTCAAAACCCTCCAACAACACTTGAGATCTCTAATGACAAAAAATTCATGCTTGAATACGACTATGGGAACAAAATTTGTGAGAACAAAAGAATAATAAGTGCCTCAATTTTGCTTGTGATGCTTTACATGATCCACATGTGCGCTAACAAACGTTACAATTAGAATGTGCACGACAACTATTTTGTTATTTGGCACTTTTCTTAAAATAAACAATTATTTTCTATTTCAGTATCTTGAAACATTTTCTAAGAAAAAAATGGATTTGATATTATATTCTATTTTTATTCAGAGAATGAAAATTGTGTTTGATAACACAACAAATAATAGAATAAAAAATTATTTCTATTAAGCATAATTTTTTTTCAGATCATCACTTTTCTTTTCATATGGTGTGGTGGTGGTGGTTACAACATGATACTGGTGGCGGTGGTAATGGTAGTGGTGGTGGAAGTAGTGTAGGTGATGGTGATGACTGTAGTGACTGCGGCGAAAGTGATGCATTTAACGTTTTTAAAGTTAACCATACGTTGTAGGAAATTTAATATTAGTAAAATTAGGGAAAAGTTTAAAAACTTTCTCGTGATTTATTCTTTTATTTCTTACCCTCTATGTTTTTTTCTTGTCATTTACTTCTCCTATGATTTTTTTCTATCCAAATCCACCTTTAACACCATTAGTAATTGAACAAATTTATTCATTTTATTCATGTTTTACCTGCATCAAAAACACTAATCTATCATTGAGATTTTGGTCAAAACCATGAAATCATCAAAGGGAGTTTGTTGCTTGGGGACCAAGATCTTTATATAAGATTAATTAGTCACTTTTTTTTTTGGAAATATTTCAATCGATTTATTGCTTCGCAACTAATCCGATTCGGGGCAGGTCCATGATTAAAACTTTAAACTCCTTCCAAATGTGGTACTGGAGAGATTCGAACACATGCTCTCACCCCATCTGCTTAGCTCCCATGCGCCAACTGAGCTACCACTATTTGGTGCATTAATTATTATTATTATTGGTGGGATATGTTAAAATAGGAATAAAATGAATAAATTAGTTCAATTACTAACTATGAAAAAAATCATATTGGTGGGAAGTGATAAGAAAAAAAACTTGGGTTAAGTAACAAAAGAGTAAATCAGAATTTTTTTTTTAAATTTATGAAATTAATATTTCTAATATTGTAAGAGATAAATTTATCTCTTATATACGAGGCACAAGTGAGAAGAATAGAAAAAACGAGTTTCATACACTTTATATATATATATATATATATATAAGGTAGGATCCTTTGTCACCGGTGTCAAATTTCAATTTTGACACCTCATCTCAGAACCGTTAGATAAAAAAAAATCAATGACTCTGATTTGCAAGCATCCGACACCATTAATTTTTTTTGATCTAACGGTTATAAGATGAGGTGTCAAAATTAAAATTTGACACTAATATCAAAGAATACTGCCTCTATATATATATATATATATATATATATATATATATATATATATATATGAGATAAAATTTATGTGCTATGACATGATAAACATTAAACCCAAAATTTATTTACTAGATTTTATGATAAAAAGTTGGATTTTGTTAACATGAAATTTGCGCATAAAAAGTAGTTCGGGTTGAGGATGGCCCGTTTTGAAATGAGAATTGTCGAATCCGATTTCACCCGTGAGGAGGAGTCAGTAGCAGTCGCTATAGTCAGGAGGAACGGGACGCCAAGGTCTAAGTAAAGTAGTATGTATGTATGAACATTTAACACTGTAACCGAACTAAGCTTTGATCTAACTTACTAATTGTTATTTTCATCAATTCTCAATTTACGTTTATTTTGCCAGAAGATGAAGCTCGGAATGGGAATCATTGTCCTCATTTCGCTCGTGCTGCTGTTGGTGTTGTGCGCCCCATTTTCTTCTTCAAAACCCAATGACCCATTCCTCGGAATCGCTCCCGAAGGTTCACCTTGCTTCACAGAATTTATATTATTTTTATTTTTTGACATTTTATAATATTTATTTTATATCTTAAGTTAAAGTAATCGGTGTTAGTTACTCTTTGTTACAGATGACAAGTATTACAAGTCATCAGATGTAATAAGATGTAAAGATGGATCTGGAAAATTCACCAAAGCTCAGCTCAATGATGATTTCTGTGACTGCCATGATGGCACCGATGAACCTGGTTTTTTTATTTTTTATTTTTTACATTCTCTGATTCAAATATATTTTTTTTTTTTCATATTGGATCATAGGTTATTCCTAAAATTTCTTTATTTTTTATTTTATTTTTGCAGGTACATCAGCATGTCCGGGTGGAAAATTCTTTTGCAGGAATTTAGGACATGTTTCTGTTTATCTGTTTTCATCTAGAGTGAATGATGGAATTTGCGGTGAGCAGGATGTTTATATAATTTTTAACTGTTTGTATGATTCCTATTGTGTGTGGTTACTGCTTAAGCTGAAAAATCAAAAACAACGATAGAGAGGAAAAAATTTGAAAGAAGAAAAATGTCCAAACTGGTTAAATATGCATGTTAAAGATCTTATCTGTGCAGATTTAGAAGGATGTCTAAACATTTAGTATAAACTAAACATTTTTGGATCTGTTGTACATGTTTTGGACTTATGGGAGTGCTTTCATTTTATCTTGTTATTCTCATTGGGAATGTTCCAGTCTTTTATAACATAGATATATGGCATAGAGATTAGATATGCTGATGGAGAAAAGCTGGCACTTGATCTAGGTGCAAACTTTTGGGGACATACCAAGATCATTTTAGTTGTGTCTAGAATTTCCACAGCTTTTAAAGTCCCGTCACTGTGTAACAAGTTTGATGAGTATGGTGAGCGCACCTTATGATTTGATCCCCTACTGACATTGTGGATTTGTACAACACCTCTAAAAGTTAAAAATAATTGTTATCTAATAAATTACTAGTCTTTAGCTTGGATTATTTCTAGAGTGTCTTGTGTTCTGTAGCTCTGAAGTGATTTGTTTTACTTTCCTGCCATAATGTGTAGATTGCTGTGATGGAACTGATGAATATGATGGTAAAGTAAAGTGCCCAAATACCTGCTGGGAGGCTGGGAAAGCTGCTCGAAATAAGCTGATGAAAAAGATTGCTACATATCAAGAGGGTGTCAAATTGCGAAAGCAAGAAGTTGAACAAGCTAAATTAGATCTGGCGAAGGATGAGGCAGAACTTTCAAAATTGAAAAGGGAAGAAAGTATACTTAAAGGAATTGTGGAACAGCTGAAGGGTATCACGCTTTTGTTCTACCCTGTTCTTGTGAATGCTATACTTTAGATATATACACTACGTCCATTTTTGGTTAAATGATTTTGATCATAAAAATAATGATCATCCATACAAAGACAAAATGGAAAGACAAAAAAGGAAAGACAATGTGTCAAATGTACTTGCAACTAATTCAAAAATGATATATGCTGTAATAGTTTTATTTTGCATTGGTAGGATCAAGTGAATGTATGGAGAGATCTAGTTAGGAATGCATGACTGCTGTTATTGTTATGTTCAGTTTGAAGTGTTAGATACCTTTATTGGTTTAGCCAAAAAAAACCTTTTAAATGTGTAAATTGAGTATAAATGAGCAAGTGTGTGAGATATTCTGAACCAACTGCTTAATTACACATATGACTCCACCCAACTCCTTTTAATATGTAGGAAGTTGAGGATTTTGCTTTTAGCATTTTTCAACCTCTATAGTTGAGGAGGGGACACTATTTTCCATGTTTTGAAAAGTAAATGTGATAAAACATGTTTGACTATTAAGTTTACAGATTTCATGCTAAGTCATGAAGGATATGGAATTTGATCAGGGAAAAAAAGGAAAATATAATTTTTTTGAAGATTTGTCATCTGCATAGCAATTTTATATCCTATCAATGGAATTCTCTCCTTGACAAATTCCTTTTGTCTCCATTTCAGAGCATAAAGAACAAATAGAGAAGGAAGAGGAGAAGGAGCGTTTACAGAAGGAAAAAGAAGACAAGCAGAAAAAAGAGTCTGAGGAGAAGGCTAATGAAGGAAAGATTAAAGCTGATGAGGAAGATATGGGGCATAAAAATGAAGCTGGAAAGCATTCAGATGTTGAAGACAATACTGTGGCAAGTAATCATGATAAAATTGGAATTCTGGAAGATTCTCCTGCAGATCAGGTTTGATTGTATTTGCCATTTAGGTTGCAGAACTTGATTGTAAACTCAGAATGTGCCATAATGAAGAATTTTATTCTATAACTTTTAAACATGTTAATCTAGTATATAATTGTCAATGTGAGGTGGCACTATATATATATATATATGATTTTCCTGGTCTTTTTTTAACCCTTTAACATCATAGGTGAGCTATGCTCTAATAAATAATAATACCTTGTCATGTATCTTTATGCAATGAACAACCCTACTCTAAATAACATGCAAATATTTTGTTTTTACAAGAAACTGAAGAAAGTGTAATTTTGTTGCTATTAATCTGTTTACCTGTACTTGCAAACAATGATAGAAAATTAACTAATAATGACCATTTTTCACCCATCCTACTCTGAAGCAGATTGCTTCTCTCTACACATTGTTCCTTCACTTGTATGTGTGTGATCATGTAGCACTATCCCATTATGTGGTAAGTGGTTTAGTTATTCTATTTTAACATTTGAAGTTTTCTTATAGGATGAAGCAGTGGACAAGTCAGATGATGTACTTGATAATTATGATGGAGCCACTGATAGTCCTGGAAGTGAAGGATCGTTGCTTAACAAAGTGGAAGAGTTGAATAAAAATTTTGTGAGTTGCAGTTTTTTCTTTTCTTCTGAATTTTTATTAATTGAAGTGGCCTTTCCTACCATGCACATTAGATATAAAACTTGCTGAACATTTTAATTGGTTTTCGCTCAATGTAGAATGCAAAAGATGCTGAGGGAGAACCTGCTGTTAAATCTGAAACTGATTTTAAAGTTGGAAAGAAAGAGTCTTCTGATGAAATCACCAATATGGTATATCCATAGTCCATATTCTCATAGTATGATTGGAGTTTTACTCATGTTTTGTATTCCTCTTATAGTTACATATATCAATTGATTTATACTACTTGATTCACTTTCTTGATATATTACTTCATAAACTGGTGTTGGTAGGCTCTTCCATTCTTGTTGGTTCTTGTCTCATATAGTCATAACTTATCCAGAAAAAAAAAATAGTTTTATGATAATAAATCGCACCAGTACATATCATGAAAAAGAGTTGAAGTGAGACGCTGTGAATCTTTTGATAACAAAGCCATTTTATGGACAAAAGAGTTGCACTTGAATATTTATAGTCATATTTGGATAGTTAGGATATCTTGGATACTACATGAAGGGTTGCAGAATATTTCTGGTGGCAAACAGTTTCACTGCCTTTTTTTCACAGATTTGGATGTAATGGAACACTAGGGAAGTTGTTTCAGATCTAAACATATTGCAGATTTAAAGATGAAACTGAATAGTTGTGATTTGAAACCTCCGTCCTCTTGTGGTGATTCTAGTCCTGATTTCACACGTTGGACATTATCAAGCTTTGTCTTGTTAAAAATTAATGTCATTTTTGGTTAGCTTATTTTAAATATTTTGTTTATGTAACATTTTGGTTACAGGCTCTGAACTCTTTTTTTCTTGGGCCTTGGCTCTGACTACTTTAAATATTTGTATTCTGCAATTTTTATGGCAATACAGTATTTTTCAGGGGCATGACATTACTTTAGCGTGTACTTATTTTAGTCTATTAAGCTGCATTTAATTCTTCCTTACTTTGTCAATATATGTGTTCTAATGTGTTTTGCTACAATAGATGCCACATTACACTTGTGAGAGAAATTATGACTCACTCCATTATCTATCATGATGAGTAGAAGGAATTTATCCACTCGGCCTCAGAGTTCATCATCCTCGGTTGTATAATTCCCCTCACTGAAAATAGACTAACATACATATTCTGCCACCTCCCCATCTTCGTCCTCCTGCATATCCACCCTTAACCTCCCCATCTTCATTTAGTTGCCAATCTTCTACCAAGATCATGATATGTATGGTTTTTTCTGGGCACCTATGCATCAGCGCATACAGTTGACCACATTGAAACATTGCCACTATTCTCTCCGTTTTACGTACAATTGATATGGGAGTTGTTTGGCTCCTCTTTGTATGGTAGGAACGAGCTCCTGGCACTGAAGTTGGATGCTGGATGCACCGGATCTCTATTACCTGCTTGTGAACTCCTGTCTGATGGGGTGTTTGGGCTAGTTGCACTCTTGTTTGGGCTTGTGGATGACTGTTCCTGACCTAAATTGGTTGGACCTACCGGCCTGTCCCAATGTACCCTATTCGGGTCACGAATCCCCCTCTAGATTGATGCCTTAAACTTGACACCAAAGCTCTAAACCGGGAACTTGACCTGCTGATACCCCTGGTTCCATATAGCTCCTCCTCGACTGCTTTAGTAGGTTGATGGTCTTCTTGACGTCATTAGGATCGTGTGTTTGCACCTTACACTTCACCTCCATTTTCAAGTCTCCCAGGAAATACCCTAAAAGTTGTTCTTTGGAAAAGCTGTTCTTTGGAAGTCTCTGTTGCTTGCGCCACCAAGATCTCGAAATATTGGAGATACATGTTGACGGAACCTATTTACTGTAGAGTTGTTAACCTTTCGCACACTTTCCCAAAATCTTCGCATCATTGTCGCTTCCAACCCATCCTAGGTTAAGTTCAACATCTTCCCCCTCAAGAATCAGAATCGATGCACCGCCGTGGCTTCTATGCTGACAAATGCAAGTTGTACCTTTGTTACATGTAATGTATGGTGCACTTCAAAGGACTTCTCCAATCTCCATCCAAGCAATCCACCTCATCGGGTCGTTGCCATCAGAATTTGGTAACTTAACTTTTCTTGCCCTAGTTGGAGACTCATCGCTGATGGACTCTGCCTTACCATCTTGTTGGCTCTCAATTTTCTCCTTCATCATGAACTGGACAGATTGTGGGAAATTTGAGCATCGTCTTCTTCCTCCTCGAGGCTAATACCCTGTTTTTTCATCCACCTGTCCAGCAATGTTGAATGCCCTTGATCTTGTCCATATTTCTCCTAATCTTTGCTACATGTTCATCCAGAGAACGTAATTGCATTCCACACTTGCTGGTCGTCTTCTTCAAGTACTCCACCGAATTCCTCAGAGCTTCAGTTCTCGGTTCCACGTCGTCCTTGAAAAATGAGACCAAGCAGGTTAGACCAATCTTGTTAGTACTCAACAGATTAAGAGTTAATAGACACAAGAAATTGTAGAGAAGAGTGAAAGAATTGTATTGAAAGAACAAAACACAGATAGGAGAGGAGAAGGTATCCTCTCAAGGGTCTTCCTTTCACAATGGAGCCACTGCTCAGTTCTAAGAATGAACAAATCTGGAACTGACTCTCTACTACCCTCTTCCTTTATTTAAACTAGCACCTTGTAACTAACTCTAAGTATCCCTCAACGATCTTAGTACTCCAATTATTTTATCTTTCTTTTCTTGTTTTCTGGCTTCTTCCTCTAGTGTACATCCTAAGGGGGTGTTTGGTAGAGGGATAAATTTTAGAATCCCGGGAAACTGACATTGATAATCCTATTTACTCACCTTTGGTAGAAGGATTATGAAAATTTTCCTGAGAAAATTAGATTTCCAGGATTCCAATTTGTGAAGCAAAATCTCATGTAAAAATACCACCTAGTGCGTGGTATTTTCGGATTCCCACCAGGTGGGAATATTTGTGAAAGTTTTTCGGATAAAATTACCCTCTGTTGTTATCTTCCAAATCCGACAGTGCCACTGAGTCATCTTCACCGAGTTTTATGCCAAGAGCATCAAGTAGCAAAAAAAATGAAAATGGAGGTTCGAAAATAAGCCCAGTAGCTTTGATAGCCGTTATAGTGGGTGATGTTTTGGTCCTTGTCACAATGTCATTGCTTCTATATTGCTACTTCTGGAGAAACTACTCAGTGAAGTTGAAGGAGGGAAAATGGTCAAAGCTTTTTGAGAGTGAAAAGATTGTAAATTCATCGAGTCTGTACCCTGGTCAAGGAGGGTTTGAGAGGGGTCGAATGGTGTTCTTTGAAGGAGAGAAGAGGTTTGAACTGGAGGACTTGCTGAGAGCCTCAGTTCTGTTATGTTGTTTTTTATCGTACTTGAAAAGTCTGAAAGGTGATCTAATTCGTGCTTGAAGAAGTCTGAAAATTGATTTTGTAGAAAACCCAGATGAGTATTTCTATTTTTTATGGTGCTTGAAAAGCCTGGAAGGTGGGTTATAGAGGTTAGTTTTGTAAAATTACCCCACATTCCCAACTATATTTGACAATCAACCACACATGGGATCAGGAATTTTGAGCCAACATTTATGGTAATATTTTGGCCTACCAAACATCTTTTTGGTAACATTTTTGGGAAATTCATTTTTTCAGCATATTCGTGGTAATTATGACATCGGAGAACAAAAAAAAATTTCTTCTACCAAACGTCTCCTAAAGTCTGTGTCATTTTGCTGAGTCTGTTAGGTCCCTTCACATTGTCATTGGCATTGAATGTAATCAAGCTATTAGTCTTGAACTTGGTTATTTCTAACAATGTACTGCATGTTTCATGCCCTTCTGAACTCATATCTTCAGTTCTTACTATATCTCCTGCTTTTAGAAGATTCTTTTCTTTCTTATGTGAACCGATAGATTGCTTGAAGTTATGGGTGACATTTTAGTTCAGAAATATCTTAAACTTTGCAATATTCTTCATTTTGTCTTATCTGCTTGTTCTTTTCTCTTTGTGGGCATCTGTAGGTGAATGATGTATCTGAAAATACTGAGGGGTTATCGAAGGAGGAGTTGGGCCGGCTTGTTGCTTCTCGCTGGACAGGAGAAAATATTGGTAAGCAAAGTGCTGAAGCTGATACCACATTAGACAACGAAAATCAGGAAGATCTTCCAAAGGGGGAAAATAATGAGGAAGATGAAGGCTATGCTTCTGAAACTGATGATGAAAGCCACAAATATGATGAAGATGAAATTGATGACGAATATCGAGAGGACGAGCATGAGGACTTTAGTTCCTCCTACAAATCTGACACTGATAATGAACCAGACTTCTCAGGTTTGTTACATTTATTAATGCAAATTTGCTATCTAAGTTTGGTATATAGTTGGTATATAGTTGGACTTTTGATGAGATAATTTAAATGAGCTCAGATGGTACCACAACGGATAATCCTTCTATGTTAGAGAGAATACAGAAAACTGTACGGAGCATTTTTAAGGCTGTTAATGTATTCCAGACTCCAGTGAATCAGTCAGGTACATATTTAACATTTTATTACCTGTATTTTATATCCAGATAGATATAACATATGCCTTTCTCTTTGGCTTCTTTAGATGCTGCTCGTATACGCAAGGAATATGATGAATCAAGTACCAAGTTGTCTAAAATGCAGTCTAGAATATCGAGTCTGACGCAAAAGCTAAAACAGGATTTCGGTGAGTATGATGCTGGTAACATTTGTCACTATCGTAGCATTTGGATTATGGAGGTTTAAGTTATGGAATCGGCTTGAATAAACTGAAGTGAATCTTGGATACTACAGGTCCAGCGAAGGAGTTTTATTCATTCTATGATCGTTGCTTTGAGGGCAAGCAGAACAAGTACCTTTTCTCTCTACTAGTTTACTTTCTGTTGTATTTGGCATTTTTGTGAATTTGCAAGTTAGATGATCCTGTTCTTCTCACTTTCTGGTGATGGAAATTTTGGTTCAGGTACACTTACAAAGTCTGCCCCTATAAACAGGCTTCTCAGGAGGAGGGCTATTCCACCACCCGTTTGGGGTATGGTTTTGGTAACTAGTTGATAATTTTTGTTAAACTGCTGTTCTCCATTTCTAAAGAATTAAAGCATTGATTGGTGGAAGCAAATAGTTTTTTCCCCTTTTAAGAAGACAAAAATAATTCAGTTTCCTTCTGTGTACAGGCGCTGGGACAAATTTGAGGATTCATACAGAGTAATGGTGTTTTCTAATGGTGATAAATGCTGGAATGGTCCTGATAGGAGTTTGAAGGTATATGTTTTTGAACTTTTGAGATGATATGCAGTCGTTTCTTACTGTTTTGACAAGACTATTTTGTCTCTGTTCAGTCTAAAATGATTAACTTCGATGAGTTAGATTAGATGTATAAGTGTTTGGTAAAGTATAATTAATTTTTTTTTCCCCGTAAAAATATGTTAATAGATAAAGTAGTGCCTAATGGGGCGAACCGGAGCAGTGGTAAAGCTGTTCTTTCATGAATGAAAGGTTATGGGTTCGAATCCAAGAAACAGCCTCTTTACAATTATGCAAGGGTAAGGCTGCGTACAAGGATTACCTCCACCCCACACTCGCTAGTTGGGTTTAACGAGGAGTTTTTTTTTATAGATAAAGTAGTGCCTCCTGGGTTTGGGATGTACTGTCAAGGAGTTCTGGTTGGTGAACCTTTTGCAAAGGTGGGCAAGTCCAATTTTAGTTTCCATACATTCCCATATAATAATAATAATAATAATAATAATAATAATAATAATAATAACTAGTTACTGCAGTTGCCCATGGAAATAAGAACTTTAAAGTTTCACTTTCAGATTTGTGGACCCTCTGTGATTAATGGCTTTGTGTTTTTAACAGGTCAAGCTAAAATGTGGGTTGAAAAATGAGATTGCAGATGTAGATGAACCAAGCCGTTGCGAGTAGGGATTATTGCTATTTTGTTTTAATTTCTGCTTCTATCACCACTCCCCTTCCTTTTTCTCCACATTTTTCTATGGGATGTTTTCTCTTTTTCTCATTGTTGTCTTATCGGTTTCATGGCAGATATGTAGCTTTACTATCTACCCCAGCCCTTTGTCATGAGGAAAAGCTGAAGGTACGTCTCTAATTACGTGATAACAAATGTTGTCCTTACCTCGATATGGTATTAATGATAATTCTGGAACATAACAGGAGTTACAACACAAGCTAGACTTGTTAAATTCGGAACAACCAGAAAACCATGATGAGTTATGAACAACTGGGATGGATTTTAACAGGTAAGTTTACTGGGCAGTGTGATTCCTTTTCTTTCGAGACTTGAGTCCTGAGATGATCAAGTTTTATTTTGAACAGGTAGTACGAAGGTCATCGAGCAACTGAAGTATTGGTGCCCTTAAGTTTTGTATGCTAGATCTTACCCAAGTGTGATATTGGTTGGGGTTAGGGAGGGGCTAGGTAAGGAACGGGTTTGACTTGGGTTTGGTAATCCTCATTTATGGCTGGTCCGAGTTGGTAACATTCTATTATGACTAATCCCATCCCACATTTTTCTTTTATTGAACTAACATTTACTACCTGGTCTCTGTGACTCCCCTTGAAATTGAACATTTCATTACAAAGGATGGATCTTTATACTAAGCAAAATACTAGACAGCGGGAAATTCTGAAGTCAAAATTTTTGTTAGAATGAGTTGACATTGGATTTTTAGATGGATAAGTGGTTCCGAGTTCCGACAACCATAATTACTCATATAGTATAATCTTGTGATTTGGAATTTACATATTTTGTTGAGGAATAGTAGTAACTTATTTGGCACTCTTTTTTCATCACTATTATTAGGTGAAATATTGTGTTAGTCTCACTAAATAACTTAGAGTACTCTCTGTATTAATAAGACTAACATGGAATTTCACTTAATAATAAGAGTGTTGAAAAGAGTGTCAACCATTTGTGTTGGTGGAGTTTTTCTGTTTTGTTTGCATGGTTTAACGAGGAGACTTTGAGGTTTAATGTTTATGCAACAAGAAATTCGCTAGAGAAGAGAAACTAAAGGATAAAATATTCTGTTTAAAAAAAAGAGACAGCGTGGATCAAAGCATATCAATATCTCTTGATATTTAATATAAGTATGTAAAATAGCAATTATTCGAGTATTACAAAGCAATGAAGAGGAACTCCATAGTTTTTTTTTTCTAAATAGAAGGTAATGTTGAGAAATTAATTGTTTTATTTTGTAATTCTGGATCATTCTCAAGTGCCGCCCGTCCATCTATATCTTCGTTGCTAAGTAAATCAAATCAAGATCGTCATTTGGAGAACGAGTTCAGTACGTAAGTTGTGCTGCATTGACATCCCACCGGAATGCACGATTATAAGCTTCTCAATGAGTTGAGAGGGAAAAAATTTTGGTGCTCGAGGCATATGCAGTCTTTCGATTTAGGGGATGATATTTGAACAAAATTTTATCATTTTTTCTCTCTCCTCTCTTCTTAGTAGTTGTTTGATTTTGATTGGTTCGTACTATTGAATTAATGATGATTCAGGACTATTAAAATTTCTCTCGTTGGAGAGGTTGGCTTGAAGTTCTAGCTCAATAATTATGAAATGGATTTGATCAACCATGTGTGAGCTATTTGAGTCTCATACCAAACCTAGTTGATATTGTTATGGTATGAAGAATCTGATATCATTGAATTATGCAGAAGAAGCAGTGCTGATACAAATACACATACTAGTTCACTCACACCCACGTGTGTAGACAAAGACAACTGACTGAAACTACAGGCTACTGGTATAACAGAAATAACAAACTAACTAAATATACACACGTGCAGAAAATAAGAGAATCTAAGCCAAGCCACTGGTATTGGTGTAATAGATATCAATGACATAATGTAATACATTGTCTTTGCTCGCACTTAAAAAATCTTACCGAAGTTTCATGAAATATATATATATATATATATATATATATATATATATATATATATATATATATATATGGAAAGAGATCATTTGACTCGTAAAATTTATAAATCTTAGTCTGGAGTCTCAGCCCTTGATTTTCATTCAACCAATAATTATAGTTTAGGAAGTCATATTAATTAATTATTAATTATGTTATAAATGACAACCGTTGATTTTCGTCCATCAACGATTAAGATGAAGAGTAAGACTTTATATATATATATATATATATTAAAAAAAACTTAGCATAAGCCTTGGCTCATATAGCCAGGATTTCAATAATTTTTTTTTTAAAATGTTGCCTTAATTATTGGATTACTGCCATAAATAACAATAATGGGGTGAAAATTACACAGATGAATTTTTAATATAGTTTTACAAAATAAAAATGATTCATGAATCTTTCACTTATATTTTTAACCCAACAAGCCCATTCCAATCGGTGCTGGTCCTAATGGTTAAAAATGTCTTGGGTAGAACTTTACCTTTGCCTTTTGGTTCACTTTTAAATTCAATAAAAGATGGGCAATGTACAATCTCATCTAGTGCTAAGAAATTTTATTTAAGTATTTATTAAACTCTTTGTTTCATGTAAAACAATCAATTTAATTCAAAAAGCTTAAGTTATTAAATAAATGATTTTTACATTTATATTATATTATAAAATTATTTTTGTAACCTTAAAAGAATATCATTTTGAGATTGAGAAAAAAATATTTTTGTAATATTAATTTATTTTAGGCTATATTAATCTCTGTGATGATAAATTTCCTCCCGGAGGTCATAAGGGATAACTTAATAAACCCTGTTTTTAAACCCAACAAAACGATTTAACTCAACTAATTAACCGCAAACAAAAAATGATTAATTAAATTAATTTAAGGTTCTGATGTTTATCATTTTAAATGACATAAGTTATGTCATTTTAAGAGAAAGATAGACACAAAAAATAAAAATCATAAAAAAAAAGTGGGTGATTTTTTTTAATTAAATTCTAAATAAAAATATAATTTCTTATGTCTATATCTCTCTTGAATGACATAATTTTATTTCATTTTAAAAATGAGAGATACTTCTCTCTTAATCTAATACGTGAAATGAAAAACATGTTGGGAAGTGATAGGCCGTATGGTTAATTTTCCCAACAATAAAATACCGGTGGATGGGAGTTAAAGGACAGTGAGGAACTGCACTAACTCACCCACACGACTGTGATACGCGCAAAACCCAGTTGCTACCAATATTGATTGATGAAAATAGGTAAGATTTCAAAAAAAAAAAAAAAAAACCCCAATTTCACTGTGCTTGCTTACTATGTGTTGTGCTGATTCCCTTCTTGTTTTCAATTTTAATGCGCGTAATTTCAGTTTCAGCTTTGCAAAATTGTTCATATAGAATTGAATAATCTTCAATACTGCAAAAATATGGTGTGTGTTGTTATGTTGTAGCTGCCCTTGCTTCTATAATTCTCAGCTGTTTGGTTTGTTATGTTATGTATAGATATTATATAATGACTTGGAAAGGGGAAGATTGTTTCTCTTATTCACCAGCATATATATATATATTCTTGATGGCTGTACCAGAATCAGGGAAAATTAGGATTAATGTGAACTTCAGAGAGTAAAATACAAGGTTAATAATACTCCATCCGATTCAAAATAATTCTCACTTCAAAAGTTTTAGTTTGTTTCAAATTGTTTGTCACTCTAGAAATCAAGAAAACATTAATATTTTCTTTTCAATTTTATCCTAGTCTCTTGTAGTTGAAATGAGAGAGAAAGCATTAAGGGAATGAAAGCCTAATTTTGTCAAATGTAGTTATATTTTTATGAAAATTAGGGTATTTAGTTGCTTTCTTAATCCCTGTGAAAGATCTTAAATGACAATTATTTAATGCACACTTTGCGTTTAAGAATTACAGGCAATGTTGTCCATAAAGTAGTTTTTTTCTTAAAACAGACTAAGCAATAAGTGTTCATAGCAAGTTATGTTGGTGAGGCCAACATCCTCCTTTGGTAAGACTCGGTGTAAGTTGGAATCAGATCGAACCTTGATGCTTGGGTTGGTAAGGGTAAGTAAAAAGAGTTGCACCTTTTAGTGTAAGCGCCCAATCCAACTGTTTAGGGATTAAGTAACCATTTGTCCATTTTGCCCTTTAGTGTAGAACTGTAAATAAAATTTGTTTGGGTTTTCTTTAAAGGTATCCCAGTGCGTGAGGCTCCCACCATTGTGGGGTCTGGAGAGACTTAGATGTATATATGAGCCTTCCAAACCTTCCCTTTATTTTCCATTAAGCACTCATGCATTTTTTTAGTTAATGAGCCTCTATTTTATTTGCTGGAGGCAGTATTCTTTTTTTTATTATCTTTTTGTCAAAAAATAAAAACCCTTCTTTTCCTCCTATATGTTGTTTGTCTATTGTTAAGACTTGCAATATTGATATTGGCTCCATCTTCTGTTACTGTCCTTTCATGCAATATTATTGGCTTTTCAATTGTCATTCAATCCTATAAAGTACAGACTCACCATTTTGTAGTGCTGTGAATGTCTGCATGTCGTACACCTTCGTACATGTCCATTTTTTAAAATTTGCCTCCTACATGACTAAGAAACGACTGGACACTGTCATTTAAATTTGGAAAAAAAAAACGCACACACTGTCTCCATTTTGCACAATTCACCCACAATAAATTTTCTTTTTAGGTTACTTTTTGACTTAGGATTTTCACTTTTGTGCAAACTTGAAAGATGGACAAGCCAGTGAATTACAGTAACTTTTTCTTTAACTTGAATCTATTCATTTCTTTGTCAATTTGTATAGACTGGTTCTTAACAGGATTGATGCAAATGACTTGTTGCATATTCGTAGTTCTCACACTACTCTGTCTACAGATATGTGTGTTGTGTGTGGGTCTAGTTCAGAAGCAGTACTTCTCTTTGTTCTTGCATTGTAAGGTGCTCATTTTCCCTTGGGACAACCTTTTGAGGTTTTGGTGAGCTTTGGTTGTGTGTGTATGTCCTTCTGCGGAACAGTTTCTGATGGCTCATTTAAAGGTTTTGATAAAAGATATTAGGCTAAAGTTTTGTGGCAGTATGTGGTTGATACAGTCCTTTTGTGAATTCGCTTGGAGCTGAATGGTTGCATCTTTAAGGTGTCTTTTTTCCAATTGACTTGTTTGGGGATATGATTATGTTTTTGGGCATCTGGAGTTTTGCTCAGCTGTTTCAAAGGAGTTGATATTGTTGGGAAATTCGTTCCCTCAAACTCCAATGTCAAGCGGGTCCAAGGGAAGCCCGTGGCGGGGGGCCACCACCAATGAGCTAAGGCTACACCAACCGTAGCAAGTGGATCCGACACCATGTCTCAACCCAAAACCTTAAGGCATTGGGTTCATGGGTCCTTTCACTTATATACTCTTCACTTAGCTCATTACCAACCAATGTGGGACTCATCACATATGCTCCCCCTCAACCGAGTACCCGAAGCGCAAAGTACTCGACCCGCCTCCTAGCCAATCACTAGGCTAGCTCGAGCCCAAACCGGCTCTGATACCACTGTTGGGAAATTCGTTCCCTCAAACTCCAATGTCAAGCGGGTCCAAGGGAAGCCCGTAGCGGGGGGCCACCACCAATGAGCTAAGGCTACACCAACCGTAGCAAGTGGATCCGACACCATGTCTCAACCCAAAACCTTAAGGCATTGGGTTCATGGGTCCTTTCACTTATATGCTCTTCACTTAGCTCATTACCAACCAATGTGGGACTCATCACACTTGCTTGAATATCTCAACAGATATTGCTGATATGCAGACAGATTGAGCAGCCTTGTTTCACTCTAGTTTATTGTTATTCTTATTCCTTATTCCAGTTTTTTTTCTTTTTAGGAGGATATCTTAGCTGCTCCCTATTTGTACTTTCCCACTTTTCTCTCTTAACAAATTTTCCTTATCAATACAAAATGTTTGTTATGCATTTATTGCAAAATGCTGTACATGGTATAATGGTAGCCTCTTTTTTTGTTGTGCTGTATTCTTTTGGTTTTTCTTTTAGATGGAAGAAGTTTGTCTGAATAGTGAGCCGCTTTTTGATGAAAACGATGAGTTTGATGTTGAGAGGAACTCTTCTGTAGCAGAACAGGATCCTGAATCTTTAAACTCACAATCAAGGAACTCACCACTTCCAACTGTGGGTTTGGAATTTGATTCCTTTGATGAAGTTTACAACTTTTACAATATCTATGCTAAGGAAGAAGGCTTTGGCATCAGAGTGAGCAATTCATGGTTTAGATCAAAGAGAAAAGAGCGCTATAGAGCAAAACTAAGCTGCAGTAGTGCTGGTTTCAAGAAAAAGAGCAGGGCCAATAATCCAAGAGCAGAAACAAGAACTGGTTGTCCTGCAATGATAGTGATTAGAATGGTTGACTCCAAGAGATGGAGGATAGTGGAAGTTGAGCTTCAACACAACCATCAAGTGAGTCCACAGAGCAAACGGTTCTACAAATCACATAAGAAAATGATCCTTGCTGCCAGAGAATCACAACCGCTGCCAGAGCCTATAGCAGAAGTACACACCATCAAGTTGTATCGAACAACTGTCATGGATGTTGGTTATAATAATGATTACTCAAATTTTGAAGAAAGTCATGACACCAATTTTGATAACTTTAAATATTTGGAACTTGGAGAAGGGGATGCCAATGCTATATATAATTATTTTTGCAGAATGAAGTTGACCTGTCCAAATTTCTTTTACTTGTTTGATATTGATGATGACGGGCATCTAAAAAATGTGTTCTGGGCGGATTCCAGGTCAAGGGTTGCTCATAATTACTTTAATGATACTGTTACTATAGACACAACTTGTTTAGCAAACAAATATGAGATCCCTTTGATATCATTTGTTGGTGTTAACCATCATGGACATTCTGTATTATTGGGCTGTGGCTTCCTTGGACATGAATCAGTGGATTATTTTGTCTGGATATTCAAGGCATGGCTTAAATGTATGCTTGGTCGTCCTCCACATGTTGTTATTACTGACCAGTGCAAGCCCTTGCAAATTGCAGTTGCTCAGGTCTTCCCTCATGCTCGCCATTGTTATTCTTTGCAGTATATTATGCTAAGAGTTCCAGAAAAGTTGGGTGGGTTGCAAGGATATGAAGCTATCAGAAGAAAGCTGTATAATGCTGTCTATGAGTCATTAAAGATAGTTGAGTTTGAAACTTCTTGGACTGATGTGATTAAATGTTATGGACTGGGAGATAACAAGTGGCTTCAGACACTGTATAAAGATAGGCATCTATGGGTTCCGGTTTACCTAAAAGATACTTTTTTTATAGGACTGATCCCAACTAAAGAAAACGAGGGGTTGACTGCATTTTTTGATGGATATGTGCATAAACATACATCCTTTAAGGAATTTCTTGACAAGTATGACCTAGCTCTGCACAGAAAACACTTGAAAGAAGCCATGGCAGATTTGGAGTCTAGAAAATTAAGCTTTGAATTGAATACTAGATGTAATTTTGAGGTGCAGCTTTCAAAGGTGTATACAAAAGAAATCTTTAAAAAGTTTCAGTCTGAGGTTGAAGGCATGTACTCTTGCTTCAACACAAGACAGGTAAATGTTAATGGATCTATAATAACATACATTGTGAAAGAAAGAGTTGAAGTTGAGGGAAATCAGAAGGGAGTTAAAAGTTTTGAAGTTTTATATGAGACTAATGAATTGGATATTCGTTGCATTTGCAGTTTGTTCAACTACAAAGGATATCTATGTAGACATGCACTGAATGTTCTCAATTATAATGGTGTTGAGGAAATCCCATCTCGGTACATCCTGCAACGTTGGATGAGAGATTTCAAGCTAAGGTTTAATCAATACCATGTCTCTGGTAATATTGATACGGACAACCCTGCATCCTTGTATTCTCATCTGTTTAACAATGCTCTTCCAGTATTAGAAGTAGGGGCACAGTCACAGGAGCATTATATGATTGCTTTAAAAGAATTGGAGGAGTTGTTGGACAAGTTTGATATATTGGATAATAACTCATTGTGAACACTTAATACAAGATCCCCATTCCCCAGTTATAATAATGATGCTACTTCTAATTAACTGTTTATATTCTCTCTCTCTCTCTCTCTCTCGTGTGGCTGGTTTATTCACAAAAATTTGTGCTACTGGTGGATGTATAAAATGAAATGCCAGGGCCCAGAGCCAATTGCATAAACAGTGACATATATTTTTGTAATGATTCGGTCTGTGTTGTAACTAATTCACAAGCAAATATTCTAGAGCATTTCGCCTTCCCTTAAATTGTACCAGGCATTATTATAATCATCAACCTTTTTAACTTTCATTCTGTGTATATACAACCTGCATGAAGGTATCCTTTGGGGCCCTATTTACCTTGTGTATTAAAAATTTAACTTCTTTTTAGAAGAATGGGGTGGGAGTGTATAAAATTTACCCCATTTATTTAGAACTCCTGATGCCACGTAATAAATTAATTTTCCCAAAAGTTTAAATTGTTATCAGAGTTTAAAGTTTCAAAAATTATTTTAAATAACTTTATTTAATGTTCCTATAATACATACAAAAAGTAAAAAAGATGTGTGGGCTTATCTTTTTTTTTTTTTCTCTCTTCTCTTCAATAGATCCATGTGGATACCACACATTTTTTTGTGTGTATTTTGATGAACATTAGATAAAGTTATCTAAAGTAATTTTAGAAACTTTAAATCCAAAAATATAACTTTATTTCTCAATTTGTCTCGTGTCTCACACTATATATCAATTTATAACTGTTTGATCAAAGTTTGACCCGCACTTAGTTGAGTAAATGAGTTACTTACTCGAGTAAATGACTCATCAAGGATTATGATTTGGTTAAATAGGGATAAATTGTTATATAGTTTAAGAAGAGGGATAAATTGGTCTATAATTTGAAAAAATAAACAAAATGATAAAATTGTCTTAATATTTAAAGAAAACATCAATCTCAACAACAATACCTTTATTCCAAACCAATATAATTGATGAATTTTAAAAAAGAAAAAAAATTAAAAAATATGAAAGAAAATTAAATAAGAGAAAAATTAAATAAAACTAAAAAATAAATTAGAAAGAAAGATAGATAAATAAATAGTTAAATAAATAAATATGGGGAACAAGAATTTAAAAGGACAAGGTTCTTGGCAATTCCCTATTTCTGATTGCATAAAGGTGAATACGAATAGAGCTCTGTGTGGAAATCCTGGTCTTGCTACTTGTGGGGAAATTATTCGTGATAATCAAGGTAGATGGCTGGGTGGTTTTGCTTTTAAATTAAGAACATGTTCTTCTTTTAAGGTTGAACTGTGGGGAGTTTTGCGGGATCTAGAGATGGCATGGAATGTTGGGTTCCGTAATGTTATGATTGCAAGTGATTCATCTAGTGCGGTTATTGTGCTCACCGGGCGTGGTGTAGCAGTCCGTGAAAATCAGTTGATTTCTCGCATATGGACATAGTTGGGAAAGAGTTGGTCTATTATTATTCAACACACTTTAAGGGAAGCAAATTCTTGTGCAGGTTGGTTAGCAAATTTTATTATTGATCATGGTAATCAAGAAGATCAGTTGGTGTGGGGGGATCCTCCTCCTGGTATAATTTCGCTTCTTTATGCTGATATGGGAAGATCACGTGTCGTAGTTTGTAATTCGTAGTTTTCTTTTGTTTATTTCCTTTGTTGCTTTGGGGCTTAGTCCTCCTTTTCTCTACCAAAAAAAAAAAAGGACAAGGTTTTATCTCTCCGTACTACTAATTATTTTTCTCTCCTAAAAGACACCATCCTCCAATCTAGTTTTCACTTGTTTTATTACTTTCTCCCAATTAAATTTATGTTGATTTTTCTTCTTTTGTGTCATGCAACTTTTGTTCTCACAAGAATATAAAGGGTCTTTGAACAGTTTGTCTTATTTGCCACGGGTACAATATTCATCTGAGCTCGAGTATCTTTATTTCTTATCTTATATTCTATATAAAACATACTCCCTATATAAGAACGTTTAAATTAGCCAATTGCAATTGCTTAAGAGCTAGAAGGTTTGTTTGTTTGTTTTTTTATTTAACATAATTGATATCAATTTGATGAAATTTGTAATATGATATTAGGGAAAAAGAAGTTTAATGTAGTAGAAAATTTCTAATATCAAGTTATAGATACAACAAGTATGATGTTCATCTATTAAAAAAAAAAACAAAAAACAAAAAAGAGCATCATACGTTTTTATGATATGTGTAGAAAGAATTCTTCCTCAAGTATATTAAGCAAATTTTTTTATTTTTATTGTTTGACGAGTATATTGTGCTATCTTTATAGAAAGATTATTTTTAACCTAAAAAAGAAATTCCAAAAAAATAGGAGACCAAGTATAAGGCAGCGACCAATCACAGACAGCATATATAGGTCACAACCTCGTTCCTTTGTGCATTTGTTTTAAGAGGAAGTTGCTTCGTTGAATCGTGAACCAGTGTCAGTGACAGAAGTTGTTGACCAAAGATTTGCGATTGCGATGGCGATGGCGATGGCGATGACAGTGGCAGAGAAGAAGCCTAAAACAAAAATCGTATGCACACTTGGACCGGCATCGAGGTCTGTGCCGATGATCGAGAAGCTTCTAGAAGCAGGCATGAACGTTGCTCGCTTTAACTTCTCTCATGGTTCCCATGAATACCATCAGGAAACCCTCGACAACCTTAGGGCCGCCATGGAAAACACTGGTATTCTCTGCGCCGTCATGCTCGACACTAAGGTATGAACAAAGTTTCTTTCATTTTCTTATTTCATTTTTATTCTTATCCCCATTTTATTTATTTATTTCATATATCTTACTACATATCAAGTGAGTGTATAAGAAATGATAGCTTGAGCATTCAGTTTTATCATAGATGATTAAAAATAAATATAAATAAAACTAATCTTAAATTATGAAGATTAATTACTGTGATTCCTATCTCGCGTTTAATGCTGGTGTGAATCCAAGGCATTGCTGATGATGGACTTCATAAAGTGAACCAAACATTGTCAAATTCCTTTGTTTTACTACAGATGTGATGGCTTGTAATAGTTCGTCAAGTTATTTTCCAATTAGGTTTGCATCTAAGTTTTACTTTGAGTCCTTAATACATGGTGTGTTCTAAGGATTTTGTGTGTTGTTACTATATGTGTGAAGGCGTGTAATGACAAATCAAGTTATTTTCTAATTACAACAGATTTCCGCTAAGGTTCTGCATAGAGTCCTTATCTTTTTGTCCTGGTTATGGATGAGCTAACAAAAGATATCCAAATGAGGTGTCATGGTATATGTTATTTGCAGATGATATTGTGTTTGTTGATGAGATTAGATCTGGTGTTTTGGTGTTAACGCTAAACTGGAATTATGGAGAAGAATGTTGGAGTCTAAAGGATTTATGTTAAGTTGAAGTAAGACCGAATACATGGAGGGTGAGTTCGCCATGAAAAGAGGAGCAAATGAAGAATTCGTGAGTATACTAGGACATGATGTATTCAAGGAAGATGCATTTAGATATCTGAGATCAGTCTTGCAAAGGGAGGTGGGGGAATTGGGGAGATATTGATGATATGTAAACTCTAGAATCAGAACAGGTTGGTTGGAATGGCACAGTGCATTGGGATTTATGTGTGATCACAAAATTTCTCCTAGGCTAAAAGAAAACTTTTATAGAACCACAATAAGGTTTGGAATACTATACAGAGTTGAATATTGACCGACACAAAAGCAATGTGAGCATTAGATTGGAGTAGCAAGAATGAGGATATTAAGGTGAATGTATGGCCATACAAGGATGAATAAGGTAAGAAATGAAGAAATTCGAGGAAAAGTTGGATTAGTACTGGTGGAAGTAAAGATGAAAAAATATAGGTTGAGATAGTTTAGGCATATTCCAATAAGATCCCTCCGATTTTTGTTATCAAGAGCATAACATAAAATAGTAAAACAAGATTTAATATAGTGGGAAATAGATTGACGATCAGTTTGTTTTAAGATGGGGTGGGAAGAAAGCTATTAGTACGGTGGAGGAGTATATTCTTTCTATGTTTTTATTTATCATATCATATTTTATATATATATATATATATATATATATATATATATATATATATATATAATCTTTCTTTTATTTGAAATCGTCAACGGCTGACCCAACTAGTTTTAGATAAAAGTGATGTTGATATATATCGTCAATCATGACGAAAACTACAAGCCAAACATATTGTGATTGCTATCTTGCATTTTAACAGAAATGAACCCAACATTGTCAAATTCCTACCTTATGTATCTATCTTTCATTTTACGTATGCATGTATCTACATTGCTGCAGGGGCCTGAGATTAGAACTGGATTTCTCAAGGATGGCAAGCCTATCCAACTTAAACAAGGTAAGGAGATAACAATTTCCACTGACTATAGCATAAAGGGAGATGAGAATATGATCTGTATGAGCTACAAAAAGTTGGCTGAGGATGTGAAGCCTGGGAGTGTCATACTGTGCGCGGATGGCACCATCTCATTTTCGGTTTTGTCATGTGACAAAAAATTGGGTATGGTTCGATGCCGCTGTGAGAACTCTGCCGTTCTTGGTGAGAGAAAGAATGTTAATCTGCCTGGAGTAGTAGTGGATCTCCCAACTTTGACTGACAAAGACAAGGAAGATATCTTGGTCTGGGGCGTTCCCAATAAAATTGACATGATTGCTCTTTCTTTTGTCCGGAAAGGTTCTGACCTGGTGGAAGTTCGCAAACTGCTGGGAAACCACGCTAAGAACATTCTTCTCATGTCAAAGGTATGTTATGTGGTGGTGTTCTCTTTATGGAAAAAAGATGAGTGGTTTTGGAGCTGCTTAAAAAATGTGTTAAGTGTTCTGAATCAGTTATGATTAATGTGTGTTTATTGAATATCATCTAACAAATTTGTGATTTTCTTTAAAGAGACGTATTTCTACTGACATTTGCTATCTCTAATACATGGTATATTTAATTACTTGTTGCTGGTCATTTATTCTGTCCGCTACTTCAAATGTTCATGGCAGGTTGAAAACCAAGAAGGGGTTGCAAATTTTGATGAAATCCTTGCAAATTCAGATGCATTTATGGTGGCACGTGGTGACCTTGGAATGGAAATTCCAATAGAGAAGATATTTCTTGCACAGAAAGTGATGATATACAAGTGCAACATCCAAGGAAAACCAGTTGTTACTGCGACCCAGATGTTGGAGTCAATGATCAAATCTCCCAGGCCAACCAGAGCTGAAGCTACTGATGTTGCCAATGCAGTTCTGGATGGCACAGATTGTGTGATGCTTAGTGGTGAGACGGCTGCCGGAGCTTATCCAGAACTTGCTGTTCGAACGATGGCTAAAATATGCATTGAAGCCGAGAGCACCCTTGACTATGGAGATGTATTTAAAAGGGTGATGGAGCACTCGCCAGTACCAATGAGTCCATTGGAGAGTTTAGCTTCTTCTGCTGTTAGAACAGCCAACTCAGCTAGAGCAGCTCTTATATTGGTTTTAACTAGAGGAGGGAGCACTGCAAAATTAGTGGCTAAATACAGGCCAGGCATGCCAATTCTTTCTGTTGTTGTTCCTGAGATTAAGACTGATACATTTGATTGGTCATGCAGTGATGAGGCCCCTGCGAGACATAGCCTGATATTCCGTGGGTTGGTTCCAGTATTGAGTGCAGCTTCTGCTAGAGCTTCTCATGCAGAAACAACTGAAGAAGCATTAGAATTCGCCATTCAACATGCCAAGGCAAAGGGTCTCTGCAATAATGGGGATTCTGTTGTGGCTCTGCATCGTGTGGGCACTGCATCTATCATCAAAATCGTAACAGTGAAATGATCACCCATTTAAAGGAGTTCTTCAGCTTCTTTTGGCAAATTTTTAAGATGGTGCCAATGAGGTCTCATAATACCTCTTTCAATCTATATTGCATGCAAAACTTCAATTCGAAGCATTTATAAGGGTGGGTTTTTTTACTTATCTATCACTGTTTCTTTTATATATTTTCCTGATTGGTTATCACTGTGGCGAGTGACGACCTCTTTTCCTTTGTTAAGATTATGTATGTGGCTTTTGGTAAACCGAAAAACTCGCCGACTTCTGGATTTTGAATTTTTTACTCTCTAAAGTTTTTGGTGTACTCTTATATCTGTTTTGATTGAGAAGTGTATGGTATAAATTTGAAATTTGATGATCCGATCTTTACATTTTTTTAATAAAATAAAAGCATATAATTAGACAATCATGGATTTGTTAAAATATACGCCATTGATTAATTCTTATGACTTGGTGCTAATAGCGTTTTATCAGTTTTTTAAAATGCACCTTGTTATCAAAGAATCCAAATTCCGTAAAAAGTGCTGAAAAAAGTAAACACGAGCAATAGAAAAGTTTATACAAAAGTTACCATGAGAAGCAATTGCAAGCGGGCAGGCTGGAAATGAACCGAGTTAAAGTTCAATGTGACTCAACTTGATATTATACGATTCAGTTCAGAACTTGACTCAGTTCCATGTGAAACATTTTTTGCAGTTCTAGATTAAGTTCACAACTTACAAGCGATTCAGTTCAGTTCATCAATTTGAACTACATGAACCAAGCTAGTTCAGGAACCTGGTTCACTAGCTTCCCAATTGTAAAAGCCAAAAATGTCAACTCTTTTTTCTCTACTTCCAGGCTCTGCCTGAGAAAGTAAACATTTTGATCTTGTTTTAAGCAACAAAAAATGTCGCCCATAAGAGGCTCAAAAAGAACGACATTGCAAGGGACCTCCTCATTACTTTTGTAGCTGTAATACCTGGATGTTTAACCTAATCTTCATTGTTAGTCTTGTTAAGCAGCAATGGTAACAAAAAAAATGTGAACTGAGTAATAACACAACAATTTAGTAATCAGAGCTCAAAGCAAGGAAGCATGTCGCCTAAGTTATAACTATTATTACACAAAACTTGAAGCAATAAAATAAAGATTCAAATCTTTAGTAGCTACAGAACACCATCAAATATCAAATATCAAATATCCCTGATAACGAAATCCACCATGAAATATCAAGTTTGGGTTCGTTGATCTAAATTTTATATCTTTATTTCTTTTTAATTCCCCCTACATCGATATGTTGGACTTGACCGGCAAGTGTTGGAGAATCCATAGTGGCATTCTTGCTATTCAATTTAATATGAACGCTAATTGGTTTCGAAGCATCTATAATACCGTATATGTCCTCATGGTCGAGTTTCAACAAAGAATTAAACAAAAAATGAAATTATTTTGCATGTGTATTCACTTCCTAACTATTGACTCACTATTCAGCTGCCTAAAAGAAAAAAAATATAAAACCGGAACAAAATATTACATTCCAGGCATCTATTCATGCAGATGCAGCATGCAACGCTAGAGATCAGCGCGCCAAAATGCTTGCCCATATGCAGATCTGTCAGTAATGCAAAACCCAAATCATTTGACACATGTAACCAGAATGACTTCCTTAGCTCAATTTCAGACTTATTTAGGTGGAGCTTCAAGGAAATGGTCTGGATATCATTCTTGTCATAGAATGTACCAGTCATGAGCCTCTTCTTTCCAGCAACATTTACAATGAGATAGCAGCCAACAAATGCATATGGTACAAAGACGCACTCCCATACAGGTTGCTGAATAATGGAAAAAACCGGTATAGGAGTGAGAACAATGCTATTCAGGCTGTATTTCAAACAAGGTCCGTCTTGATTGATGCATTCTCTTCCTGCAAGGATCCGCGCATAAATAAAATGATCAAGACATGCCATGCAACAGGAAAACAAATAAAAGGTCCGACATACAAATACAAAATGATTAGGATTTGAAAGATAACCATATCATATTAATAATAGGGAATTTAAATATCAACTAGACAGCTTTGATTTGGGTTGGTCAAGATGGCAGTATACTGTACGAATACCCCTGATAAGTCATACTTTTGTTAGGAGGAATAAAAGTGGGGGCAAGGCATGTGGACCCAAATAATAGTTGATAAAAGTAGTTAGTAGGTAGGAATCAGTTAGGATAATCCTAACTGTCTTGTAATAGAATTAGAGAGAGGGCTATCGTTTAAATAAACAGAGGGAGAGAGGAATGGGCATTGAGAGTTTTGTAATTAGAGGAAGATTAGGCCAGAAAAATTCTCTGGAGAGGGAGAGTTACAAGGTCATCTTCCTTATATTCCCTTTTGTGCAAGGATATTTCTTGCTATCTTGAATAAAGACAACTGTGTTTCTGTTTCTTTTCTTGTTCTTTTTTCCAATTTGGTGCCATATATCACAATGTGAAGCATAAAATCAAACTCAAGCAAACAAAGGCAGATTTAAGCTTCAACTCCTTTGTTTGCAGTAAGAAACAAACGTGGGAAATGATATGGGGACCTAATTCAATTGAAACTGTATTTGTGTAAAGAAAATACATATGCAGTATTGCAAACAATACTAGCATGGCTTGAGTAAATGTTGCTTTATTTGTTAAGTGCTGACTTGATCATTTCCTGTTATGGTAATGGCATTCACATAAAACAACAAGATAGATGCAACGATTGGTTGATGGATGCCGATAAAAGACATAATGATCGGCTTTAGTAGGAGGCTTGAACAATAGCGCCAAAGCAGCCAAACCAAGCTCAAGGGAGCTGTTTTTACATTGTCAGGTAAAGATTTACATTGTTCACCAATCCAAACTCCCCAGTAACAAAATCATGTTCTCGCTGTAAACTTCCTGCTATAAATTACCATGCAAGAAGAAATTTTACAATGCCAATGTTGGATAGAAGCTATGGTGAGAAAAATGACCAACAAACGCAATCTTAGCAACTAGAGAATAAGTGCCACTATAGCCAAGGCCAAAAGTTAACATGTAGCAATGGCACCATGTAAACACCCACCAGCAGCCAATGGTAGATTTGCCAACCAGTTTGGAAACCAAATCTGACATACCATTAGAGTTGCTGGGTCAAGGGAACCCAAAAACACAGGGAGATCTTCTTTCATCAACTTAGCAAGGAACCACACTTACGGGTTTTACACCATATTATGACCCAAACAAAACCTTAAGAAATTGGGTCTATAGCTCAATCTAAGAGATTCTTTGGTGCTCATAGAGCAAGAGAAATCTCTTGCTTTCTACCATTCAAAGTGTACTACTTCACCTATGTGAGCCATTATTGTGTCCCACTTCAAATACACTTTCAATGCTATAGCTGAGATAAAACACATTGAATGGTATAGAATAGAACAAGAGAATTCTCTAGTTCTAAGACACCTAATAATTTCTCGGGTCATTCCACTTATATGATCTTCACTAAGTTCATTCCTTTCCAATTTGATACTTCTTCATTCACACTTGAATTACCAACAAGAGCTGAAGGCTTACATCTAATCGATCATAGCTTGATGCCAGCCTGGAGAGGAAAGAGCTTTGTCTGTGGTCTTAGTAATGAAAACATAGGATAAACACAAAACAAAAGTAAAAGATAATCTGAGTTCTCTCTCTCTCCCCTCTCATATTCAATATACACTCTTGCATAAAGCATCATCAAAAGGAGCAATATATGCATAAAAAGTCATCTGACCATCAATTCTGTTCTATGTCTCACCATGAATAAAAGACCTAGAATACACTAGGTAGAAACTCCAAAATAATCCAGGACACAACGAAAATCCTTGGAATAAAATTATAACTGAAAATATAAGTTGTTTCACATTTTATACATAGCAGGCACTTTTATAGGCATAATAAAACTAGACTCACAGCTAAACTATTCTTTTGAAAGTATCCTAATAGGACCCTAATCTTACTATAATTATCATAAATTATCCATAATAAATAAATAAAATCTCTAAAATGATAATTATTAAAGTTATTTTGAAGTCAGTAAAATAATATGACAGACACCTATCTGCATCATTGAGTATAATGCTTACTTGATCCAAAATATTCACTAAATTGTGGTGAATCTAGTTCCTTACACAAGTAGTTCTAGACAAAGTAATGCAGATTGATGATGTTGCAAAAAGTTAATAGACTACAAGAAGGGCATATAATAATCAGATACATACATCCACAGCCTGGAAAGATCTATCCATGGATGACTTCGGAGAAACTTCAGCGCCCGATGTTGACTCATTCTGAGTGATGCCATGAGAGTGCATCTACAAATAACCAACCAAATGAAATGAAGTAGATAAAGTCTAATGAGGTTTATCCAATTAAGAATTGAATAGATAACAGAATATGATAATAAAATATTAAATCAAAACCACCACTATAATTAAGATTCCTGGAAAAAATGAATGAAAATATAAGAGATATCAAACTCTCTTCCACAGTGAGAAAACTTAAAATGTCAGTAGGAGTGCTATGCATCTCTGAAACATGATACAGACTAGATCAAAAACAATAAATGGCGCCTCCCCATGCCACAAATTTTACAATAGGGAAGGAAGAAGAATAGAATTAAAGAATGAAATTTCATCTACTGGATGCATATTATTTGACTAAAAGCTGAGAAATAGATAAAAATTAATTGGTTAGACAAAATAGGCAGGTCATGTGTACGCAGGAAAAGGTGTAATTCAAATCTCAATACTAAGAAATAGAAACTTGAAGTTCACCAGTAAAAAATAATGTCCTAAAAAAAAGCTTTCTTTTCCTCCATATCCTTTCATTAGCATCAATGTATATCTAAGAATGCTTACAAAATGGATATTTATTTAAAGGGGATCTAAAAGATGTACAGTGATAACTGCTAACTGCTAACTGTAGCGAACTCTATAACCAACCTCATCTACCTCCTAACAAGTTATTCACTTTCTGATAGAACCATGGATCCAAACATGGTTCAGGATGGCCCCAAGAAGAAGACCTTACGAGTTTATACCTGTAGGCCTAACACTAAAACCACTCCCCATTAAATCCCGACTAGCGAGGGTGGGATGAAGGCTATTCTTGTACGCAGCCTTACCTTTACATAATTGCAAAGAGGCTATTTCCCGGACCTGTAGGCCTAGAGATTAACTGTAATTAGGAGGGAAACATGTGAGTGGGTAGGGAAAGTTAGTTATATAGAGGGAATATAGATCTGATACAAATGTAAAATGTAACAGAGGAGTGGTACATTATATTCAGTTTCAGCTTTTAGCTTTGGGCCATCGGAGAATATCATTGGCCAGGAGCAAGTACTTCTCTTGCATTTCTCTGTAATTCAATCCTAATTTCATTATCAATACAATATCCTTTTTATATATGGGAACTGTTTCCTATCACTTTAGTAGTGGGAAATATCCATAATCAAACACATTCTAAAGAACCAAATAAATCACTCTTAACAAGAGTTCTGTATTGGGTTAGTTATCTGAACACTTACTTCAGGACCAAGAATAACATTGCAACATAGATGATTAATTTACTATCATCGGAAAAAATATAGCAAGAATGATATTCTTTGTAGAAAAATCTACTGTGCCTCGTTCAACAGTTCTCTGCTCTAGTGGCAGTTTATTGATCACTGGATTGTGCTCCAAGATTAAATCCAATAGTAAATAAAGCTGTAAACAAGTTAGGGTACTGGTGTTTTTGAGATACTAGCATAGATAAAAATTGTCTCTAAATAGAATAAGTACTGGTGACGATAAAATTGCGCAACAAAGTGTCTAACCCATACTAATTGAAACCTAAATTCATCATTGAAGCGAACATAAACAGGTATATGGTTCTTTGTAATCTAGCCTACCCCACATGAATATTTGTTTTCTTGACCATCTTCAAACAGAGATGAGTAGTATGTCGGATCATATATAGCGCCTCCAAGTATCTCATTGGAATCAGAGCGTTGCCTAACTACTGCAGGTGCCACAGGACTCAAGAAACTACTCCTTAAGTCAGAATCTGCTGCTCGAGAAGCTGAGTCCACATAGGAAGCGCCTAACCTATATATTTGAATCCATAACAATGAGGATGATAGCCTCACTACAAAACCAGCAATTTGCATAGCTAGAGTAAGTTGCACTGAAAATATGAAAAATGCTGCGTAATCCTTGGAAGAAATATTCCTGCAAACACACAAAATGCTTTTCGTGAGATATGAATGAAAAACAGAGTCACGATCATTTGTATGATTCTGATAGAGCCTGGTATTTCAGGAAGTGAAAATAATAGAGAAGACAACTAAATAGTAATTATATTGAATCAGAAACAGCGAGAAATAGAAAATATAGAAAGATAAGGGTTATTGGAGAGAACCCTGCTCTCCTACCAAATTTCACCCAATACATGCTTACCTTCCCCTTCTGCTTTCCCTAGTTTTTAAAACAACCTAATAGCAGAATTGGGATCTTCGCTCCACTCAGATGCTGCCAGCTGACATTCCAGAATATACTATCTAAGAGACTCACTTCCTATTGCCACTCCACTATTCTCGACTCTATTCTTCCTAATATACACCTTCTAAATTAGAGTTATATCAATACCGTCCCCATTGAGTTTCACCTTGTCCTCCAGAAATTGTTCTTTCACTTCAACGAAAGAAGAAAGTCAACGGATGTGAAGAAGAGCCTCAAAGAAGGGCATATCCCCTACCTAAAGGTTTTCCAAAAATCTGATACAAGAGCCATTACTCTACTTCAACAAGCCATGAAGGTCAGCGGCATGAAATAGACATATTCCTAAGGAATTATTCTCCAGAGGCTCGAGTGCATTTCAGTGATTCACATCACGTCCCACCCATTCTGGGGTGAATGGGTAATAATCCATATTTGCTCTTTATAACCTGCTGCGATGATGCCACAGGTTACAATAAAGGGAAACGCCATAGTCATTGCTGAACAATTTTACTAATGAGATATATATTATATGGCTATCAAATGAAATGAAAAAAATCTGACAATTCACACTTCTCCTCTCCATGTTTTTCTTTCTAGTCGTTTCCTCCCCTTTCTTAGAGGTGAGGAAAATCATTGCACAAGCAGGCTAAGATTCAATCACCTGGTCTCAACTATAGTCCACAATGGTACATGACAAATTAAATTGCATCATATCGAACCAAAAAGAAAAGAAAAAAAATTGCAAAACGCACCAAATTTCACGAGTGAAGAGAATGAACCAAGAAATATCCAGCAAAATCGCGCAGAAGAGAAGGAATGCATAGGTACGGCCAAGGCTCTGACTGCTACTCTCAATTGCCACCAAAGCGAACAACGCGATTGCAAGATTTATCAGCGATACACCATTGTACGACGCTCCCAGCGATCCAATTAACGCGCACCCAATCTTCAATTATTTTAGATTTTCAAAACTCACATTAACGTACAAATTACAGATAACAATGTTCTCTACGCATTAACAAACAAAATAAAAAGGCGTAGCTAGTGTACCTACCTGAATGTAAAGGAGGATGATAGCGAGTTTCTGAAGCCTATCGTAATCGCGCATCCATGGCTGTATACGGTGTCTCAAATTCAAACAGAATGAACCACAAAGCATCATAAAGATTGTGACCGATTTAGTTTACAATCGAAATCAATCGGAGGAAAAACATGAAATGAAAAACGAATGCATTATCATCCCCTAAGGTTTTCTTTCTATCTATCGAGTACGTTGAGCTTCGTCGTTCACAGTCCGTTTTTCTTCGTCTTCTTTCTCCCTCTCATTCTTTTTTCCCCCCTCTTTCTCGGTTGAAGACAGTACAGCTATACTCAGGCTGTAATTGCAGCCACAGCGATTGCGACTTGTATTGTATCCCCTTTTCTCTCTACCTGTAAGTCTGTAACCAACTTTTCTCTCGTGCTCTTCTCTCGAAGCAGGTTGTGTTTATTATATGCCAAAATTATTTATATTTTTTAAGAAAGTAAAGGATATTGTAACTATCAATTATTATTATTATTAATGTTATTATCAATTAATTTTATTGTTAGACTGATTATGTTGATTCAACAGTTATATTTATTTTTATCTTTGTATGATTATGATTCTCCATATTTAATATTTTATATTTATTTTCACCTTTGTATGGTTATGATTCTCCGTATTTAATGTGTTCACATTAAATACGAAAAATCATAACCATGTAAAGATAAAAATAAATATAATTGTTGGATCAACATAATTGATCTAACGGTAAAATTGATGGGTAGTAATATTGATGTAACACTAATTGATTGTTACAACTTACAATATCCTACCCTTTAAAAAAATAGTTAAAAATTAAAATTAGTGTTTTTTTATTTAAAATTTAAATTAAAAAAATGATACATTTTCTTACTGTAATTTTTATTGTGTGTCTCTTTCTCTGATTAATTCTGTTTTTAAAAAGGACAAATACAAAATTCTTAATATATATATATATATATATATATATATATATATATATTGAGTTTAATGTTTTTTTTTTTTTTGGAAATAATGTTTATTTTTTTAAACAACATAAAATTATATGTGAGAAAGACACGAGCAATAGAAATCGTGAAAGAGAGAGTGGCTGATTTTTTTTAAAATTTAAAATTTAAATAAAAAATACTAAGATGTAAAATTTAAATTTAAATAAGGGTAGCTCAATTGGCAACTAAGCAAGTGTTTGTTTGGATCAGGAATTCAAACCATGTCTCAAGCAAATTCTTGAAAAAAAATTCGAGTCCAGAGATCATGCCTCTCTCCTGGAACGGGAATTAGTCCCGTCCATCCAATATATATTATACCAACTTATGAAAATAATTTAATAAAAAGTAAACTCATCACCTTAGTCATAAAAAAATATGTCGTTAATTTACTCGTTCTATATTGTAAAAGGTTCGTCTTAAAAGTATAGTATATAAAGTCTATTTAAATACTGAGATCCAATTAATTTTTTTAATATATGACAATGGATTAGTTGCGTACTCAAGTCAATCCAACAATCTATGCTCCCACACATTTGCAACAAATACAAACATTTCCTTAACAGTTTTGAACATCATGAGTTGACAACATTGAGAATGTGAATGAAGATGTCTTATAATTGTTTCCATGTTTTGAAGCTTAACTATGATTTCACTCAATGATGCACTAGGTGCTATGAGGGTATTTACAATAGTTGAGCATATCCCAAATGCAAATGCAATTGTTCCTTACCCCATCAATCTTTTGTTAGGCAAGAACTTCGGCCCCTTCTTTCCCCCTTTCACTCCTGCAACAAGGCCCAAACCTCTTCATCTTCCATTTGCTCATTTCACTGTTTTTTCCTTGTAGGTAAGTGCTTAAATTCATGTCATAATTTAGCAATAACTCCAACACTAGCTCGATCAATAGCAACAGGAAATTCTTCACTAATTCTCTATTTTTTTTTTATTTCTCCATTGATTCATTATTTAATTGATTAATTCGATCAAGTCACAGAATTACATGGATCATAAAATTTTTCCTATCAAATTTTAATATAACTGCATATTTAAGACTTGAACTCTAGATCAGAAGTTAAGTTGAAACATCCTATATCAATTAATGCAAGTACTTTGTGGTTGGGACCTTTCTTTACATCTACAAAACAAATTTTTCAATAGCCACATGCCATTCAACAAAGTGGTTAATTCATGGGCAAATGAAGCCTTTGCGCTTGAGTGTTTCATATTAAGAATTTTCCTACATATATGCAAGTTTTCAACACAACACATTACATGAAATAAATCTAAAATTTATTACTTCACATTAATTTACTACACACTAGTTATTTTTTCTCCCACCACCTGTCTAGGGCATATCAATATTATTTGCACTATTCCATCTCAAGAGCAAATATTCAGTGAACCCGGCTCACGTGTACCCCGGATAAAGAAAAAAGAGAGAAGAGAGAAAAGAAGAAGAAAAAGAGAGAAATAGACTATGCAATTAATTTTCTCATTTCAAACCCATATCTTTGCAAAGCAACTTGTACCATATTATTGATTTTTTCTTTAAGTTTAGGAAGGATGGTTTCATAAATAATATATAACTTTGAAGAAGAAAACAAGCTACAAATAATATGAAATTTGAGAAAGGATGAGAGAATTTCACAATAAATTTAAAGCAAAATAGTGGAAGTAAAATTCTCCATCACAAAAAATTAAAAAATTATCCATCACGGCTTATAAGTTTAGTGAAAAAATGTACTGTAAGTTAATTAATATAATACTTAAATTCTAATAAATGACGATGTAATATTTATTAATGACATAATATATATATATATATATATATATATATATATATATATATTTATATTATTTATTAAACATTAACAGCGGATACTCAAAGAGATGTAATGTAACTATGTAAGGACTAAGGAATATATTTATATTAAATTTCTAAAAAATCCTTATTCCATCTATATATTAAAATAAAAAATTTTCCATGGTGGATTGGCTTTAATTGGAAACATTATTCATGTAGGATTGGCTTTAATTTAAAACATCAAGATTTGCATAGATTAGTTTAATGTCGGCTGAATTTTTTGAGATAAAAAAATACTAAAATTTGCCGGATCATCATTTATATTCGCCAAGACTCTCAAATATATGGTCATGTTAATGGTTAATCACATTAGAGGATTCATAGAGGAACCGAAAGCAGTGTAGAGCAACAAACGCCGCATCAGAAAATGGCAACGACAGATCCGTCGTCCTCTTCAGATTCTCCGACATCAGAATCCGCAGCATCGTTGGCGTCGATTGCAGAGAATCTTCAGCGTTCTGCTATTCAATCTGCTCGTACTGTGCAACACAACTCTTCCAATCGTTTCCGTGCTTTTCAGGTTCCCATAGCCTCTCCTCACTCTTTTCGTTCTCTGTACGTCACCGTTTCGTGGCTCCTTCCATCTCCTTGTTTGTCTGGATTCGTTGCGCAATACGCGATATAGATAACATAAGCTACATTTACCCTATTTGCTGAATTTCATTATTAATTGGTTAGAGGGTGAATGATGAATATAGGGTTTCTATTCCCCTCTTCTTTATTATCTGAAATCAAAGGGAAAGAAGAGGACGAAGAGAAACAAAAAGGAATCCATTCTCTGTTTTTATTTTTATTTTTTTGGGGTCTGTATCTGATGTGCTAGTGCTTAGACTAGCTTTGTCTACTCCAGCTGTTAAGCTGTTGAGTAGTTACAGGTTTGGTTGAGTGGTTAAAGGTCTGTTGAGAATCTGTTAGAGTTAGTTTTGCTGAGCTGGCTTTCTGTTGCTTCAGTTGCAACAGTTACCAGACTCTTGGCTTACAAAGAAGGCTCACATCACACCCCTCTTGCACAGGCATATTCTGACGAGAGGTACTTTCCATTTTCTTTAATTTTGGGTGCAAGATCAAATAGCAGCTCATGCTGAAGTAATGAGGGACCAATTTCAGAATAGCTAGTTGATGGTGGTTTTACAATATACTTGTGACCACATCTTATATTCATTTGCTGAACCTCTTAAGTTGTAATGAACCTGTTAGAATATTAGGAATTATTGTTCTAGGACTAATATTATACTAGAAGTGTTATTGAGCTAGGTTTTAACCTGTTGTATTATACTTATACTGAACCTTGAACATCAATATAAACAAATAAAAGTAGTAAGTTATGTGTTATATTATTTCATAACATCATGATTATTCAGAGTCTTCCTGGTTGAATCAGGCTTGTCAGTAGGGGCTGGAGTTACCAGAATAGTGGCAGAGCAAACCTTTGTCACTCCCAAACCCTAGTCACAAGGTGTTTTTGCGTCGCAGCCATTGTGGCTGCTATAGTGCAGTGTATTGAAATCTGAAATATATTTTTTTCTGACTTTTTGAAGAGAAGTTTGTTTTGCTCTTATTTAAACTAACAGATTTCTGTTTCATTCTCACTTAATCTACACAACTATCTGTTTTTTCCTCACTTAAACTCACTTGCTTCCATTGATTGAGGGAGTTTTGGTCTCCCATGACCCATCACGTATATAAATCAGTTTTGAGGGTTTGCGGAAGCTGTCTTTTGCACTAAATCGTGCACAAAACAAAAAAATGAAAATACTGGGCAAGTTTCATTTTGTTCTTGTTTTTGAAAATTATTTCATTTAATTATTTCTTAGAATCATCTTGTAGAATAAAAATATCAAAACACTTGTTTGATGAATTTTGTTTTGAGAGTAAGTTTTGAAAGCTTGAGGATGCTTTGGAAGAAATGGTAGAGGAGATTGTGGATGGTGGTGGTTTGAAGTGAGAGTTGAGAATCTATGAAAACAAGTTAAAGAAAACAAAAACAACTAAAATGTGTATTTGTTTTCCAATTCTAAATTTTTTTTATGGAAAACAAGTTTTCAAATTAATAAGATAAAAACAAGTATCCAAACAGGTTTTTTTTTCTTTTGTTGTTTTAGTTTTTGAAAACTGAAAACCGTTTTCAAAAACAGAAATCAAACACAGCCACTGTTTCCTGTTTTTAGAGAATGAAAATACTGAAAATATTTCCTGTTTCACAGCAAACAGCATGTCAAAATCGCATATTCTCAATACATTCTATGTTATCAAAACTTTCTTCCATGAAAGGTGGTTCGTTTTGATGCAGGAGCCCAAGCTGGTACATGCATGCTATCAATTGCACCAATGCCATTCTACATTTGAAACACGAATAATAATTTAGTATACAAACATTTATACATTTATTAAATATTAGAAGTTATGTATAGATATGTACCTTAAAGCAAGGAAATTATTTTTGGTTATCCATGACTTGTGGATGAGTAGTTGTCCGATTTCTTTGTCGAATAATGTTTCTACCAGCTTGCAGACTGTCCTTAAAACTATTTTAAACCATTTGCTTACAGTATGTAGGGAATGTTGTAAGTGTTAAGCAACGACTTGATGATGCAAATTATGACGTACTATGATTAAGAATATTGCAACTCCTTCCTGTCCTTATTGCTCTTATTTTATTTTATTTTACTTTTTTTGCCGTCTCTCAAATTTCCAACATCCTTCAAAGTATCACAAAAACTCATAAACGCATGCTTCTCCATTCCAAAACTGCCATTATATCTAACTGCATGACCAGCCAAGAAATCAACAGTATACATCTTCCCTAATCCCTATTAACATAGAAGACCTACATGGTGTCTTACTAGTAAAACTTTTCTCATAAACAAAGGGACTACACCCAAACAATAAAATTATAATTATAATTTTATCTCCTGATTCTGTGTATATTCATACATAAAATTTTAAAGTCTGAACTAGTTATAATTGTTAGAAATTGTAATTGAAATTATAATTCCAAACATGAATTTTGCTTATTTTATCCAAAAGAGCCTAGTACATATTTGATCAGATTCAATCCAGGAGCCCAAGACATATTGGATCAGGTTCAATCCAGAAACACCTAATAACATACTGTCATATGGTTTAACCTGCTAAACCTGTCTGAAGTTATGAAGCATGATTTATTTGCTTTCAGATCATATAAGGCCTGCACTAACAATCATTGATATATAAGAAAAGGTTTAACGTTTCTCCAGTGATTGGAGATAAAGTTATCTTCAGTGAGTTCAAAACGACGTCGTTTTGGGGTTGAAAAAAAGGTATTTTTGTAATTCTAATTTATTCTAGAGTTATATTAGTCTTTATCATTATAATTTTGTAATCTTCCAACCCTAAAACGACGTCGTTTTGGGCTCACTGGAGATATATCTCCAGTGACCGGAGATATATTAAACCCAATAAGAAAATGATAAACAAAGTCAAATCATTTTAAAGATCAAAACAAAATTATTTCATTATATTTTTTAAATAGTGAATAAATGGAAGGTACTATCTTTCATTTACTTTTTAATTTTTTGTAAGGGGTTGTTGGGGTCCTAGTATATGCTTTCTACTCTTGTTTATACAGAATCTCTTTTTGTCTAATGCTATAGCTTCTTTTCATGCCCTCTTATTTTTTTATTTTTTTTTCATGTTCTATATTGTATTAATTTGGGAAATTCCTGACCATGTGTGATCACTTTTTATCCCTCAATAAAATTTGAATGGCTCCCAAACTCATCCAGGTTATGTATGATTCTTTTGCAGAATTTTTTACCAGAAGCAGTGTCACAGTATAGAACTTACGAAGATGCTTTCTTCAATAAAGTTAAAGGTGATTAAAAATGGATATTATTGATCTGTGAGTGATGGGTGTGTCCTTCAACTTTGAAGCACTTTTGATGGTTCGGTATAAAGGTTTTGGCAAAATTGCTGTAGTTTGTAATTTATGCAGTCATTTTATTCATTTGGTTGGAGCAAAATGCTTGCATTTCTAAGGATTTCTCTTTGTCCCTAATCTTGTTATGGCATAGGCCTCTATTTGGTGTTCAATTCATAATTGTTTCTTCAGGGAGGGGTTTACCCTTACTGATATGCAGAAAGATCAGGCAGCTTTGCTACATTTTGAGTCTTCACAATGCACATGGTTTTGTTGTACTATGTTTTGTTGCACAAATTCTGAGCCTAGTTGTGAAAGACTATAGCGTTTGGAGGATTTCTATGATAAATTTTATACTTTCCATAAAAAAACTGAATACTATCGATCTTATTTCTAAATTTTTTTTTCTTAGATGAATTAACACTGAATGATATCAACCATAGAAACAACATAATTGTTCCTGCTTTGCAGTAATCTTTTATGTGTATATTATTGATTTATGATCTTAACCCTTTTGTAGATGGATTGATGGTTGCAACGGAGCATCCAGCTTTAGGAGTTGGTTTTGCTATTTCTGCCGCCCTTCTTGTTATGCGAGGTTTTTTTTCCCCATTATTTCCACTTACAAGTAGCAAAATTTTTTTTGTGATACCACTCAGATTTTTTTTAAAGGTTCTATTCATGATTTTCGCATCTTTAACTTTGCCAAATTCTCTTGTGATAGACAATTGAGATTTAAATATATTATCATGATCCAATTTATTATACTGTGGCCAAACTTGGGAAAATAATGCAGGATCAATGCTTTTTTTTTTTTTTTTTTAGTTATTTCCTTGACTTTCCTTTCTATTTTGTCTTTAATGTAGTTTTTATTATACTAAGTAGTCACGCGACTAGCATTTGACCTTTTGATGACTAGCAAGCTGAGTTTAGATCAGATTTTAATAATTTGGATTGGATTCGGTAATATACAGTTAACCTGGTGGCTGGTATAAATAGCTCTTAGGAGTATTCAGCTTTCATACGATATATTTTCCCTTATTTCAAATCATAATTCTGTTAAGAAGCTGCTGTTTTCCATGTTTCTTGCTTCAAATGTTATCAAAGCCATGTTGAGGTTTACAGTATAGTTTGGTTTGTTGTGGCATATGCTTGAAGATTTTTCGTGTGTAATACATGCTTTGAAATGACAAGCATCATGTGGGAACCTGGATGGAAAATCAAGAAGGCAATCTCAACCTTGTAGGCAATGTGGAAGTTAGAGTAAGACACTGTTGTAGTCCTCCACCAATCTATTATATTTATTCTGATAAATCGTAGATCAGCAAAAGGCACTGGATATCCCAGAGTTTTCAATACAAGTTAGGTGGGCTTATGTGCTGTTCATACTTCAAGTCCAAGGGGCACTTGCTTGAGAGGGCGTATTAGATATAAAACCATTCATGTGCTTTAACTCAACAGTTTAAGCTTTTGGGGTGGTTGGTACATAAAATTGTATTAGAACCTCTATGACCAAGTGGTCTAGAATTCGATTCTTGTTGCCCTCATTCTTCTAATAAGGAGTTGAATTTAAGCACAAGATAGGTGGGTTTGTACATTGTCTACGCTACAAGCGTAAAAGACTCTTGTTTGAGGAGGCATGGTAGAGATTTATATAAAATCATTCATGTGTTCTCATTTAATTGCACATGAATGGTTTTATATTACATCTCTAACCATGCTCAAATGCATTGATTAATCCATGTAGCGGACCCCACATAGTGGGGTATAACTCGGCTGTTGTTGTTGCATATCTTTCTTGGAAAATGTAATCAATATGACTCTTTTGTACTATATTGCTTATGATTCAAACCAGTTTTATCTAATTCTGTTTTCTGTGTCTCAAGTCTCAACTGATTTTGTAAATTTTCTCTTGAATGTTATTTTCTAGTTTAGTTTTTAAGTACTTTTTGTTTTGCAGCTCCAAGAAGGTTTCTGTTTCGTAATACATTGGGCCGATTTCAGAGTGAGGAGGTATTTTTTAGTTGAACAACCAAGATGCATCCCTAACTTATGTTCTTACATACTGCTCCTCTCAATTTGTGATGCATAACCTGCTCTTTCCTTATCTTGTAACTTGATATCGAGGACATTCTATCTTAAGCTTTTGTTTTGTATTAAGAGTTGTAATATTTCTCTAGTGCATATTCTGTTGTTTCTTTCACCTTCTTACGTGAATACTTGTAAAGGCACGGTATGCTAGTGCTGAGAAGAATGTGAAGGACTTGAGCCTTTCAGTAGATCTATTGAAGAAGGAGAGCATAAAATTGCTTCAAAGGACAGCTCTAGCTGAGAAGGAAATGAAGTATGGGCGTAACGAACTCATGTATGTATTATCAGTTAAGGAAAGGATATCTGAGTTATTTGATTACAGCTGAATTATGCCTGATTGCCTGAATATTTAATTTCAATAATGTATAGGAGTGCTGGAACCCAATTTCAAAAGCTGGCAAAATCATCGTACAAGGTTGAAGCCCGAGCTGCTGGTATGCTATCTTTTATATTTTTTTTGAGAAAATAACCAAAATGTAACTTCTGATAGAATATTTACCATTAAGAAAAATATTCATATTTTTTTATGCATAAAATAGTCATATTTTAATCACACTTTTTATACAGAAAATTAATACATTTTGTTCATTCCCTGTCTTTTTTTATTATTATTTTTTCTTTTGTAATTCTCCCTTTCATATTTTCTTTGGGTATGTGTCATATCAATTATCGCACTGGAACTTACACTTTTTTTATCATGCTGCAGATTTAATAGACAGGCTGCGGGATATACCTAGTCGTGAATCTCTGGCACTCCGAGCTGAGGCAAGGCTATGACTTTTGTTTGTCTTTCTGTTGTTTCCCAAAAGTTCAGTCATCTTAAATTACTCATTGTTTTCTCTCTGCCACAAACACGTGATTAGGTTGCCTCTATGGCTTCAATTTTGAAGCGACAGAGATCTGCAGTGGACAAACGGATAATGAAGATTTCCGAGTTAGGGGTTCCTGTGTGAATTGGTGGACAGGTTTTGGACCTTCTCTTAATGCACATCCATCTCAGTCATCGCAATTTTCTTGAATAAGTTCTGTTGAGGACGTACATAGCTGTACGTATAATGCAGACCCATTTCTTGGGCCATCTCTTTTATTTAGTCAATTAAGTGAATAGGTAGCTATCCTTAATAAAGTTGTAACTTGAAAATGTTTTTTTTGAATATTACAACTTTACAGCAATTCAAGTATAAAGAGACATATTCTCATTGTTCGCAACTGTTAAGAATCGGCGAGTGAATACCCCATATAATTATGCATCTTCTAGGACTCACAAAACCCAGCCACGTTTTAAAAAAAATGTGATTAATTTAGCGTGTGTTTGGTTCAGTTTTATGAAACTACATGAAGTTTGTTCAGTTTTTATTTCCATGATATATATGAGTGGATCTTAATTTATTGTTTATATTTATTTGATGATGTTTCTTTATTGATTTTTAAGTCGATTTTATATTATTTGAGCCATGAAAACAAAAAGAAACCTTCGCATATAGCTTTATAGATCATCACTTACAGTCATAATTACATATAACCAATCCTATCATTGTTCATGAGTAAAAATTGAATCTAAAAACCTGAGTCAACACTAAATTGAGATTATCTCAAGAGAATAGTTTAGCAATGGCAGGAGATGCGTGACTCGATGTATGTCTCTATGTTCAAATCTTAATTATGTCAATTTCATGGTCACATCTTATGTCATATCTATAAGGATGTAAACAGACTTAAACCAGGCCAAGTACTTGAGTTTAGGTTTGGATTGCCAAAAAAAAAAACGACAATCAAGTTTGACTCCTTGAATTTGTTTATAATTTATTTATTTTTTGTTAAATATCTTGAGATATTTTAAGTTTATTAATTTGATATATGTATATATATTTATATCAGAAGGTAAAGTAAGTATAAAACAGAATAAAAGACATTTAAATATGAAAATTAAGTAATAAAAATTGAAATGAATAATCTCATGTGTTAATTAACATGATAATGTTATGTGAGAGTATTCTAACCAATACTTTTATCTTGGATGCTAAAAATTGGCTGGAAAATAGCTTTAGGAAGATTTTCACTAAATGACTATTTTTCTTTTATCACTTTAATTTCTTCTAACTTAACTATTGCTCCAATTCAAGTCAATTGTCCTACAAAATAAGAAAAAGTTATTCACATGAGTTAATAATTCAAACTTCATATTTTTTTAATCAAATAACTCATGCTTTTGACTATATATATAAGAGTGATTTTAGTCTTTAAAAATCATAATAAATTATGAGTTTATCAAATCATGTGAATGAACGGTGATAATTTTATAATTACATGTTCCGATATTTTTTTTTCTCTCTTCCTTTATTATCATTGTTTCATTTTATATGATTAGAGACACGTGATCATGTTAATTAGCAGTATTTACTCTCAATAAGAATATATAAAATATTATACGCACACCCCTTTTATGAGTTTTATCCCTTTGTTATATAAGCCTAAGATTAAGAATAATTACTAATTGACTCGAGGGGTGAAAAGCTGACAATATCAGATGGATCTGCGAAGAGGGTTGTTTAATGATATAGACATCGGGGGATACGTCCTTGTGACTCGAACTAACAGCAAGAAAGCCACTCGAGTCTCGATCTCACTCACCGCGATTAGGATTTAGGTTAGTGGAGGGAGGGTTTTGTATTGTAACCGACGACGATACCGTCTTGTGTTGTGTTGTGTTGTTGAAGTCGCAAGTTGCAACAAAGCCCTACTACGATTTTCTGTTACACACACCCCCAACCAACCACCCACCCAAGATGATGTCATCACACGCGCGCGGTGTGAAGTATTAGTCAGATCTGTTTGCGAGTTCGAAATTAATCAGAGTTATTGATGGAGGGGAACTCGGGAGGGGGAAGTGGTGGTGGCGGCGGCGGCGGAGGAGGAGGAGGAGGAGGAGGTGGGAATGACGTGGAGCTGCTTTGTAAAACGCTGCAGGTGGAGCACAAGCTGTTCTACTTCGATCTGAAGGAGAACCCTCGTGGTCGATACCTTAAGATATCGGAGAAGACTTCTGCTACTCGGTCCACCATCATCGTCCCTTCCACTGGCATTTCCTGGTTCCTCGATCTCTTCAATTACTATGTTAACTCCGACGATCAAGACCTCTTTAGCAAGGAATTGCAGCTCGATACCAAGGTAACACTAACCCAACCCTCTTCAATTCTCTCTTTCTCTCTCTCTCTTGGTATTTTTCTAATTTCTTCCTTTTCAGGTTTTCTACTTCGACATTGGGGAGAATAGGAGGGGCCGTTTTTTGAAGGTACTTACTTACTTGCTTACTAACCACTGTCTTCTCTTTCTGTAACAACCTTCTCTAATGCTGTACTCACTCTTCAAAAAAAAAAAAAAAAGCTTTTCTATATTGTCACCTAATGAAGGTCAAATTTTGCAATTGCCAATTTTAGCGTTTTTTTATTCCGTGAGCAATAAGGAAATTTAATTATGGTAATTAAGGGGTTGGTCAACCCAACTCATGTGTAAAAGAGGAAATCTTTAAAGTATTTGGCATTTACAACTTATTTGTTCATCAGAAAGAGCTCAATGCATAATGGGTGGGGATATTAATAACCTTGGGAATGGATCATCTCGTGTCTCTTTTCAACATGACCATGTAATATGGAAAATCTCAATCATTCATTGGTATATCAACAGTCACTATTTTAATAACAAAGCTCGTAATGATCATTTTAATTAATCTATCGATATATGGTTGAGATTTTCCACATGACGAGGTCATGCTGAAAAAAGAAATGAGATGATCCAGATTTGTTATTAAAGCTAGTAAAAGGAAACGGAGATTATAATTTGGGTTTGTGTGGTAAACGTTGGGCGTCTTGTTTGACATTTGGAATGTGTTTGCTTGAAATGCATAATACTACTGTAAGCTCTAGGGATTTCACCACTTTCCCCGGTCATAGTGGTGGATAGAGGGAATAAATTGTGCTTTGTGGATTTTTATTAAATTATTTTGATAGCAGTGAAAAAAAAAAAAAAAAAGTTTGCATGTCAACATTTTGGATTTGTGTGGCTTGAACTCTGCAAGTAAAGCCCTGTTTATGATTAAGAAAAGGAGAAGGTAATACAATTAAGTTCATGTAGAAGTCATGTGATGGCAGAATTTCTTATTTGTCTTAGCCCTTAGAGCCCGTTTGTTTCTGCTTTTTAAAAAAGTAACTTTTATCCAGTGTTTTAAAACTCGGACCGGTCATTGAACCGGTCGAGGTACTGGGTCACTGGTTCAACCGGGTTCAACCGGTTTTACTGTTCACATGTTAAAAATATAAAAATATTACTTATATTAATAAAAATTCACATAAGAAAACTATCTATGAGCTTCAAAAAATAAATTGGTTTTCAATGATAGCAAATATTATATACTTCTAAGCTTCTAGCTCTAGACCGTTGAGATGAGATCATGAGACCATTAGTGTTTATCACCACTTAACTTCATGAGATCATTATAAGATGCAACTAAATTACATAAACGAACTACACTAATCTAAAATACCTTATTATTTTCACCTTACTTTTAATCATATTCATCAAAAAATATGAATATGATTTAATTCAAGAGTTCTTATCAACAAAAAAAAAAAATTTACCAAAAAAAAAGGAAAAACCGGTTTAACCCGAGTCAACCGGGTCGCCGGGTCACCGGGTTTCGGACGGGTCAACCGGTCCAATCCGGGCTGACTGCATAACCGGTCTAACTACCCGCTCGGACCGGGGAACCCACCGAGTCCCGGGTTGACCCGGCCAGTCCGAGCCGGGTTTTAAAACACTGCTTTTATCTCTTCCTTATTTTAAAAGTGTTTTTTATAAAAGATAAAGCTATTTATATTTTTATAAAAATATTTAGTTTTTAAAAAAAATATTTAACTTTTGACTTCTGCTTTTTTTACAAGTTAAAATGTTTAGCTTCTGAACAAAGTAGATTTTTGGCTTTTTTTGTGACTTCTTCTTTTTTTAAAAGCAGACATTTAAATTAACTAAAAATGAGAAGTGCTTTTTTTCAAGAAAAAAGTAGCTTTTGGAGAAAAAAAAGCCCATCCAAACAGGCTCTTAGGCTTTGACTTGTGAAGCTTAGTTTAGATGTTTGATTGATAATTTTTGTTAGGGTTGCTTCTTAGGGATTTGTTGTATGCTAAAACGCCAAAAATCATGATGAACTTTGCCTTCTGGCACCCTCTCAACCTTCAACCTGTATAAATCACATCACGCCACTTATAATATACCTACATAATTGTTCAATCTGCAACTTCTATATTCAATACATCGACAGAGTTAGCAATCCACTCCTATCTGAAGTCAGTTGGCAAGATGAAGGGCTTTTCTGAGTATCTTTGCAGTGGACTTTAGATCTACAAATGTGAGCAACATATATTATGGTCTTTTGCTACAACCTTAGCCTCTCTGCCTACAGTAGTTATCTAAATATTATGTTTGAGGGCTTCTTAGGTTGAAAGTTTGGGACACTTCATTGTTTGGCTGGCTTTCTGAATTTACAAATAACCTGAAGCAATCTCAAGCATTTGTTGAATGTCACTTGCTTGAACAAGCTCTGACAAGCATTGAAACTCTGAATACACTAAATTTACTTGCAAATTTCATATGTAAGCTGTAAAATCTTCTCTACCCATTGCGTCTCTGTCTTTCACTGTGAAACGTGTCTGAATCTCTTTTTTCTTTGTTTTTCTTGTTAACGTAAATCCTTGAAGAGGTTTGCACTTTCTTTTTCTTGTCCATTAGCATTCAATAATTTGGCATTAATTGATTGAATTAGAGATTGCATCGTTGCAGTTCTTGATTGTCCCTCTATTTCACAGGTGATCAAGGGATGTGACATTTTCCTTTAGAATATTTTCGTTCTGGACATTAGGCATTCCACTGTTAAGAGATGATTAAGTTCTGGATAGATAGATTGCCATCTCCATGATCCTTACCCTCAAATTGATCCCGTGATTGTCAGAGGACAAATTTTATGTAAGAAGCAGTATAATAGGGCTATGGACAAAGATGCAATAAGTAAGAGAAAAGGGGGAAAACAGAGACACTCCCTGTAAAAGTCATTCCATTATTTGTGCTTGTGTTAGCAAAGGGATTACTGTCTCCATTGTTGGCAAATTGGGTGATCATTTATGTCATTATAGTATCTTAGTTGCATGTTTAACTCAGTTGTGCACTCCTGGAAAAAAGGTCGTTCTTGTCATGACCCTTCTGAATACACTGCATGCGTACTAACTTCTATTCTGTAAGTAGCAGACATTCCTTCTCCTCTTCCAAATCCTGTTCCTCCCTTAATTCAACTTCTAACTCCAAGATAGAGTTTGACAATCAAGGAATCCTCTGTAAAGTCACTCCCTGTGAAAGTCACTCCGTTATTTGTATTTTTGTGTTAGCCAAGGGTTTAACGCCTCAATTGTTGACAAATTGGGTGATCATTTGTGTCATTATAATAGTATCTTAGTTGCATGTTTAACTCAGCTGTGCACCCCCGGAAAGATTATCATTCTTGGCATGACCCTTCTGAATAGATTGTTTGCATACTAACTTCTCCTATTCCCTAAGCAGCAGACATTCCTTCTCCTCCTCTTCCTCCTCAAAATCTTGTTCCTCCCTTAATTCCTTTCTAACTTCAAGACAGAGTTTGACAATCAAGGAATCCTCTCCTTTATTGCCCAGTACACTAAATATTGATATTGACCTTTTATCTTGTCTGTGTAAAATCTTCTGTATTCAGTATTTAAGTGGTATCTTCTATGTCCCCTTTTATTCTTATTGCCAGATTGTATTTCATATCTAGTGCCTGCCCTAGTATAACTGAAGTGCTTACAATGTGGGTCTGAGGGTAGGAAGGGTGTGAAAGGCTTTGAAGACCAGGTGATTATTTTGTTTTGGAAGTTTTGGGATGTTGGTGTTGTTGGGTGCTGTCTGTTTTTTGCATGTGATAGTACACAACAAAAGAACTGTTTCTATTTTTGGTGCAACCATATTTATTATTCTCACCAAACGAATGTACAAAATCAAGCTTTGAAGCATGCATCATTGTGGAACATAGGAAGAACAGTAAAACCAGTCTGCACTACAAAACAGTAGCTATGCAGTCAACTAGAATATTCTGTAATTCCTCCATCTTCTATATAGGTCCCTGTTAATATATTTGCATTTTAATTTGACAAATTCAATCCCTAAGTAACATATACAGAAACTTTTGCAAATAACACTGGTAATTGGTGTTTCCTAATAACTAAAATTGTTTCAATGAGGCTACATGAAGTCCCTCATGAAATTTGTTATCTTGTTTTGCATCTTTTTGGGTTTACTGATTTTTACATTTAATTTTGAAGTTTCTGTCTTGTGAAGAATATTACCTGTATGTTTATTTTGTTTCAAGATAATGATTATAATTTATTGTGTAAAGGTGTCTGAAGCTTCTGTCAGCAGAAATCGTAGCACTATCATTGTTCCTGCAGGAAGCTCCAGGGATGAAGGGTGGGCAGCATTCAGGAACATTTTGGCAGAGATCAATGAAGCCTCGAGGCTTTTCATTCTCCCCAATCAGGTTTCCTTCTTTTGCAAGTAGACATTTTTTTTCCTGCTTAGCCACTAGAATTTTTCTAGTTGTCTTATGTGATCTATTGTATCTCATCTGATTGATTGCATTCCTCAACAGCAAAATTCCGAATCCTCAGAACGTCTTGTTGGACTTTCGGATGATGTTGGTGCTGGCTTCATATCTGGTCATAGTAGTCAACCTGCCACCTCTTCTGAGTTGAATGTGGACAGGTCTGTTGATTTGCCAGCTCAGGATGAAATTGGGAACTTGGGGGTCTCAAAAGTGATCAGGGCTGATCAAAAAAGATTCTTCTTTGATCTTGGGAGCAATAACAGGGGTCATTTCTTAAGAATATCAGAGGTGTTCTGCCATTATCGTTTTATCCTTTTCCTTTATTATGTTTTAGTGTGGGAAGAGGATTTTGTTCTGTTAATTTTTGTTATTTCATTGCAGGTTGCAGGTTCTGATCGATCCTCCATCATTCTTCCTCTGTCAGGGCTCAAGCAGTTTCATGAGATTGTTGGTCACTTTGTGGAAATCACCAAGGACCGAATTGAGGGAATGACAGTTGCTAATGTACGCACAGTTGATCCCCCTCAAAGATGAATGCCAACTTGGGGTTTTCTGTTACAATAAGTAGTCCCTCTCTGCCAGGGTTTCGTTAGGGATACCAATGGGTGTCATCTGAGTCTTATTTGTACTTTTTTATGTCTTATTCGTGCTTTTTTATTTTTTTCTCCTCAGTCTCTTTCTCCTTCTCATATTGTTCTTCCATTAATGCTTTTGAAATAATCCAAACTCTGGTTGATCAGTAGAATAATTGGAATTGCTGGGCAAGGTTTATAGGAATAGGAAATAACGGAAGAAAAGTGAACAAAGACTTGTACTTATTTGGATAGTTTGGCACCCGTGCTATATTTTGTAATAATGCTTGTTTGATTGTTTATTATGCTTTCATTCACGGTTTTCACATGCATTTAAGTTCCCAGACATGAGGAAATTAAAAAAAAAAAGTTCCCAGACATGCTGAGCAATCAATCGTTATACTTACCAGATTTTAGGTTTGGTGATTTAGCTATTTTATAGGTTTTGGTTTCCATCTTGATGAACTTAGCATTGATAATGAAATCTGTTCTGTAGTCATTTATCTGATTTGTGCGGATTAAACACTTACCTTAGATGGAATGAAATGGAAGGTAGCGAAGTTACATCCATTATCTTGTCGGCGAAACATGAGTGTGGGAATTCCTATTATGAAATTACTGGAGATTTACTTAGGGTGGGAATTAACTTTCAACGCTCTATCTCCAATATCTCCCAATTCTTCTGGCACCGAGCTCTCGATTTTTGCCATGGCGTATTATTTTCCATTTGCTTTATAATTGTAAAATTACATAAAAAAAATACAATAAAATTTCAATAAAATAGAAAATATAATAAATGTAAGCTTAAAACATCAACAAATTTAAGTGTATTTTAAAAAATTCAAAATTGTAAAAGAAATTAATTTTTTGCATTTAATTTTAAATTTATTTCATTAATAACTGAAAAAGACAAAATAAACTTGCAATCTACTTCATAACATATTTTTTTTATCGTTGTTCTTGTTTTTGTGGAAAAATAACTCCGAACTTCGGGCACCGGATGGGACCTTCAAATTCTGAGAGAAATTACCATCCTTAATGTAAAGAAGAGGGAAGGAAACTAGTTTTTACTTTCTTTCTTTTTCTGGGTTATATTTCTTTATGGGTTTAATATCTTTCTAGACACTAGAAATAAAATTATCTCATTTATAATGATAAAATTTAATATGGCTTTAGAATAAATTACAATTACAAAAATACATTTCTTTCAACCACAAAATGATATTGTTTCTGAATTATTAGATAACTTATAGCTAGTGACATCGAGAAACATTAAATCATTTTTTTATACAAAGGCTTTTATTGAAATATGTTTAAAGATATTTTGAAAGGAAAAAAAATTATGAATACATTTTACATTATCTGTTTGGGGTATTAATGATATAAAGAATGAAAAGTAAGTATTTTTTTTTGGTAAACATGAAAAGTAAGTATTTAATATTTAACTTTAAGTTTATTAAATAAGTTATTTTTCAAAATTAGAAAGTAAAAAAAATATAATATATAAGATTATAATATTGTATGTAAATCATCCCATCGTCATTCTTCAAACTTAATTTAAATAAAAATTGAGGTGAAACATAGATTACAGTCATGAAGTTTGTTTAATGTTCAGCAGAAAACTACCCATGCCATGTGCGTGTCATATGAGTGGGTAATAAAAAATAAATTAAACTCTATGTACTACAAACGAAAACTGAATAAACTTCAAGGGGATTATATGTGAGGGGATCATCACCAATGAGTGAGTAAGATCAACCACATCGAATTGGTCAAATACTATCTTTTTACTTAACTTATTATCAATTAATTAATTTGATTCACACTTGAATATCCCAATAATTATATGTTACCCAAGCAAATTTTAGTATACTAGGCCAAACCGGAGGGTTGTAATTTTTTATCTTAAAAATTAATTATGGTGATTAATTGGTCCCTGAAAGATGTGATCAACTTCAAATTATTGACAAGTAATATTAATCTTATATGTGGTTCTTGTGAGATTACTCTGTAATTCCAATTAGTGAGATTGTTATGTGTTCGGTTTAAGTTATCAGAGTTGCTTCGCTTATATGGTATGTTAAGTGTCTAAATGCCACATGCCCTTTCCTATATGGCACGATAAGTTTGACAACTAAGTTATATTAGTTCTTGTAAGATTGAAAAGTCAATTATATAAATTCCCTAATATTGTTTAGGCCTCTGTATCCAAAATCCTTCCCCAGAGTAAGTTTTTAGTAAATACTTAATAATGACATGTAATTAATTATTCTTCTATTGGTATGCAAAATGGTGTAAGTCAATACAAGTTATATAAAATTTATTAAGTTAATTTTTAAAATAATATTGACACAATGAGAATTTGTCTAATTTGGAAATCATGACCACAATAAAACAATTATGAAATGGAAATTTCATTTCAAGAAAAATTCTTTTCAAATTATTCCTTGCAAGTGGCGTTTGTTTTTTTTAAGGAAGTTATGCGTCCTAAATCCTAATGTATACCGTGGTTACAAGACAGCAATTAAATTGCCGTGAGAAAGGGAATAACGTATAAAAATAAAAGAAGTTTAGTTTTTCTACGTTTGGTTTCTAACCTCAAATGACAAAACAGCAAGAGAAAAATTCGAAAACGAAGAATAGATAGAAAGTCAAAGAGTGAAACACACGCACGAGTGGTGGAGCGATAAACAAGGTGCAACAAAGGTGGAGATCGACCGGCTGAGAGACAAGTTCGGCAAAACAAACCTTTTACGGTTTAAAAAAGGTTAGCACATATTGGAATATAAAAGGGAAGGGTTAAACAAGCAATCTATCTTCTTCCAAAAGAAGAAAAAGGGAAGGAGATAGGAAAGGGTTGAATATATATAGAAAATATATATATACAAACAAAACAAAACCAAAAAACCAAAATAAAAAAATAAAAAAAATGAATCGTGGGGCGATGTATTTATTGATGCTTTGCCTCCTAGCTGGAGCGGTAAGGGGTGAAGACCCTTATCTTTTCTTCACATGGAACGTTACATATGGGACCATTGCTCCTCTTGGTATCCCGCAACAAGGAATTCTCATCAACGGTCAATTCCCGGGACCAGAAATCAACTCCACTAGCAACAACAACGTTGTTGTTAACGTTTTCAACAACCTAGACGAGCCACTTCTTTTCACATGGAGTGGGGTCCAACAAAGGAAAAACTCATGGCAAGATGGTACATTGGGAACACAATGTCCCATTGCCCCTGGCACTAACTACACTTACCACTTCCAAGTGAAGGACCAGATTGGAAGCTACTTCTATTACCCAACCACAGGGTTACATAGATCCGCTGGTGGCTTCGGTGGTCTTAAAATCAATAGCAGGTTGTTGATTCCTGTCCCTTATGCTGATCCCGCTGATGAATATTGGGTTCTCGCCGGTGATTGGTACGCTAAAAGCCACACCATTTTGAAGAAGTTTTTGGACAGTGGTCGTTCTCTTGGAAGACCTGAAGGTGTTCACATTAACGGTAAAAACGGTGCGTCGGAACCGCTTTACACAATGGAGCCTGGTAAGACTTATAAATACAGAATCTGCAACGTTGGTCTTAAGGACTCACTTAACTTCAGGATTCAAGGACACCCCATGAAGCTTGTTGAGATGGAAGGGTCCCACACCGTTCAGAATGACTATGACTCTCTTGATGTCCACGTGGGACAATGCTTCTCTGTCCTCGTAACCGCCGACAAGGAGCCAAAGGATTATCACATGGTCGCCTCCACGCGCTTCACCAAGAAGGTTCTCACCGCCACCGGTTTAATCCGTTACACTAACGGCGTTGGTTCTGCTTCCAATGTGCTCCCTCCCGCACCTGTTGGTTGGGCTTGGTCTTTGAACCAATTCAGGTCATTCCGTTGGAACCTAACCGCTAGTGCTGCAAGGCCTAACCCTCAGGGCTCTTACCATTACGGTCAGATTAACATCACCCGGACCATTAAGCTTGTTAACACTGTTAGCAAGGTTCAGGGAAAGCTCCGTTATGCCCTTAACGGTGTTTCTCATGTTGACCCCGAAACACCTCTTAAGCTCGCTGAGTACTTCGGAGTTTCCGAGAAGGTTTTCAAGTACAACATCATATCTGATGAACCACCAGCCACTGTCGGTGAAGCCACCTTGGCACCCAATGTTGTCAACGCCACTTTCCGCAACTTCATTGAGGTCATCTTTGAGAACCCTACCAAGGTCATTCAGTCATATAACTTGGATGGTTACTCTTTCTTCGCCGTCGCGTGAGTATTCATTCTTTCCTTTTATTCTTTATTTTTGCCAAAAAAAAAAAAAACTTCATGCTTACTTATTTTTATTTATTTTTAACACAGTTAAATCATAATAAAAAATAAATAAATAGATTTAACATAGATTAATTAAGATTCTGATATAATAATCTCTTAAAAAGATAGGTACAATAGACATAAAAAAAAATATAGGTTACTCTACGTCTATCATCACTCTCCAACATCGTTAGATCAGAATCTTAATTAACATTTATTTTTTTCTCTCTTTTTAAAATTCTGATCTAACGGTATTGGAGAGTGGTAGACAGAAAAACATTTGCCTTTCTCTCTCTTCTTGAGATTCTGAGTATTGGAGAGTGGTAGGCAGAAAAAATGATAAGTAGAATAATTTATTTCTAAAAAAAAATATACATATATATATATAGAGAGGTAGGATCCTTTGATACTGATGTTAAAATATCCTACCTCATATATATAAAATTTTTGAGTCTAGTATAAGATTAAGAAGTTTTGTTTTACTTCTCAACCATTAATTTTCTAAAAAAAAATTATTAGTGACTTAATATGTTTGTTTTTGTTGTGGTTATTAATTGGATGTGCAGCATTGAGCCAGGGAAATGGACACCAGAGAAGAGAAAGAACTACAACCTTCTTGATGCTGTGAGCAGACACACCATTCAGGTGTACCCGAAATCATGGGCAGCAATAATGCTAACGTTCGACAACGCCGGGATGTGGAACTTGAGGTCGGCGAACGCGGAGAACCGCTACCTTGGACAGCAAATGTACATTAGTGTGACGTCTCCTGAACGTTCTCTGAGGGATGAGTACAACCTTCCAGAAACCCAGCTTCTTTGCGGAATCGTTAAGGATTTGCCAATGCCAGCACCATACTCTTAAAGAGAGTTTCCTTCTGTGATCAATGTCATGACGCGCGCGCGCTCCAATTAAGCATTCATTGTTATATGATCAGATGAGATTCATTAATACAATATGTTAGCTTTAATTTAATTTGTACCTTCACTGGTAGCTGATGTATCAACCCTTTCCTCGTTGCTACTATTCATTTTCCCCTATCAATTTATATATCTATAATCTCCTTCCTAATATCTTGGTCTTGACTCTTGATTGTGCTTTTGACTTGCAAAAATTATTATATTTGAATTATACGTTGAATATAATCATTTCTTTCACTTCAAGTGAAAGAAATTAATTATTTAATTTTAATATTCATTTATTAAGCGCTAAATTAAATGCATGGTTGCTAAACTATTTGAAATTAAGGATAACACTTTAATATTTCTATAGCATATAAGTTATCTACCTTCATTTTCAAAACGACATCGTTTTAGATTAAAAATTAAAAAATTATAATGATAAAAGCTATTATAACTTTAGAATAAATTATAATTACAAAAATATCTTAATTTTTGCTCTAAAATGACGTTATTTTGAGTTCAATGCAGATAACTTATATGTATTAACTACAGAAAAAAACAAACCTTAAGGATAATGGCCTAAACTTCATTTTCGTTTTTGGAACTTTGTAACATGTAAAATTATACTAATTCACACAATGATAAAAAGATATTTCTACGGCAAGCTCGAAGGTTATTCAAATGCTAGAGCTGTTCATTGTCAAAATTTATTACAGAGCATGATTTTTCAATTTCTAGACATATACTAGCTAGCCGCATGGAAGGGATATGTGGCTCCTAAATTTACATCCTTACACTTCTCCAATTACTTTAAAAATAAAAATAAAAATGAGATCGATAACTATTTTCAAAGTTTTGTACGATATTAAATTCAAAAAATAACACCAAAATTGATACAGTGTTGAAAGAAAATCAAGTCTAAAAATATACCAATATTGTCAAAATCACACCCAAAATATTTCAGAAGTTAATTCAGAGAATACCATATATTTTTCACACTTTGAGATTTTAAGATGGGTTAAACCTTCCTATTTTGATAAACTTATACACAAGGCCTAGGCCTAACACCAAAACCCACATAGTGTGCTTAACAATAATAGGTCGAATGAAAAAATTGATTAGTACGTGGGTTAAACCCAAATTATCATAATCCAGTTTTCATTTAATTTGAATTTTAATAAGATAAATACAGATTAATCCACATGAAAATAATATATCTACCACGAAGACATAAGAAGAAGAAAAATAACAAAAAGCATACAAGCCAAAACAATGGAATAAAATATAATTCGTCAATGATAACGCTAGAAAAATAATCAAGACTATTCCATTGGAATTGGATTCCAAAATTAAGTAAATATAACATAATCAATCAAGAATAAATTTTTTGTTTATTATATTTTTTTATTTATATTCTTTTCTATAAGTGTTGTAAGTTTTCAATATATTCGGTCTTATTTCTCCTTTTATTTTTTTATTTTTGTTGTTGTCGTAAGCCTATTTTCTTTTTTTAAGAAGTAAGAATGGTAAAGTAGGTATATTAGTTTAGTTTCTAACGGTGTTAAGGATGAGTTTGGATGAAAAAATTATAGAAAGATAAATTATTAAAAAAAGGTTCACTTTTTCTGCAGTTATTGCAGATAAATTATCTGCAGTAAGTCCAATACGACGTCGTTTTGGGGCCGAAATCATGATATTTTTGTAATTTTAATTTATTTCTGGGTTATAATAGTCTTTATATTTATAATTTTTTAAGATTTTAATACCAAAATGACGTCGTTTTAAAAATAAATACAAATAACTTATCTACAGTAACTCAGTAACTTATCTCCTATAACTTATTCAAAGCAAAATTATAGGAGATTTTTTTAAAAACAAATTTAAAAAAATAAAATAAAAAATACTGGGTATTAACTGACAACCCTACTTATATAGTTGTCATGAATGATTGCATTTTTTATTTTTGTTAAGAAAAAATAAATAATGATAAAGAGTATTTTTAAGAATAATTATAATTAGAAAATAAGAAATATTTATTTGTAAATTTGTAAATATATTGCTTATATATATGTAACTCGAGATCTTTAAATGAGTATATTAATAATAGTACTTTCAGAAAAACAAATTTTACACCAACTACAAAAATTCCTTCATGATAGTAATATATAGCATGTTAACCAGCACTACATGCTCAATTCACACTTTTTTATTAGGATAAAATAATTAATAATAAAGAGGTTTTGAAATGAGTTATAACTATAATTAGACAAGAAGAAGTATTTATATTTTATACATTTTTTATATTCATATTTTTATTTACCATTTTGCTACCTCAAAAAAATGTTAATTTTGCTATCAGAAATGCTCCTATATACCAAATTTAATTAGGAGATCCAGTCATGGTTTATAAATTAAATAATTCTTTCGCTAAAAATACTAGCGACAGACACAAATCTATCGTTAAATACGTTATTGCAAAATATTTTATAATGGAATATTCATTCCGTTTTAACTAGAGACAAAATCTTTTTTGTCACTAATATAAAAATTTCGTTGCTGATATGTTTTAGATGCTTTCAACGAAAGCATATTTTGTCACTAATTAGCCATGGATTCAGCGATTCAGCGATTTCCTAATGTTGATTGCTAATATTCATATATTATTAACAACATAGCATTGCCTATCACTCAATTATGATGGATTATTCCATAACTAAACATATCAATCATAAAATTAAAACTAGTGGTTAGTTATCATATATATTCTATTTTTGTATGGATATTTGTTTACTTTATGAAGAAATCTGACCTCTAAACCTGAAAATCTTGCATTGATATTTGTGTAGTTTAGTTTCAGTAGATTGCATTAAAAAAATTTATCTTAAAAAAGGAAGATCTGCACACCTGAAAGTCTTTAGTCATAAGATCAGAATGTACGTGAACAATGTTACTCATGTTGAACATGTCTTAAAAGAAGCCTATGTATAGGTTGGGGGTACTTGCCTCCGAGTTGAATTTTAACAAATTTTATTTATTATATATAATTATATAATTAATTATAATTTGATCTGGATTAAAATTTTAATTTAGCCCGGTCTAATATTAAAATATATTTGATGAAGGATTTGAGTAGGTTATATTAAGTTATGTGTTCAATTCCAGCTTGCATCCAAAAAAAAATTAAAAATATTTAATAAGATTAAAAAATCTATAATAAGATTATCACTCATTGACTCTCTTAATTTATATTTCTTCTTCACGTTGATCTCTCTCTCTTGCCCTATTCTAACTTCTAAGGTCAACTGGTCAAGCTCTCTCTCTCTCTCTCTCCAGGTATCATGGCTTTTTTTCTTCTTCCCGTTTTCAGCTTTTTTTCTCTGAGCTAAGCTAAGGCTCCTACCTTTAACCCAACAAGTTTGTAAGAATTTTTGTTATTTCAATTTTTTTCCCCAAAAAACCTATATCTACTTTGTTTTGGGCATAAAGCGATGGAGGAAGGAAGAACATATTATATGAAACTTGAAGCCTGTTTAGATGCATTTCATTTATATGTTTAATTTATCATCACTTTTATTGGTTAATTTATGGCACCGACCTTATTATCATCTTTGCTCTGTTTCTGTTTGTTCTTTTTGCCTGAAGACTTGTGGACATTTTGAACAACAAATTGGTCAACAAAGTATATATAAATGGATTGGATTGGATGATGCTAACTCTATTTGTTTTTTATATTTTAGATGTTCTGAATGAGTGGCTTAATGTTCTTCAGTCAGTCCAAATCCCCTTTGCACTTATTCCTTTGCTCTGTCTGATGTCAAAGGAGCAGATAATGGGCAGCTTCAAAATTGGCTCTGACCTCAAGGTATGGCGCCCTTTTATCTGCATTTTGGTCACACTGGTCACTTATCAGATACCCAATATTGGTTTATATATCTGGTTTGTGATGACAAGTTAATTCATTTTGTACGAAGTTGTTGTCTGTATATGCCTATATTATTCATCAGTGAAAACAAACATTAACTTTTTTTTATAGTTGACAAACATTAATTTAATTAACTAGGATATAATTCAGAAGTGGCCCAATATAGACCTTTTCTTGTTGTAGTTCAGACAGGAGAAAATTTAGAACTGAATCAATTTATTCCTGATCTCTTTTGCAAATGGGGTCTGAATATAATAACCAAGGAACATTTATTGTCCTTTATACATCATACAACCTACCAAAAACTATGCTAGCATATAACTATCAAGTTACAAAAGGAAACAAGATTTCAACATTTGTACTTTAATGCTGTCGTTCTCATTGTACTTTAATGCTAGCATATAACTATCAAGTACTCTAATTTTTTTGTTTTGGGAGAACTAAATCATCTATTAGTGGACAATGGGCACATGGCAGATATTTTTATGTGTAATTCATCAGCCAAGTTACATGGAGATGAAATTATATAAACTCTTGGTTTAGCTTATTTGTACTTTTTAATATGAACTTGTTATGTTTTCTTGTGAGTTAATTATTGTATAATTTTAATGATTCAGGTATGTGAAAAGGAAGCATCTTATTGATGTTAGTGAAGTGTTTAGGGTACTTAATGCTGAGAAGAAATTTCGGATAGCATCTTATAATTGTCTTCAGGTTTGTCATGTCCTTAAAATAGCATATGCTTATCTATTGTTTTTGGATTTTACATTCTTACTATCTTCAAGAAGCATATTATTTTACAATTCTAAGTTTGAAGAATTATATATTTAGGCCACTATTCTAGGATTTTATTAAAAATGTGTAAGAATGAGTTTTTCTTTATAGTATTTAATCTGAGTCATGTTAGTTAAATGTAATTTGTATTTTTGTATTCAGTGTGTTTTCTGACTCAGGTAGCTGTTGAAAAGTATGGGTAAGGATAAGCAGAAAAGTATAGATGTGTTCTTTAAAAAGAAACTAGTCTCTGAAAGTGAATCAAGTGATGCTCTTACGAACATAATTTCTGAAAGTGATGCACCTTCTCATGAGCAACCTCCTTCCAAGTGTCGTAGAATTGAACATACTGATGACATTATTACAGTCAAAAATAAAAATTTTGAACGTGATACAGGCAAACGTAAGCCAATTTGGGAATATTCAGCTAATGAAGTCGATGAGATACGAAGAGCTTATTTAATAGTTGGGTCATATCAACCTCAATGCTCTTATCCATTTTCAAAGGAAAAGCATCCTCGACGTTTTCATGCTTCTTGGTTCAAAAAAATTTCTTCGTGGCTTGAGTATTCACCTTCTATAGATGCTGTATTTTGTTTACCATGCTATCTTTTCAATACAAAGGTCGATGGGCGACACGGTTGGGATACATTCACAATCAAAGGTTTTAATAGTTGGAAAAGAGTTCATAGTGGAAAAGATTGTGTTTTATAAGTCACATGGCAGATGATCCTTGTTCACAACATACTAATGCACTCATCTCATGTGTAGATTAATGAATCAGTCTTGCCATATTGATAAAGTTATGCATGCTCAAAGCTCCCAACAAATTGAAAAAAACAGGCTGCGTGTTACGACTTCAATTGATGTTACTCGTTGGCTTTCTTTTCAAGGATGTTCTTTTAGAGGGCATGATGAGACTATTGATTCAAGAAATAGGGGTAATTTTATTGAAATGATCAAACTTTTGGCATCTTACAATGAAAAAGTTGCAGATGTCGTTCTAAAGAATGCTCCATTGACGGCCAAGTATACCTCACCTCAAATACAAAAGGAGATTTTATATGTTCTAGAAAACAAAGTGCGAAAGCAGATTCGCAAAGATATTGGGGATTCTAAGTTTTGTATTATTGTGGATGAAGCACGTGATGAATCTAAAAGGGAACAAATGGCTCTTGTCTTGAGATTTGTTGACAAAGATGGTTTCATAAAAGAGATATTTTTTTATCTTTATCATGTTCAAGACACTTCATCTATGACACTAAAAATGCTATTAGTAAAATACTCTCACATGATTGCCTTGATATCCAGAATATCTGTGGCCAAGGATATGATGGTGCTAGTAACATGTGTGGTGAATGGAATGGATTGCAAGCATTATTTGTTAATGAATGTCCTTGTGCGTATTATGTGCATTGTTTTGCTCATCGATTACAATTAGCCTGGATTGCTGCCTCTAAGGAATTTTCTTCTATTTATCAATTCTTTCAGAATTTGAATTTCATCATTAATATTATCACTGCATCTTCTAAACGTCATGATCAATTCCAAGCTGCCCAGATTTCAGAATTTGAACGTTTGCAGACTATTGGTGAGCTTGAAACTGGTACAGGTTCTAACCAAGTAGGTACACTAAAGCGGGCTAGTGATACTAGATGGGGTTCTCATTTTTATTCTATATGCAGTCTTCAACGAGGGTATAATGAATCATGTTCAGTACTTGAAAAAATTCGCCGCGAAGGCTCAAATTACTCTCAAAGAGAAGATGCTACTGCAGCGTATAAGATGATCACTTCGTTTGAGTTTATCTTTACTTTACTTTTGATGAAGGAGATCATGGGCATCACTGAAATTCTTTGTCAAGCATTGCAACAAAAATCTCAAGATATTTTGAATGCTATGCAATTAGTTTCAAGTACAAAGGAACTTATTCAAGAATTGCGAGATGATGGTTGGAAAAGAATACTTGAAAGTGTTGTTAATTTCTCTAAGCTTCATGAAATAGATGTTCCAGATCTTAATGCTCAATATATTGAAGGTCGTGGCCGTCGACAGCATGATCAAATAACTATTGAGCATCATTATCATTTTGATATCTTTAATTCAACCATTGACTTTCAATTACAAGAATTAAATATAAGGTTTACTGAGCAAACAACGGAACTTTTATCACTTAGCTCTTCATTAGATCCGAAGAATGGTTACAAAGCACTTAATGTTGATGATATTTGTAGCCTTGCAGAGAAATATTATCCTCTTGATTTTTCTGAGCAAGAGAGAATTAATTTGAATTGTCAATTGAAGCATTTTCACAAGGACATCCCAAAACATCCAGAACTTCAAAATTTATCTTCAATTTCTGAGTTGTGTCAAGGATTAGCTAAGACAGGAAAGTCAAATTCTTATCATTTGGTTGATAGGCTAATTCGTCTTATCTTAACGCTACCAGTTTCAACAGCAAATGGTGAACGTGCATTCTCAGCAATGAAAATTGTGAAAACAAGGCTTCGAAACAAAATGGATGATGAATTTCTTGCAAATAATTTGGTTGTGTATGTTGAAAGAGATATTGCTGAAACTTTTACTACAGATTCGATCCTTGAAGATTTCGTTAATTTAAAAGAGCGTCGCTTACAATTTTAGGTATGCAATTTTTTATTATATTTTAAATTATTTATTAAATGTTATTATACCTATAATTATTATATTTGTGTGTTTTCATATCCTTAGGGCAAGGCTTGATTCATTACTTATTATGATGTGGGAGGAAAATGCAATTCTTATGTTTGAAATTCTTACCGGAAAGGTTAGTGCCTTTATGTTTGTTTTGATATATAATCTTTGATATTTAATATGTAAATTTTTTTGGCCCGGGCTAAAATCAGAGGTTGGCTCTGCCACTGTATGTCCTTATGATTTAGAGAGAAGACCTCAGAATCCATTGGACTCCTCCCCTTAATGGATGGGTGAAAATCAAATTCTAAAGGTACTTGTTCTAAGGATGGCACTAAAAGTGGCTGTGAAAGTAGATGGATGCTAGGTTAATTTCATAAGAAGCTGGGCCATGGAAATGTTTTGAGAGCGGAGCTAGTGGGGCTCTTCTTGGTCTGGAGGTGGAATGTGAGCATGGTATTCAAAATATTGGTCACTTGGAAGGGGATTCGGCTGAGGCTTTATGCCTGATCCAAGATGACTGCAATGTTGATCATCCACTATTTATGTTGATCAAAAGGATCCAAGAGATGGTGAACAGACCGTGAAGTGTCATGTTTTCCCACATCTTCAGAGAAGGCAATGAAGTGGCGAATTGTTTTAATTGGATTGAATTTTTCACTAAATTAACTTTTTTAAAATTTGATCGTTGTTCTCCAAGTTAAAACTCTAGGTTAAAGATTACAGAAAGAGCTAACATTTTAAAAATATTTTCAAAATTTAAAAATAAAAAAAATCTACTTAATATATTATGGTAAAGGTTTTCAATTCCCTGAAAAGCCTTTTTGTTTTTTGAGATTCTTCCTAGCTAATTTTAATCCTAACAATTCCTAAATTGTTATTGAATATTTTAATTTTTTAATAAAATGATAAAATAATTAATTAGTATTAAATTTTTGGACACACACATATACATACATACATACATACATATATATATATATATATATATATATATATATATATGTAGGATAATAACTTCTCGAGAAGTTATTATCTTCTCCGGACACAATAATCAAGGGAGACAAAAATGGAAGAGGTGAGAGAAATAAAAATGAGCTGGGGCCCATCATTTGATGTCTTTTCTGGAAGGATAATAACTTTTTCTACAACAGAACAAGTTATTATCCCTACATATATTGTTTGTTTCTTTATTTTTGAGATAAACTATATTTGTTAAAATAAGGTTAAGTTTTATTATCCTAAAACTTGGGATTTCGATGCAAATTTTTAATATTCAATAATTAAGTAAAAATTTCATGGTCAAAACACACTAATTTATTTAAATATAAATTACATTTAAAAATTAAAGAGTGTTAAAGAGATTTTTATTTATCAATTAAAATTAGATGTTTCTCAAAGTATGTAAATATTTTTCATCCTAAAGTATTATTTAAGGAGTAATTAATATGTAACGCCTCATTCTAGAACAAGTTCATTAACATTACATATGATATTAAGCACAGTTATAATCATGTTGGTTCAATTAAAAATACAAATAAACTTTTTCTTTTAAAACAGTTCAATTCCTTGAAACAATACCATATTTAAAATACCCAAAACAATAATTGTAACTAATACATGATGCAGAAGACTTATACTTTACTTAAATACGCCATACATTCCTTGTAACTTATAACCATGATGTTCCCATAAACTAACATGGCACAAAACTTATCTTTCTTCATGCTTACCACTGAATATGCTTCACGTTTTCTAATACTACGACTAATCTCCTTAACTATTAACTCTAATCTTTTAGTATGTGAAACTAGACATCTAGGGCTTTCTGGAAAGGTAAAATATTAATCATTTGGTTAAGTATAGCAGGATTTATAAACTCACAAGATAGCTGACGAAATTGAACTTTCAGAATTATAACATCAACTTCAATCCTAAACTGGTATTTATATACTCAACCAATGGTTCTAAAATTTGAATAAGTTTTAGCTTTACGTGTTAGCTTCACATAGGTCCAAACTTCACTCAATTTGAAGCTCTATAGCTCGAGTTATGCCAATTTTATTAAACCCATATCCGTGCTGATTCCGGACAGCACGCTTTAGCGCACCCTGGCCGGGACAAATGGCATTTTTAAGCCACTTAGCGCGCTTTAGCAATGGACGCTTTAGCGTGCTCCAACAGACAGAAACGGGTTTAAACTGCAACATTAATGAACTAGGGATGTCAAATCTCATTTCTCCAATTTCCTTGATACCTAATAGACTTAAATGACTACCACATGCCCAACAAACACTGTGGTACTCACATCCCATCATATTCATCAATTTATCTCTTACATAAATCCGTGTACAAGTTTATAATGAGCAATAACATGATTATCAGATAACATCAATTGTCTCAATATCTAAAATACATCAATACATTCCAAAAGAAATTAGCTACTGCGCACATGATCAAAGTCATTGACTATATACAACATGTAACCATTAACATCACAATGATCATGAGCTAAGTCCCAAAACATACATCATATGGCCTCAAAATTTACATATACATACGACGATACTAAATGACATGCACTCCAAAATGACAACAGCAGCAGTATGCATCAATCTATATCTAATGTGGCTTCCTGCCAGCAAAAACTCCTGCACTATCAGTACCTGAAAAGGGATCCCCACAACACTAGGGTGAGATAAATATCTTAGTAAACTAGGGGTCCTTGGAGGATCTCTCCACCCCAGAGTTCACTACAGTGTAAAAGCAATAACCGTAAATAATGCAATATATATATATATATATATATATATATATATATATATATGCAGTGTGTAAAACATATCCATAAGACATCTCTCGGGCTCTCTCGTCATCCTAAGGATTCTTATATGTAAATAGTCCTACTGGCTAGCTAAACTACCAAGTATGAATTACGTATCGTCATGCAACATACAAAACATAGGGAAACAACATCCTATGCCACACCCAGTGCATGCACATACATATGTCAATACATTAAACTACTCTGTTGCAATTACCTAAGCCAATAATAACCATTACCCCATCAGGGCTTGGTGGAACAATAATGAGATAAATCTCAAGGTCTGAAGGCTTACCTCAATTGCTTTCAATCCAACCTTTGTTCACCAACAAGTTTATAAACAACCAAACTTTATATTCACACTACAATCTTACCACCTAAACACCTACACAAAGGTTCCATAAATCAATCACTTGCATCCATGAATATATCAATATAAGTAAATATCCTTTTGGGTCCCTAACAAAAAACATGGTCTCCACTTTAGTCCCTTACAAAAATAAATTAGTCAGTTAGTCCCTAACAAATTCAAAGTGGACCCATTTTAGTCCTTTTGAGGGACTAATATGAGTCTTTTTTGAATTTGTGAGGGACCACGATTTCAACTAAATGGGTCCACTTTGAATTTGTTAGGGACTAACTGACTAATTTATTTTTGTAAGGGACTAAAGTGGGGACCGTGTTTTTTATTAGGGACCAAAAAGGATATTTACTCTATCAATATTCATAAACAATCAAAGCAATCCAACACCACATTCAAGGTGAGGAACTTACCAATTCAAATGGATTAATCAAGTCTCAAATGCTTCCTCCAATGCTTGATCACTCAATGTAGGTCCACTTACCTCAATCATTGCAATCACATGGACACAATCAATCATCCAATCAATCAATTTCTTGGAATGCAAGAGAACTCACAAATCCAAGCATAAATTTTCAAAAATATCATATTATACCCAAATGACGATCTAAACTCATTTCCACCGATTAAATCATCATCTAAACAAATTTTTCGAAGGGCTTAAGCCTCAATTAGCCTCTAAACTACCCCACCATACATGCATATTCATGAAATGAAACTCTAACATATCCACCATCATAAAACTCAATGAAAGTGAAACTTCTTACTATAGATGTTCTTATAATCACCCAAGGAGTTGATTCCAAGCTTTAAATCAACTAATGAGCCACTCTAAGTCTCATTCTTCAAGCTAGGGTGCCACTTTGCTCTCTCTTTTTCTCTCAATGCAAGCCTTCTTGACAGATTATGGATTAGGAGTTGTGTTTTCTTTACAATTCTAAGCAATATTGGTTCAAGAACCAAGAGATTTGGTTGAGAGATGAAGAAGTTACAAAATGGAGCTTTTCTCCAATGGGGTTTTGATCTTGCTGGGAGGAACCACAAAGGAGATGAAGAAAATGGTTTCAAAATGCCTTAAGTTAAGTTTTAACTTTTAGGTAGGTAACTTTCAACTGGGTATAAATTTATCTATCCAGTTATCTTAATTCTCTTCTAAACTTGTCCTATTGGCTCAAAATATTTTTGCAATAATATTTACCAATTTAGTTTCAAGTTTCGGATAAATTTTGCTTACACACATTTTTATTTCAAAACTCTCACTGACTGCACTTTTTTGTCCAAAAGTAGCTTTAATTATTTTAATTAAACCCAATTATTCATACATGCAATTTCATAAATAACACGTTACAGATATTATATAATACATCTATTAAATGCTTCCAACAACTTAAAGAATAAAATGATATATGCATTTCAATATATTAAAGGTATTATTTTCAATATTTTTTTATTCCTTAAGTAATATCTAAAGGCACTTGTTATCCGATTTCAAGTATTAAAATAATAAAATATCTATCCACATATTATTAATATTAAAATAAATAAGTAATTATTAAAATTTATTTATTGAATGTAAAGACACAATTAAACATAAAATATATATTAGTAAGTATCAATTTTACAATTAAAATTGAGTATAATATTATTAATAAAATAAATAAGTAATTAAAATTATGCCATAAAAAATTTCAAAATAAAATAAAATAATTATATACTTTATTTATTTAGATCACAACTAACGTGATATATAATTTTAAAATATATAAAGTTCAGAATCATTTTATTTTGTTCTTGTTTATGTTTAATTTTTATAAAATATGAAATAAATAATGACGGTAATAGATAATTAAAATTTAAGGATTGGATCGACAAAAATTATATTTTATATAAAATTATTAAATGATATAAGAATATTAAGTCTTACACCGATATAATCAATTTCTTCTTTTATATATATGAAAATTTTATTGAAATATTATTACAATGAGTCATATAATTATTAAATTTTAAAATATGAGCCTTTCTATTACACTTTATATAGGTTTGAAAGTATGTTTGAATTAATTTTTTTTAAAATTTAGAAATAATCAATTTAAAGAATTCTTTGACATATTTTGATTGTTTTTTAAAATCAAAATGAACTAATTTAAATGTGTTACCAATATTCGACTGATAAATAACAAACTTATAACCATATATATAATATTAAATACCTCGATCGTGAGCGAAGATAACTAACTTAATTATGTATTTTAAATCAGTCTACCTTGAACTAAAAAAAAAAAAAAATCAATAAACCACACCTCGCTAATTTTAGATGAATCTAACATTTCTTAAGTGGAAACATGACTAATGTGGTATCCATCAATAATTGAAGCATATTAGTTTTGTTAAGATATATATGGACTTAACCCTTTTTTCATTTAAAATTGATACACGTAAATTTAAGTACATGTGGAAATACTTTCAAATTACAAATTGCATTTCTCTTTATTTTATATTTTTGTTTTTCAAAATATTGATGGAGTTAATTAAAACTTGTGATAAATGCATGCATAGCGAGTGGTTGTGAGGGGGATCTAGAGGCAAGTGGATAACTACTTGGCTAGTTTGGTTCAAAATTTCAACATTCTAAATATAGGCACAGTGAACGGCTTTGACAAGGAATGGTTATATGTAAGAGGAAGTACGCATTCCAAGGACCACAAGCAAAGGGTTAGTGAGAGATGTTTTCGGATGATATGAATGGTTAAGAAACACCTTCTGTTATGTATATAATAAACACAAACACGAGATGTTAAACATAGTGCTCTAATTCCTTTCACACTAATATAGAAATTAGCTACAAAAACAACTTTCAAGAGAGTGAAGAAATGAACGCGAAAATGCTTTCCCTCTTCCTATGCCTCTTGGCTGGGACAATAATCTCATCTGTTCATTGTGAAGATCCTTACTTCTATTTCACATGGAATGTTACCTATGGCACCCTCTCTCCATTGGGTGTCCCTCAACAAGTTATTCTCATCAATGACGAATTCCCTGGTCCCAATATCAACTCCACTAGCAACAATAACCTTGTTGTTAATGTCTTCAACAACCTTGATGAACCTCTTCTTTTCCATTGGTATATATATATATATATATATATATATATGAATAATCAAATCTCTCTCATTGTTGTAATTATTAGTCTTAATTTCCTCTTTTTACATATATAATTGTATATACAAAATACCATACAATGCAGGTCTGGAATACAACAAAGGAAGAATTCATGGCAAGATGGTTTACCTGGAACAAACTGTCCCATTCTTCCAGGAACAAACTATACTTACAAATTTCAGGTAAAGGATCAGATTGGAAGCTACTTTTACTACCCAAGCATTGGAATGCAGAAAGCAGGTGGTGGATTTGGTGGGCTCAGAGTGAATAGCAGGTTGCTCATTCCTGTTCCTTATGCTGATCCAGAGGATGATTACACCGTTCTCATTGGTGATTGGTACACCAAGAGCCACTCTACTCTAAGAAGCTTATTAGACAGTGGTCGTTCTCTTGGTAGGCCACAAGGTGTTCTCATCAATGGAAAAACAGCAAAAGGTGATGGAAATGATCAACCACTCTTCACAATGAAGCCAGGGAAGACATACAAATACAGAATCTGCAATGTTGGTCTCAAAAACTCACTCAACTTCAGGATCCAAGACCATCCAATGAAGCTTGTTGAGTTGGAAGGGTCACACACAGTGCAAAACAGTTATGACTCGCTTGATGTTCATTTGGGACAATGCTTTGGTGTACTTGTAACTGCTGATAAGGAACCAAAAGATTACTACATGGTGGCAACAACAAGGTTCACAAAAACTGTTCTTCATGGTAAAGGTATCATTCGTTACACCAATGGTAAGGGTCCTGCATCACCTGAAATTTCTGAGGCACCAGTTGGTTGGGCTTGGTCTTTGAACCAATTCAGGTCATTCCGTTGGAACCTAACTGCTAGTGCTGCAAGGCCTAACCCTCAAGGCTCTTACCATTATGGTCAGATTAATATTACAAGAACTGTGAAGCTTATTAACTCTGTGAGCAGGGACAATGGAAAGCTTCGTTATGCTCTTAATGGTGTTTCTCATGTTGAGTCTGAAACCCCTTTTAAGCTCGCTGAGTACTTTGGTGTCCCTGAAAAGATTTTCAAATACGACACCATTGTTGATAACCCACCCCAGAGTGTTGTTTCAAGCCCTGTCACCTTAGCACCCAATGTTCTTAAATTCACCTACCGAACCTACATTGAGATCATCTTTGAGAACCATGAGAAAAGCATCCAATCCTACCATTTGAATGGTTACTCATTCTTCTTTGTCGCGTGAGTATATATATATATATATATATATTTGTTCATTCAGTACTTCTTAACTTATATAATAATAAATCATGTCTAAACTCATATAAATATTTGTACATGATGTTAATTTGTTATGTTCTATACCAACCAACCAGGTGAGTTTGGTAAGAATTTCAATGAATGGATATTAATTAATTTTTCATAATTTTTTGTTTGATTGAATGAATTACAGCATAGAGCCTGGCACGTGGACCCCAGAGAAGAGGAAGAGCTATAACCTTCTTGATGCAGTGAGCAGATACACCATTCAAGTGTTCCCGAAATCATGGGCAGCAATAATGCTAACATTCGACAATGTTGGAGTGTGGAATTTGAGGTCGGAGATTGCTGAGAATCGTTACTTGGGACAACAACTTTACATTAGCGTTCCAACCCCTGAACGTTCTCTTAGGGATGAGTACAATATTCCAGAAACTGCTTTGCTTTGTGGCCATGTCAAGGAATTGCCAAAGCCAGAACCATACCATTAAGTGAAGCTTTTGTTACGTTTTCTATATTACTACCTTTCTCCCTGTGACCACTTCGTGAAGATGGGATCCAGCAAAACTTTCGAATTCTGAGTATGTGATTTTATTATTATACAGGGGAAAAGTGAAGAATAACATAGGGGTCTTGGAGGATTGATCTTATGTTTTGATCAATCCCTTTAGAAATTTCATTACATTTTTGTACTTTTCACTATTCTTTCTTAGCAGATTTACTACAATTTTACCGCAATAAAATGTACTCTCTCCTTTTCTATAACTATTATGGATTTGTCATAAATATTCACTTTGTTTTTACACACATGTACGCACATGTGTTTTTATATTATAACTTGAAATATACCTAAGTGTGAACATATTTGGTTTCTTTTTATTATAAAGTTGTAACTGGGGCATAGTTTATTTTACAATGTTGCATGCAAAAAATAACACCAAAATCGTTTCAGCTTTCTAACAATTTGCTAACCAAAATATAAATAAACAAAGCAAGTATAAAATTATACAAATTAAAATAATCTCAATAATGTCAAAATCACACCCAAATTATTTCAGAAGTTAATTCAGAGAGTACCATATATATTGTTAACACCTTGAGATTTCAAATGGGTTAAATACTTAAATCCATTTATTAATTATGATAAACTCATACACAAGGTCTAACACCAAAACCCACATGTAAGAAGTGTTTAATATGCCCAATGATAAAATTTATTAATATTTGGGCTAAACCAAACTAATTTTGACATTCAATTAATTTGGATTGTTATAAAATAAATACTGATTCTTTAGTCCCTATTAAGATAATCTATCAAGGAGAAACAAAACAAAAAATACACAAGTCAAAAACAAGTAAATAAAATATAATTCGTGAATGATAATGTTAGTAAAATTAATCAAGATTATTCTATTGGAATTGGAGACCCAAAATTAAGTAAATAAAATATAATCAACCAAGAATGAAGAAGTGTTCAAAAAAAAAGTAACATGTGTCGATGAGCGAAATCAAGCAATAAATTAAAATACTAACGAATTGAACTATAATGTGGTTGTCAATGATTGTATTTTAATTTTTTGTTTAGAAAAAAATCAATAATAAGTGTTTGAAAATTATTATAATTAAAAAATGATAAGTATTTAGTTAATTATCAATATCACATTTATCTTATAATCTTTAAATGAATAATAATATATATTTACAATTTATTCTTTATGCGTAGTTGAGATATTCAAATACGGATATTGTTCTAATTATGAACTAAATACTAACCAATCACTCCTTTATCTTTATCAAACTAATAAAATAATAATATAGGTGCAAATTCGAAAAGGAAACAAGACTAAGAAACAAATAAAAAAAAAATACTAGGTAAAAGATTGAGAAACAACGAATCAGCCTAGGGTCCAATATCATTTAAATTAATGCAATTGTTCCTTGCAAATTATCAATGAATTAGTTTTGCTAATCAGATAAGTTGATGCATAAGACGCAGCAATAGTTATCAGGAGAAGGCTACAAGGGCAAGGGGTAAGCCAGCGCCACTGGAGGACTACAGCTACGATAGTTGAGTTGTTAGGTAGTTAGGGAGTGATTTTTCTAATGTGATGCAGGGCTACAATATTATTCCATGGTCCTTTACTAAAAAAAGAAAAAAAATTCCATTTATACTCTTTTCTATTTTCAAAATTTCATCTCAATCCATTTTTTTTACTATTTTTGGAATGGGAGCTTCTGCTCTCGGAGCATATTAAATGGGCTCGTTAGGGAGGCTGTCAACGTGACTTTTTGACCATAGTGTTCTTAATTACATAAAAAAATATTATTTTTAAACTATTTCAAAAATATGACATTTTTCCTAAACATAACACTAATCTGCCTATGTTTGACCATTGGCTGGCCTTCATACTTGAGTATGTGGCTTTCATACTCAAGTAAATCAAGTGTCATGAGTATTTGTTGTTCCATGCAATATACGAGTATATGAGTCATGTACTTAAGTAAATAAGACCAAATTTTTCACTAGAATTTTTCAACATGTAGCTCTCGAAAAATCATGTGAAATAAAAAAAAAAACTGATTTGGACACCTAAATCAAAAGTTATATCTTTCGAAATTTTATTCTAAAATATTCAAAATTTTGTAATACCAATAAATTTTGTAATACTCACAAAGCTCTTTCTCACATTATCCGAGTTAAGTCCAATATTATAAATATATAACCGTAAAAACTTGTTTGCTCAAATAAGAGACAAATAAAGATGAAATGCCTATTTTATTCCGATAATTTTTTTTTAATCTCTTTACTGATTCATCAATTAATTAATTAATTTTATTAAGATAACTAAGTTGCAACTTCGAATAATCATATGCCAATTGATCTATTTACTTAATAGTGAAATGCATAACCTATAAAATCTAAAACTAAGAAGAAAATTTAAGAGCCGGTGACCCTGTGTTGAGGTCCTTGATTTGATTTGAAATTTTTGGCAACTTGAGTCGCGATTCTTCAATTCATTTAATAATACATGCAACTTTGTGCTGAGATTCTTGATTTGATAAGTTTGGTGGACCTGCTTCAAGATTTTTTATTTGATTTGACAAGCCTGGTAGCCGAAGCTTGAAATCCTTAATTTGATGAGGTTTGCTTGTATACCCTTAAAAAAATTTAAAATAATAACAATAAAAAAAAACGGTTCTATGTAACATACTTCATCTCAAAAGTTAGTGACAAAACTGAAAATATTTCCATATAGGGTTTGGAAGAGCAAGAGCAGTGTTTTTTCTCTCTCTAAATATATAGGCGTGTCTACATGCTAAAAAAGACATGACAATCACTGAAAATTTGGTTAAATGTCATGATGCGAAACTTATTTCCATATGTAATATGTCAACAACCACCATGCATATCATAAGTTAATCAAGCAGTGAACATAATTAACATACACCATGCATAATATGTCGAGTAGTTTCAAGATGCAACCAGTTTATATATTGAATATAGGCACAGTCGCTTTCGAACAAATAGTCAACCATGTATAAAGGCCAAAAAAATGTCAAATTACCACAACTAGGTCTATTCAATGATCTGGATTAGAAACAAACTGCGTCCAACATGCCAATAAATAAATAACAATCAACTAAAATTGGATTTCCTATAAATCCTTGCACTGCCTGCAGAAGCCTGATTTGCTGCTCGATTACTTCCAAAATTCTTCCGATTTGATTCCCTTGCGATTCTAGAACCAAACTACACCAATATATAGATAATAGAAAGACAAATAAATCACTATGCAAAAGAGTGGTAATTAGGCAAGCTAAATAAACATGTGCCTCTTTTAAACAAATTATAGTCATTGCCTTCCAGGGGCTCTGCATCCACTTTATTTTATTTCCTTATACACAAGCTTGTAAGAAAAACATAATCAGTTTTCACTATACTCATAAAGCTCTATTGACATTTTGGTTGTGTTTGATGCATTCTAAGGAACAGTACAAGCAGAACAGCATAGGACAAAATGGCTAAGTCAATGCGATTACTAAATTTTTTTTAATATTCATGAATAGAATAATGTAAAATTTATTATAATGCCTATTGTGTTGAGCATTGATTTGCGCACAATAAAATTGGGATAATGAAGGGGTACCGGGTATTGGTATTTTTCTCATTTGGTAATAAAAGTTTAAAGATTTATGTTGTCCCTTGAATTGCTTATTGCTGAGTATTTATACTATTTTAACAAACCGTTAATTTAATTTTGATCCAAGTCGTAAATAGCCTTCCTCTTTTAACAATCAAACAAAGTACTATTTTTTTGTGCTGTCTTATCCCTTTTTCAGCAAATCAAATAAGCACTTTAGTACTTCAACGTAGCCAAACACAAACAAAGCACTGTTGACATCTAACATGAGACTAACGAAAAAACAGTAAAAACTAAAAATATGGTAGAAACGGATGGACCGATTGTATGCCAAAAAAGAACGGAGTAAAACTAATATATCATCAAATCTATCATTTACATAAACCAAGAAACTTCAATCCATATTAAAAAAATTGCAAACACTCAATAAGCATAAATTATTTCCCTAAATGGTTTTGCGTAGCTTTAGAACCACACAGTTCATTTTACATAAAGTAAAATTTAGAAGTGTAAAGTTTCAGATATGCACACCTGGATTGCTCGTTTTGGCAGAACTGCTGCTTCATATAAACCAAGCAATTCTGCAACCTTCAAGAAATAAAGTAACCACGAGATTCGAGTTTAGGAATCCCTTTTCTTTTTTGGGGATGTCAAACAGAAAAAAATTTAATCTGGAAAAACAAAAGAAATGCATGTCTTAAAAAATAGCCTTTTCAGGTGGAACTTCAAACTCACATGGTTATCTGTAATGAGCCAAAATCAGTATATTATATGCCAAATAGATACTTATGAGTAAATGTGGACCCGACTACTTATGACCAGCATGAGGTTAAGAATCTAGAGTTTATGGAAATTGGTGTCCAACATATTCAAGGGAAAATAAATTTCCTTCCAGATCTATTCAGTTCAGACCAGAAGCTTTTAATCCTATCTTTTAGTTTTTCCACTCTCGGTGTGGATTCAGTTCAGTCAATCACTAGTTTGATTCAGCTGAGTCAAAGTGATTGAAAATGGTCTTTAGAGAATGTTGGCTCTCAGTCGGCCATTAAATGGTCTGACTAGCTGTAAATTCATACATCACTATCTGCATAACAGTCGAAAATAAGGAAAGCAACAGCAATACCTCTCTTAAAATCTTTTTATCACCAACGCCACTAGGTTGATCAAGGTTGGCAATCTCCCACAATGGAATTTTGAGCAAAACACTTATAACATCCTCATCCAAGAATGGAAACCTAGCCTAAAATAATAGAAACAAAAAAAAAATAGAAAAAGACATAGATAAGTAACTGGTAAATTAGCAAATTCAAGATCAATATTGACTTTTGACATGATCTGAACATTACCTCCTTTCCATTATCAGCAATACATCTATCATCTCTTCCTAAATTTCTTTTCCAAATTCTTTGCATATCGAGTCTCATTTCCTCATGTAGCCCCAGCCAACTGATTAATAAATATTACACCGTCAGAATGTAAGTCTGCATGAACATTCTACAATTCACAAAACGTAACACTCAGATAACCCACGAATTTAAATAATATTGTTCCTCTAAGTAGAAGTATATTAAACTACCACATAAAAATTCAAGATGAATCTCCCAAACAAATAATCAATCAAGTGCTCTTAGATAAATATTTTAGAGTGAACCCTATTTTCATCATCCAAAGATACAAGTGTCATCACTTTGGTCCTTCAAATATATTTTTTCCATCAATTTAACCCCCAATGATGCAAAGCGTCATCAAACTCATCACTATGGTCCTCCAAAGACTTTTGACATCACTTTAGTCCCTAAAATTCATGCATAATGTCATCAAATCAGTTCCTGAATTTGGGTTCCATTACACTCATTTCTCTCAATCCAACAAAGAAAGACCAAATTGATGACACTTTGAATAATTGAGACTAAACTGATGATAAAAAAAAATTGAGACAAAAGTAATGATGCTTTTATATACGGAGGAAATTAGGGTCAATATTAATGACAGATGCATACCAATTTAAAATCCAAGCTAATAAAAAGAGAGGGAAAAAGAGTTTTACTAACTACAACAAAGAATCAACGGAATATTCTCATTTGAGTTGAAAAGATATGTATAATACTAAAACATGATTTACCATTACCATAGTAGTACCTTCCTCGTCTATAACTTGTTTTATGTCTCCCGTACCCAGCACACTGTTCATCAGCACCAGAACCAACAAGGAGAATCCTTGCATTGGACTTGTACTTAATCCGTGCATGATTGTCATCATTATCATCTGTATTTGCATCAGACACCCATCCATCACCACCAGATGCGAGCCATAAAGCAATTCCGATATTAAGATCCTGAAAAGATATGTGCAAAAGGTATTTTGAAAACATAGCTACAAGGTTTTCAGTCTGAAATTTCCATTCCATCTGTTGGGAGATTTAAACTGAAAATAAAGTTTAGTTAAAAAAATGCTGAACCCATTCAGCAAAAAGCGGGCTACTGATTCAGAAGCAGAATGCAGGTTGTAGTCAGTGGCCCCAACTTTAATAACTTTCTAGATGACAATTGTGCTGAAAACATTGCCCCCTACTCAAACTGTATATAATTGTCTTTTACTTTCCTTTTCCACCTTGTATGCATCGTTTGTTTGTCTCTTCTTTCCATGAGAAATTTACCAAATAACAGTTAATCTTTTTTAAGACATAAATGAGTGTACGATTTTATATTTCTTATGGCTTAATTGCACTTTTAATCCCACTACTATAACCAATGTACGATTTTGGTTCCCCAATAATTTTTTACAACAATCATATCCCCTAATCAAATTGAAAAAATCAAGTCCCTCTTCTAGTCTATCGTCTCTAATTACTTAAGCTAGTGGCATGACTAACAATTTACATACACGGTGGGATAATTTACCGAGTAGGCATCTTATGGAACTATAGGTGACTTAAATCTAATTTAATCCCTAATATAAATAGATTAAATATGAAATGATATATTAAATATTAAAAAATGATTTTTAAATAGATTAAAGTCACCACTGGGTCCATTAAAATGATTTACTCAGTAAAGCATTCCGTGCCATATATATAAATTGTTAGCCAAGTCAATGGTTTTTTTAATTTGAAAAATTAATGGATTTCATTGCTGCAAATTATTGCAGGACCAAAGTTGCACATTTTTTTTTTAATACAGTTGCACATTAGTCATACTAAAGGATCCAAAAGTGCAATTAAACCTTTTTTCTTTTCTATTTTTTTATGCATTCAGTTAAGTTCATTGCGTTCAAATTTATGTTTTTAATGCTTTTCAAGTGATAACATATAATCTAAAAATAAATATATACAATAATTAAGATTTAATTTATTTCATTGTTAGTAAAATATTTTATAATATAATCTAATTATCTATTGTTAAAACATTAAAACTATTTGATTATTATTATAAATTTTAGGATAATATATTTTATTTAATCTTTAAATATATTTATCACGTTATCCAGTCACTGGTTAAACTACTAAAACTGGTTCAACCTTGAACTACTCTCCAGTATGGTTCTTCTGTTGAACCGGATATTTAAACACTGATTTTCAAACACTAAAAGTTCAGTGCTATAATATACAGTGTCATGTCATTAAACACACCCTAACTCAACATCTGAATAAAGGAAAAACGTGTTCAGAATCTTAAAGAGGACATGCTTTCTCTCTAATTTTATCTTTTTATTTTTCTAAAAGCTAATGTAAAATTAACAATTTAACATTTAAAGATGATACTGAGAAAAGAAGACAGGCATAAGCATACTGTATGATATGCCTTTCTGACAGGCTGACATTTTCTGTTGGTTATTCGAATCAACTTAAATTAATTAGAAATGTTCATGCATTTGACAGAATAAAAATTATAAATTACTGATCCATATGATTAATTAGTACCATATAGGTGTTGGCAGGATTTATGAGTGACATAACATGACTAGTTTCGAACACCAAGTCTGACAAGTCAGCATCAATCTCCACAAGTTTCCACCTGCAGTTACAATGCAATTTTACCTAAACATGACAGATATTATAAAAGATACTTAGTCAAAATTTTCATCCAAAATAAAAAGGGTAAAATTCAATATCATACAGCATAAATTTAAAAATTACTCAATATATACTTGCAGAACAGACTTAAATTTATGAATCGAGCACAATTTATTATTGAAAAAAGTAAAAACAGTCAACTTTGAAGTTTTTTTAACCAAGCAATCAGAAAAGTAGAAAGTAAAACAGGCCCATCGATTGCATACCTTCTGGAAGGTGCAACTCTTTTTAGTTCTTTCAACCCTGCCTTTGCAGATTTTCTATCAGGAGCTAACTGACCATCAAAGCTTATATTAAGTAGATCGATTTCATCTGCCAATTCGAAAAAGGTTAGACAATCAGCTTAAGCAGAAGATTCCTAAAATAAAAGATGTCAACTCAATGAACTTAATTAGTTGTCCAACTCTGTGTGTTTCAACACCAACCAAGGAAATAATTGAGATTTTATCATATAATTAGCATAGAAGAAGGTAAATTAATCTTATTTAGAAGCACTCACAAATTGGATCCAGGCACTGATCCAATAATGCTGCAAGTATCATAGAATCCAGGCCACCAGAGAAAAGGACTGCCACAGGAACAAATTTCTCTTGCCTGATACCAGATACCACCGCCTATGCAATCAAATCCAAATAGTTCCATCATGAAACATGACAAATATAAATAATATTAACAGAATTAAAACAAGGATAGCTCAAGAATAAACTCAAAGTTTGTCCAAGGTGATGGCATCCAAGAGTACGAATTATTTGGAAATCAAAAATTTACAAAAGACATCAAGAAGCAAATGGATATGCCAAAATATTCAAAACACATACTAGAAATCCAGATTCAATCTTTGGAGTATTTTCCAGTCATGAGAATTTCAAAAGATGTCAATCAGAAGTTGGTGGAGACATGGAGTAGTTGCAATTTGCATTAGGGAACACATGAAAGTTAGGATAGTTTGTTTCAGAACCTAATATTGTGGCAGACTTGTAATTTTTATAGATCCAAGTGTTTTGAATAACTATCAACCGTTTCAAATTTTCATGTAAAATATTGAAAAGTTTATTTTATCCCAAAAAAAGAGAAAGAAAGAAATATGAAATAAAAATTGAATAGTTCATATTTTCATATATTTGAAATGTATATAATACATTGAATATTGATATAAATAATAATATATCAATGGAGTATTAAACAATTTTGGATTGATACAACATTTTGTAGGTATGATCTACATGATAAGAACATTCTATCCAACAATAGATTTTGTTAGAAAAGCATATAATAAAATGTCATTTAATGGTGTAAGATCTTTTTGATTTTACGGTGTCAATTGATTCATCCTCGTATTTGGATAAAAGTACAAAATAATTTTGGATTTCGAAATTTCATGGGTATGATCTACATGATATTATGATAGGAATTTACACCAAAGTAGATTTTGAGACAATCATATAATAAAAAGTTATGCAATGGGGTAAGATTGATTTTGATTTACTGCTAAATGTTAATGGCTATCAGTCCGGCTCAGTAAAGCGCTTTGATTCTTACTGCAGCACGGGGTGTAATCAAGCTGGTAGCACTTCAATATGAAGAAACCATTCAGGAAACAAGGTATAAAGTCCCTCGTGTCAATTACAGTAAGACAAAGCCTAAAAGCTCTTATCAGATAAGTCAATCATCTGGTGTAGTCATAACCCGGGAGTGAATTTGACAAAAAAATATATAACGTAAGACTCCAATTCATTCATCAAAAAGCTATCAGACATCCCCACAGCTGAAAATATCATATCAGCAACATACAAACTAATAAGAACACATACTTATTACCCTTGAACTTAGCCAAAAACTATACAAAGGCATACATCTTATCAGCGGCATACAAATAAAAAACTTGTAATCAAGCTTCAATTCAATTACAAACCTGATAGATAGTATACAATGAAGTACGCCGTAACACAGATTCCTTTAAAGCATTTAGCAAAATATGAGCTGGCATTGGCATTGCAGATTGAGTTGAGCCTGCTTAATCAAGACAAAGATCTGTCAGAGCCTAGTAAGACATAAAAGCTACAACAGAATTGCCAAATACTGCTAACGGCACTAGAATGTATGGGAATAGCAACTGAAGTATTGAATAACTAAATGGAGCATTTTGGCACTGTTAAATGTTAATCACCTGTTTCGCATGAAACTTCCTCTAAAGAAGTTGAATGCAGATCATGTTGCCTCCCAGAAAACTTATGACAGGATGCCTGCAGGTCTTCAGGGTTGGGTTCAATGGAAATTCTCTCCCACTTGATAAGTTCATTTAACATTGAGTTTGTATATTCATGTATCTTGACTTCACCAACCAGATATCCATTCGTATTTGAAGCATCTACATGCACACTATATATTCCACATGGTAGCTCTTCCCAGTAACTAAGACATCCTATTCCATTATGTGCTTCACACTCTGCAGCAGATTAACATCAATAAGTACAATCGTTACAAACTTTAATTTACAAAATTCAAGAACTAACATAATCATATAACTAACCATAGTTTTAAAACCCAGACCAGATCAGCTGATTTGAATGGGTAAAAACCAGGAAAACCAACCGGTTTTTCTATCAAACCAGGACAATCAGCTTGGTTTTCATGGTTTTCTTCTTTTTCAATTATTTTTTTGTCAAGCTGGCTGTTTTTAGCCACACCAGCAATCAAACCAGTGACCTAGCCCCCTAATCAATTTTCCCACTATTCCAGGTTTACAACTATGTAATGTCCGGGGAACATAAGGCAACTCTATTAACTAATATTAGAGATACAAAATCAATCTTGCACTTTCACCTAACAGCTTAAACTTTTAGAAGAGTTAGTCCATAATATAGTATCGGAGTGTTTGCAACCAAGTGGTCATGAGTTGGATCCTTGCCACCCCATGCTTGTAAATAAAGTCTGATTTCAGTATCAGGTGAAGTGGGTCTATGCATTGTCCACACTTCTAACCCAAAGGACTTGCTTAAGGGGGTGTGTTCAAGATATAAAATCAACTATGAGCTTTCAATTAATAGCTTAAGGTTTTAGGAGAGTTCCTCCTTGACAACTAAGAACATAGGTTAGAAAGTGGGGGGGAAACATATAAAAGAAGTGGTATTTGACATTTCTTGAAGGACACATACATCAATTAATCAACAGTGTCCATGAACATAAGCAAAACAGATAGCTCAGCATAACTAGTGCGAAGTATGTTAATTTATAGTATTTCTAGTTTACATATCAAAGCAATAAAATCAATGTGACATGAAAGTAGATGGAAAAGGAAACAGGGAAAATCAGAGAAAAAGGGTTTAGGCTACATGTAAATATCTCTAATCTTGAAATAACAGCATTTTTGTCCCATAGAAAAATTCTGCCATTACCAAGCCTTTTATCTTATGTTTCCCAATTTTCAATAAAAAATTCATTAGATTTCCAAAAGTTATCAAATAGGAATGCTGGGTTTAACCCAAAAAAAAAAGGGTAGCTTAATTAAATTTCAAGCTGCAAAGATTGACAGCTTGAACACAAATGATTTGCTTATATTCTGATAGGCCTCAAATATCACAAGTCTATAAAGGAGAGAAAGGCCCAATATGCGAATGGATGGTAAAAACACCAGAGAGGGAAGCGAGGGAATTTCGTCTAAGAGTGAACGCCAAAAATGCCAAAAGAGGAGGTCATCAATAAGAAAGAATTGGAATGTAACAAATTGGACAGCAGGTCCTAGAAGAGGAGGAAAAGATTCTGGAGATATGTAAAGGTACGTGGGGTAAAGGAGGAGGGTAAGGGAGGAGAAGCAGAGGCAGAAATAGTGTGGAAAAAGGAGTCATCTCTGAGCTCTTCCGTAGAGTGTGCACTTCTGCTGCATTTCTTCTTCTTTTTTTCCTACTATCAGATCATAGTTAATCTCTTTCTGTAAGTATTTTACCTTCATTTCCTATCTGTTTAATACCAGTATTTATTCATATAGAAAGAACAAGATGCAGGAGTCATTCAAGCAGCAGTAAATAAGGAAACACGAAATATCCTAAAAGTTTTAGGAGACTTCGTGTTTTAGGCTAAAACAGCCATAATATTTTTTTGTGTTTTTCATAACGCAATATCCAGTTATGTCATGACCATACAGTGCATTCCCCCCAGCACTAAATTACAATAATTGTAGGAACTTTACCACATGGCAATAGATTCTATTCAAATCACTCTACTTCACATAAATGAACCATTACAGCAAGATAATTACAGCTGTTCCATGTAATATATACCAGAAGCCTGCTGAATCGGAGAAACGGGCGATACAGAAGAAAGCAGAAAGGTTGAGTCATCTTCTGTAGGCCAGTGAACAAGTAGGCTCCTCCTACCAAACGCATCTCGGCCAAACCAAAGGGTCCTTGAACTATCCTACAAAAGACAAAGACAAAACACCACCTCTAACACCATGTAGAATCAAAAAGATACCGCAAAAAACTCGGTACACGTAGAAACTTACCACTTGGAGTTACCTGCCAATAGATGATAGCCCATGGTCCTTTAATTGTAGAAAGAACATCTGGAATAGAACTTTCCCCGCTTTTAACACATCGATCAGTTAAACAAGAACCACAGGAGCAACACTTCCCTAGAGTCTGCATGAGAAATTCAGCATCGTTGCAATCACTAGCAAGGTGAAGTCCTCCAAAAATCTCACCTAAAAAAGAGCACAACAGAAATTAAAATCTAAAAATATTGAATTTAAATATCATAAAGTAATATTAACCGCTCATGATGAACCAATACTACAAATGTTGAAAAATAGTATATTAAATTTAACCCAACGGAATACCGTTATACACGAGAATATTTCCAGATGGATCCACCAGGGGCTGAACAAGTGAAGTAATTCCTCTGAGCTGCAAAGTTGAACCAATGAAATGAAGTTTCGCATCGCCATCTATGTTGTCGCATTCTCCAGTATTGACTTTGTTTCCAGAACATAACACATCATCATCATCTTCAATGAAGGATGAGATTTGGTTTTTCCCTGAGACATTGAATTTCAGGAAAACTTTCTTGGCACCTAAGCTATCAGGACCCCTTCTTCGCAGAGCTGCTTTCAGATCATCTAAAGAGAACAACAACTGTAGCAAATGGAACAGTAAAGAAGAAAGAAGAAAAAAGATCAATTGAATTAAATAATAGGAGTTTCGGCCATTGTGAAGTGTTAAGAGTGAGAGTTTGCGCTTACTCTCTCAGTTTGACGAGGTGAGCGTGTTGAATCGAATAGCAAAGATGAGATGTCAATTCGAATGCCTGAGACAATCAACGCAATTCCACACATCTCCCTCTCTGCAACTAAGATTATGCCATTGCCAGCAACACCGAGGTTTTATTAGGGTTTTGATTGCTGGGTTTGCTTGGTGGTCATATCTTTATTTATTCTAATTATTTATGATTTTAACCGTCAGCTAAGGCTTCCGTAGCATAGTGGTAGTGCGTTCGTTTCGTAAGCGAAAGGTCGCGAGTTCGATTCTCGCCGGGAGCTTGCTTACACACACATTGAAAAAATTTAATTTCTAGCTAGACCTAGCACGTATTTAATGTCAATATCAAAATATTTTATGAAAAGTACATTCTGAAGCCAATCGGATAAATTATTATCCCTATAAAAACAGAGCATTCTTGGGGAAATATCTATATTTGATGCGAAAATTAAAGTATATTTATAATTCGAATACATTGCGGATTATATTAATTTTTGTTATTATAATTTTTTTATCTTATAATTTTACAAATAATGTCATTTGGAGCTTACTAGAGATAATTTTATTTTCACTAACTGAAAAAATATATTTTTTCCCTTATATTATTGTATATTAAACGGTAGAAGCATTTTGGCATATTACAAAATTATAAGCTACGTTTTAATCTTTAAAAACTACAATTACATTTTAAATTTTTGGAGCTTTTTTGTTACTAACAAAAACACTAATAAATGTCAATAAAGCATTATACCTAAACGCTGACATTCCCATAAGCGGATATTTTTATTTTTTTTTGTAAAAATTTTATAATGTGAGAATTGTTTGATCCTGTTCTAATTTTTTTTATTTTTAAAATTATTTTGTAGAATAGTTATGGAAATAAATGTTTTCTGTATTTTTTTGGTTTTAAAAATTAAAAGTCAAAACATGAAATAAAAACAACTTGGGTATATTCTCTAAATTTGATTCTAATAACAAAAAAAAAGTTACAATTTTTTTAAATTTTTTTAAAAAAAGACTTTATCAAACAATTTTTTATTTATAATATACATGGAAAATATTGTATACTTGAATATTTTGTATTTTTCTATATGAACCTTTAATCTTATTATATTCTAAAATATTTATTGTTGAGATTTATACTTTAAAAGAAGAAGAGAATTACCCTCACCTTATTATTCACTTTTATCTTTTATTGTTTTGTTGACAAATTGAATTTCTCTCAATTTTTTTTTCTTTCTCTCCCTCTCCCCAAAAAGAATTTTCTCTTCCTCTCCTCAAGTAGAGTTTCCTCCAAAACTCTCTCCCTTTTACTCTTTGATTTTCTCTAAATTTTAAAGTAATGAATAATGTTTCCCCTGACCTTTATTTATAGGGAAAATGAAAATGGTAAATATAATAGTAAAATATTATTTACACAATAATTATTAACAAACATTTTCATGTGGATATATTGGAATTTTATATTTGAAACCAATAAGTTCACATGTTTATGCATTATGTGTTCCAAGAGGGACCTAAGCATGATCATTAAAAGACAATTAACATAAACACAAAATAATAGACTTTACATGCAATATTCATTACTATATATTTTTGTTTTTCTTTTAACTTTTTATTATTATTATTATTGTTTTGGGAATTCACATTTTCTCCTCCTGAAAAAATGATCCTCAAATTTTGATTTAGCTAAAATGAATTATTGTTAAAAAAAATTCTAATTGATCATGACTCGATAGAATGAACCAATTTAGTCAAGAATTCCAAAAGTAAAAAAAGAAAGGGTCAAATTCTATAGACACATAAGAAACTCAAAATATAAAATATACATCTAATTTGGATGTGTATCAAGGGCCAGAATAATAACCCTCTGCTCATTCATCTGCACAATATTGAGTTTGAAATTATGACCGATCATAATCAAAATCAGATATTTGAATCTCTCGTATAAAAATAAAGAAAGTTATAGTCGGAGATCACTATTTTACTATTTCCTCTTGCTTTTGTCTTTGGTGTGTTTGACCACTTGACTCGTTAATGGAATAGGTTGGTACATGATATTGCAATAGGTTCAACAATAAGAGTAGCGGACGCAGAAATTTTAATAAGATGGGCAAAAATGAAAAATATTATATTATAAATAAAAGTACTTGAAATACAATACAAATTTAATATACAAAAAATTGAAAAAAATCTATTACAGAAATTAATATCACTTCATTTACTCTTGCTCTACGTATTTTCATATTATTAAACTCATATATAATTGAATCCGTGCTAAAATTCAAAATAATTTTTTTTTAATGTATGTAATCAAAGATAGTCTATGACTATATATAGATGCAATGATCTTAGGAAGGTGGAAGTTGATTTTACCTAGCTCTAGCATTTTTTATTTTTTCTTAATACACAGCCAAAATCGAAAGGCTAAAGAAGAGGTTGGTAATGGACAAAACACGGAAAGGAGAGAGAAGATGATATGATGTTCTCAAGGAAAAATATGGATAAGAGTGTGGGCAGAAACATGGGGAACTGAAGAAAAAAACGTGTACAACACGATAATTTCACTATCACATTTTTCTACATATATTATAAAAAAAATATTCCCAAATTTTAGAGGGGGCGGGGGCCCACCCTATCCCTCTACTGGATCCGCCCCTGGCTATAAGATGACATTTCGCATGAGATATGAATATTTGTTCCATAGCATGATTCAGAAAAAATATCAAACCATCATAGAAACCATCAATATTCAATAATTCTAATGGTTTTTTGTGGAAGTTCAATTTTTCCCAAGATACAATAATGAAAAATCCTTTCAGAGTTTCTAGTCCAACAGCTATTGCAAAATATACATGCAAGATGCAGGAGAAAATCGTAAATGTTGAATTTACATTTCAGTTGTTTATATTACCACACTTTATAGGCTTTTTCACCCTTTTGCCCCTCATTAATTATTTAATAATTATTTTATCCCTTATTGAAAACTATCTACCAATCAGCCCCTCTTTAATCGATTGAATTGAAGATTTAATCGATTAAATTGTCAAATGAAGATTTAATCGATTAAATCTTCAACTTAATCGATTAAATCTTCCTTTTTATCAGAAGAACAACATTATGTATGGGAGGTTTAATCGATTAAATAGGGAAATTTAATCGATTAAATCTTCAAGTCAATGATTTTTGTCTATTTTGACCATTTAATCGATTAAATTTTTGGCTTAATTGATTAAAGAGGGACAGATTGGTAGATAGTTCTGAGTAAGGAACAAAATGATTATTAAATAATTAACGAGGGATAAAAGGATAAAAAAACCACACTTTATAAGTATATACGTAAATATATATTTACTGATTTATAACTCAACAATTTATATTTCAGTAATTTTCTTTTTTGAAATTTATATTTTTGCATATATATATATATATATATATATATATATATATATATATATATATATATATTCTCATTTATATTTAAGCAAGATTAAAATTCTTCAATTTATAATTACTCTATTTGTGTATAGTAACATATACGTAAATAGTGTTAGATATGTGATAAATATCGTAAATGTATATATTTAATCATTGATTTATATTTTTGTTTTTTTATTGATGTGTTATGCATTTAATTTTTTATTTTATAAAAATTAACACAATAAATTTTACATGATAAATTTCATACGGTTAAAATTTTATATAACTTATATCTTTCAAGATTTACTGTAGTGATGTAATTTCTTTTTTTACTTTATGGCAATGTCAAATTTAATCAATGATATGCTATGAATTATAATTTTTTGAAAAAGTTTACAAAATCCTTTTGGAGGTATTTCCGTATATGTTTGTTTGCTTAAAAAGTTTATGGAATTAATTACTTATAGAAGGTAATGCAAATACATGGTGAGAAAACTGATTTCTTGGGTCAAATAGACAAGACGAGGGAGGGGAATGCCCTTATAAAATACAAAACTCTAATTCATATAAAAGTGCAAGTTTATGAAATGTTTTGGTAGAAAAGGGTTATATATTTGTGATGCTAGCTTATTTTAGTGTATTATGATTTTAACATTTTTTTATTAAAACCGTGAAGAATTTTTCATACTAAGTTATCAATGGAAATATCACACTTCAGCGAAAATCCTTTTTAATTGTTATCTTTTGTGGGATAAATATCTTATAAGTGTGTATTTCCATATTTAGAGGACAAATCGTAAAATAAATGTTGTGGGTTGAAGGTAAAAGTATTATTCAATAAATTTGTATTTTTATTCGGTTAGGAAGTCTTGTAGTAGAGAAGTTATGTTCAGATATGCATATGGACATCTCTCTCTTCGTAGATAAGATTAGGGTTGGCAAAAACCCGTCCTAAATGAGTCGGGTTGGGTTGGCCTAAATGAGCTGCCAACCTGACTCAACCCGACCCGATACAACCCAGACCCAAATGAGTCAGCCCGCAGGTCAAATGGGCCAGCTCGCGGGTTGGGTATTTTTTTTTAATTCAAAAAAATAATAATATGATTGTATTTAAAAATAAAAATAAAAAATAATATGAAAACTCCAAAACTGTCGTACACTCACATCGTGGTCACTCGTCACTTTCCTTAACCCTAAGATTCATCTGCCCCCTTGGATAGTTTGTTCACCCTGTTACCATTAACCTTGCATCTTCGGGTCTATTGGCCTATTCTCTCGACAAACGCAATCCACTACTCCCAAGGTGCAATACCTTTTTCTCTATATTTCTCATCTTTCTTTTTTATTTTTCCCCAATATATATATATATATATATATATATATATGAAAATGGATTCATTGTTCTTCTTCTATGTTGTTGACATTATAAGATTTGTTACTTCAATCTTTTTTCTTTTACCAATCTGGGTACCTTTGAAGAGATCAAAGTTGGAACCTTTTGGCAGTATTGATAATTTTAACAATGTTGGAGAACAAATAAGACTAGTTCCACAAAAATCAATTGTTTAGAGCCAACCCGCGAGCCAATATTTTGAGCTAACCAACCCGCGAGCCAACCCACTGGCATCATTTCCAGCTAACCCGCGAGCTTTTTTTGAGCCAACCCACAAGCTTTATTCCGAGCCAACTCGCGAGCTGATTATCGAGCCAACCCTAACCCGGCTCGGTCGGGCTGGGTTGGATTTTCTGGCTCATTTATTTTTTCGGGCTAACCCTAACCCGACCCGTTTTTTACGGGTTGAATACGGGTTGGGTCGGGTCGAGCCGGGTTGGCCCATTTTGCCAACCCTATATAAGATTATGTTCTTTCACAAATGCTCCCTTACGATAGATTATTAGTGAAAAACTCTTTCCTATACTAGTGAATATAAAAGCACCACAATTCAAACTCATTCCTACCACACATTCATATATAAATGAAAACAAAAGTATAGAAATCCACATACCTCCATTGTCTCAGTCTCCAACTCCACATGCACCACAAGATGGTTTTTTTGTGCTCGCTCTTCCTCAATGACAATCCATGTCAACTCTATCTTCTTCATGATTTGTATATGCCATAAGTTTGGATAAGTAAATTTGAGACAAACATTCTAACTAACTTGATCCCACTTGGCACCTGGACTCATTGCGTCATGTAATTAGGACATATGATGCTTATTATGGTACTTTTTTGTTAGCCTCACCATCAATTAATTAACATAATCAACTTAACAAAAGGAATTAAGTGTGCCAATTTTAAAACAAAGAGGAACTAGAAGCTAAATGAAGATTAAAGAGGAACCAAAACTAAAACATAATATATTTATACGGACTCAAAATATTTAAACCATTTTTTTTTCAAAATTAAAACAAACCCACTATGAAAAAATTTATGCCATTCTTTTATCACCATTACATACTTGAAAATATTATTAACTGCTTCCTATGAAAATGATTTGATTTAGTTTTATTATTAGTAAGTAGTAACTTTTTTAATTTTCAATTTTGGCTTTATTTGTTTTTTTATTGCATAGTTTTCCTTCCTAAGATTATTTCACCATTTTGTCTTGAGTTTAAATTTTTATTGACAACTAAATTTAAATTTTTTTATTACTTACATTATTCCTCATGTGTTTTTAATTTTAATTAACTTAATATATTACACAAGCATTGCTAATTTATATATAGATTAAGTATTTATTCTCTTATATGAGATAAAATGATCTCCTATGGTCCTACAATAATATCATTTTAGGATTGAATTATTTTTGGTAATTATACTTTATTTTTGGATAATATTAATCTTATATAACTTTTTTTCTCCAATCTCAAAATTACATCCTTTTAGAATCACAAAATTATCTCGTCTATCAAAAGAGACACTTAACCATATATATATATATATATATATAGGGTTTAACTTTTCTTATGTTGTAGGATTGTAGGAGAGAAAAAAAGTAGAGAGAAGTTAAATGTGGGTCTCATATTTTATATTAAAAAAGAAAAGAAAAATTATTTGGCACGGAAAACGAATTTGTGTAGGAAAATGGGAGTATCTCATGTGGTATGAGAGTATTATTTCCCATATATATATAAATATATATATATATATATATATATATATATATATATATATATATATATATATATATATATATATATATGAGTCCTTTTTTTCTTATGTTCCAAGAATTTGGAATTGTTCTGCAAACTATATATTTCAGATAACACATAGTTATAATATAAAAATAATAATTTTTAATATTATAATTATGTATTTTTTGGTAACACCCCCAAATTTCTTAACAATTTAAAAAACATTCTTATAATAAATAAATTGTCAAAATTCATGTTTTATACATTTATGGTAATAGAAATATTGTGGAAGTTAATCTAAAACTTTTTTTTGGGGTAATGCTACCGCTGCACCTGTACAGGGACAAGTGCAAGGCTAACTCTATTACATTCAAATAAAATCTAAACTACATTCTTATACATAATATTTATGACTAATTAAAAATCCTTAGTCGTTATTCTTACTGCCCATTGCTTGCCCATCCTTTGTAACCTGATTCAATGAAACTCTGCTCCCGTAGGATCATTGCAGTCAAATAAACACAAAAGTCAACAAAGCTGGTAATCCCAATCAAAATACAATTAATGTAATTAATAATGATTAAATCAAATATCAATATATATAATCAAATCAATATCAATTCCACGTTAATCAAATCAAATATCAATAATAATCAAATTAATATCAATTCCATCATATAATATTTATCTTTATTAAGTTCGTTTAGTGTATTTAGTAAGGATAATTATCAACTAACATATTCAGCACAACATTAATCATAATATTACATAAATGATCAATCAATTAATAATTCAATTAATTACAATTCATCATCTAATATATATATATATATATATATATATATATATATATGTATATATATATATTATTTTATTATTAATAATCTAGAGTATTACAAAGTATCAAAATCAATTTCTAATAGCACTCATATCGCACATATATCGCACAAAATAATTTTATCAAAGGTAAAATTTATATTATAATTTGTTATCTATCACCATCAAATATATATAATTATATATATATTATTACTACTAATTTATAGTTTATTATTATTATTATTATTATTAATTTATTATTATTATAAATTACTATTATTTTTCTGGGATATTACATTCTACCCTCCTTAAAAGAAGTTTCGTCCTCGAAATTGAAAAGTTTAAGCCCCTTAAAACAAAAGTTAGCAAACAACCAAGAGTAATGCATAACCAAGCAAACAAAATAACATAACATTTATGAATTTTAGACAATACAACTTTTATATATATATTTTTATATAATCTTTCATTTGCTAGAAAATTTTAACCAATTCAAGGACAACTAAAAATCTTAAAGAAATCTAATTACTCTTATTAATATAAAATATGTTACTAAAGATAGCATATAAACAATTTAAAGAGCAATATATATACTTCTATTTATAGTTGAAATTTTGGGTTCAGATATGAGTTTCGTGCACTTTATTTTCTTATTCTTCATTGATGTATCTGACTCAGATATTGGCTTCATATACTATTTTTTTTATTCTTGATTTCTTATGGCTCAGAATATCAGTAACTCATTACTGACTCATTATTGAGTCAATGTTGACTCATCATATCTAATCAAATTATGTTTGTTGACCCATCCTAATCCAATCAAACATTACTAATCAAATAATCAAACATTAAAGCATAAGTAATCAATCAATTAATAATTCAATTAATTACAATTCATCATCTAATACATATATATATATTATTAATAATCTGGAGTATTACAGAGTATCAAAATCAATTTTCAATAGTACTCATATCGCACAAAATAATTTTATCAAAGGTAAAGTTTATATTATAATTTGTTATCTATCACCATCAAATATATATATATATATATATATTATTACTACTAATTTATAATTTATTATTGTTATAAATTACTATTATTTTTCTGAGATATTACATTTTTGGAGTATATAATTATAAGAAATATAATTTTTCTTTCAATATTATTATGTATTCCTAGAATATATAATTTATAGGAGAATTTTAAATTTTTACAACATGAGATATTATCCCTGTATATATATATATAATTACACTACTATACTTTTTATAGGCTTCCATATATAATTTATATATTTTGTGCAAGCAAGAATTTCTATTGTAATTCATTTGATTAGACGAATGTCAAGGACCAGTTACAAACTCAACAAATCATCAAGGACCAGTTAAATGTGGAAAGGATTGGGTTCGAATCATGTCACGTCACTGAATAAACGTGCATTTTAAAATTGATGGGCACAGCAATTTCTTCAAGCTGGTTCCACCTCCCTCATCTTCAAACAAAAGGCGCAACGACACGACACGAAAATTAAAAAAAAAAAACACTTTCCCTCCATAGCGTCAAAAGGACCAAAAATGTTGGGCCAGGTCCACAAGTGTCAATAAATAGGGTTGTTGTGTCAGCTACCAAACCAAACAAAACCAAACCCTTCTCCAAGAAAGGAATAAAGAAAAATCGCCTATATATATATATTTAATATTTTTGCCCTTTCACTTCGAGAGAGATCTCACTCTCCTCGCCGCCACCTATTATTCTCTCCCTCTCCCTCTCCCTCGAAATCTCCCTCTCCGTCTACGTGATTTCGATCTCTCCGATCGGAGGTTGACTCTTCTCTTTTTCTCCCCTTTTTTTAAAGTAATGTTCGATGTCGTGATATTTATTCTGATTTGATCGGTTTTCTCTCTCTCTATTGTTTTAAGTGAAAACAGTTCAGTGCTTTATTGTTAGGTGATATTGCTTTTTGATGATTGATTAGGGTTTGGTTGTTAATTCGCTATTCCGGTATTTAGGGTTTTGAAATTAAAAGGTTTAATTCGTAGTTTTTTTTATCAATTTTTGAATATATATTAATATTCCCTGGTTTATCTCAAAGGCGAAGATTTCATGTTCTAATGCATTCATGACACATGGCGTATTCATATGTATTGTCTTTATGTTACTTTTTCTGAAATCAAGCTGTTTGTTTTATTAGTGGAGGGCTACGGCTAGTTGCATTTTGGTCGTATTTTCTTGAACTGTTGTTTATTGTTATTGTCTTTATTCGGGTTTTGAGAATGACTTAGTATTTACCGTTACTTGAATATGTGTGTGTGTGGTGTTGTAGAGATGGCAGCATCTGATGCAGCCCCAACCCCTCAGATGGTTGGCAATGCTTTTGTGGAGCAGTATTACTCTATACTGCATCAAGGGCCAGACCAAGTTCACAGATTTTACCAAGAAGATAGTGTCCTAAGTCGACCGGAAGAAGATGGTACCATGACTACCGTTACTACTACTGCTGTAAGTGCAAGCAATGGGACTAAATCAGTAATCTTTAATGTTTTTTAAAATTATAAGAAATACATTCACTCGCTGAACTATATAATTGAAGATTTTGCTTATGTTAAAGTTGTATATATTCTAAACTATTTGTATAATTTTTCTTGTCCTGGGCTGCTAATGCTGTATTAGCGTCGCATTTTTTAATTAAAAATTAGTGGTCAGTTGTTCAAACATGACTCATTAAAAAATTCTATGGAAAGCAGCTTAATGAGGATTATGTGCTTTTCAAGAGAAGTGAGGAGATGGCATATCATTTGAAAATCCTTAGTAGGTATCTTTTATGTTAATTGCATACACAATCAGTCAGTTGGTAACATTTTTTGAAGCATTTGAAATTAGTTGCGTCTACGATGAATAATTATCATTCATATTCTTCCAATTTTGTGCTTTATTCTTTGTTTTTGGTGGTAATTAGACTATTGCCATATCAATAAGATAAGAAATTGATGAGGATCAGTGGTCAGATTTGGGGGGGTGGACCATCTAAGAAGTGTAAACATTATTGATCATTATCTTATCTGTAGAATTACTTTATTAAAATGTTGTGTAATGCTTTTGTATATACTAAATCATTTATTTTTTGCTACTTCTCAGTGATCACATATGTTCACTCTTTCCTGTGTGAAATCAAATATTTGTATTATATATCTTATGTTCCGAATGAATTCATTGTTACCGTCCTGTTGAACAATTGGTCTATGAGAAGATAATCATAATTGACATTTATGGATTTCATGCTACTGGCAATCTTTTTTTACTTCCCGAGCTCATGTTTAACTGATTCTCTTTTATGGGTGGACAAATCTAAGTGTTTTTTTGTTTTTTAATTTTGTTTTTTATTACTTTGACTATGCTGTATTGGAACAAATAATTTAACATCTGCTGATATAAACGATCTTACTTTGTTTTGGGACAGGAAATTAATAGGAAGATACTCTCTCTGGATTACACAAGCTTTAGGGTAGAGATTCTGAGTGCTGATGCTCAGCCATCATATAAGGATGGGGTAATGGTTGTAGTGACTGGCTGCTTAACTGGAAGAGACAATTTGAAAAGGAAGTTTACTCAGTCATTTTTCCTAGCTCCACAGGACAAAGGCTTCTTTGTCTTTAATGATGTTTTTAGATATGTTGATGAGTATAAGTCAGTTGATATTGATTCTGTGCCAGCAAATGATGCTGAGGAGAGTGTTCCAACAGATGCTTTTACCTCAGAGCCCGGTAATTCTTCTATTTATATCTTCTGGTTAATAAATATATGTTCTATTCCTGTTGATTGTCACTTTTTTCATCTATCTTTTTTACTTATCTTGTTAAAAGTTTGGGTTTGAAATTTTGCTTGTAATTGTGAATATAGAGCCCAATCAAGTTCCTGAAGACATTCCCCCTAGTCAACCTGCTATTGTTGATACTGACACTAACGTCAGCAAAGAAGTGAGTCAACCACTGGAGAATGGAAACGTATCAGTTACTGAAAATGTGGTTCCTGTTAATCATGTTAAAGAGTCAAGTCATCAGGAACATAACTCTAGCACTGAGAAAGCTGCTTCTAATACACAGGAGGATGCTCCAAAGAAGTCTTTTGCATCCATTGTAAGTTTTCTTTATTTATTTATATATTTATCTCTTCCTTTCTATTCTTGTGTAGTATCCGACCATATGTGACTTTTCTGGAATTATTTGATTCAGGTTAATGCATTGAAAGATAATGCTGCTCCCTTCCATGTGAGGACTTCCCCGGTGAAACCTGTAGAACAACCACGTGTAACTAGTGTGCCTGCATCTGAAGCACCAGCTCCTAGCACTGACAGTCCATCAGAAAAGAATAATGAGAATGGAGGTGGTTTTCCCATTCTTTGACTAGTGTGGTTAATTATGAATGTAGTTTATTCAAAATTGTCTCATTGGAGCAGGATTTTCTTTTGTAACTTACGTAATTTACATTCCACAGGTAAGGCTTATGCAATATTTGTTGCGAATTTGCCTATGAATGCAACAGTAGAACAACTGGACCGGGTGTTCAAGAAATTTGGGCCCATTAAACGTGATGGTATTCAAGTTAGAAGTAATAAGGTTAGTCTGTTAAAAGACTTTCTGTGATGTAATTTACTGAATGCACTTCAGCAACTGTAAATATTGATGTAATATTTTGTCCTCCTTTCCAGCAACAGGGATCTTGTTTTGGTTTTGTGGAATTTGAATCTGTTACTTCAATGCAAAGCGCACTTGAGGTATTGATATGCCCGATATGTCCCTCTTTAGTAGCTAGTGTTTCTAATTAGATTGTGTATCCTTTCTGTTGATTTGCTTGAGTTTCTTGATGATAGTTTTTTTTTTTTACATGCTCTGTTTATCCACGCTAAGGTGATGTGGATGATAATTGCATATGATGCCAAACTATTTGGTGTTTTGTAAACTTTTTCCACTTTTGGTATTCTTCAGTTGTGTTTTTGCATAGATGTTATATTGTTGTGGTTCTAGGTTTTGATGAACTCTGCTCAATTAATTATAGAGAAATAGATAATATATCTATTGAACAAGTGCCTGTTGGTGGGTTATTAGGGTTTTGTGGCATATGTTGGACAGCATTGTTTCCTAAGGAATAATTTGTGAATAATGGGAAGAGGGAAACCTACTAAAGATTGTGATTATTTTTTGAAATGCGTAGTTATATGTAAATTTGTGATGGTTAACTATATTGGTTTCTTGCATGTTGTGTTGGAAAATATGCCGTGTGCTTGATCTTCTCAACTCTCATAACTTTATTGTTGTCTTGGGTGAGAGCATTCTATAAGTGTGGAAGAGTATGGTACCTTTTGTAAGCGATTACAGCTAAAATTTGTATGAACTATTTCAGGCTTCTCCTCCTGTTACATTGGACAACCGTAGACTTTCTATCGAAGAAAGGCGAGGTAAGTGAGCTTTGTTCCTCTCATCCACATTTTTGAATTTAGTTGGCAGATTTTGTTGATTATTTTCCATGATGTCTATGTCTTTGACTAAATTATGCTCTAAATATGCTGTGTAATCGTTACTGGCTTCCTATACAACTTCACTAAAATATATTGAAATATAAGGTAAAATTGCCTGGCCATTGATTTGTGTGCTTTCAGGTTCCTTTGTGATATTGCAGGGACATAATGCCTGCTCATGGTGCTCTTAACATTGTGTTATGTAAATTTTTTGAATAATGTCACTCAATATCACGTGTATTCTTGTTTGTTGCAGCCAATAATGATCGTGTCAAATATTCATCTGGACGAAGTGGATACCGAAATGACAGAAATGATAACTTCAGGGGCCGTGGCAACTTTGGTGGCAGTCGTGGTGGCTATGCTAGTAGGAATGATTTTGAGAAGCGAAGTGATTTCTCTGGCCGACCTCGAGGTGGCAATAATACTGGGCGTACCAGCAATGGAGAAACTATGCCAAGGAGTTATCAGAATGGAGGAAAAGTCACTCGTCAACCAGTTAAAGTTTAATAAACTTCTTCCTTTTGTTGGTAATTGAGCTACAGCGGAATTTTCTTATAGGTAGAGCGGCATCTAGGGAAATTGGTTTGCATTTGGATTAGATAATTTTTCCTTTTTAGCTGTTATGATCCTTTTACTTCCTAGTTCTTTGTTTAAACAAAGTGATTCCCCATACCCCTCTCCCTCCTTTTCTGTCTTTTTTGATATCTTCCAATTTTGTTACGTTTTGTATCTAATTTTCTGGAATAATTGTTTTGGAATTGGACACAATTATATCATTTATTAAAATCTTTTTCCTATGTTCCTTGTCGTTTGTTTATTACAAGTTAAAGTCAATTTATATAGAGAGAATACTAGTCTACTAGATGTGTAGTTCTTACCCCTTTTTTTTCCAGGTTGAAACGTTCTTACCCCTTTTACTTATTCAAAAACTACCCTTGATTTATATTTATCAGGCGGATGTTGTATTAATGTCAATTTTACATTGTTAATGGCCTCGATGATTGCCCTCAGAATGCAAGATAATAGATTTGTAATTTCTCACAAATTTTTCTTACCCTACATAAGAAGAAATGGGCATTGTTGCTGAGCTAAAGGAATTGAGCCAATTCCTTCTTAGGAATAGGATAGAGCTAACTCGGTCATATTCATCATGGGATTTGTCATTGCAGCCGTTTATTGAATTTTTAGGCTAGCATTATTTGTTCAACTTTAACCCATCCTGACTTGTAATCAATATATCATGATTAATTCAGAAATTTGAAGACATTTTTTTTCATATAGTTGTTAGATTAAAAGGATAGTATTATATGTACAAAAAGAAGAAGAAAAGAATGGTATTAGAATGTAAATTTGTAATTTCCTCTACTACTATTTATGTCGACGTCTTAACAATAAATGTAAGACTATCCAAAACATCCAAAATATATATTATTTTACCTATTCACTTCATTTCAAATCACTGTATTGTGAACTACTACTCTTTTATCTTTTCCAAAATTCTTGATCGTGATAGGTTAGGAGGAAAATAGATACCCTGATAAAAAACGCAAACGTTCTTCCACTCAATTCACATCCTCACACATGGGAAAACAAGCATTCCAATTTAACTAAATTGCTGTGTGCTGCTTCTTATTACTATTATTACCGGAGAAATTTAATTTACGAAAATAATAACTGTTGATTGACGGAAATCAGCAGTTAAGATTATAGTTGTAAAAGATTGTAAACAAAAATAAGTTGTAAGTATAACTTTTCTCTTATTATTATTATTATTATTATTTTTGATTTCTTTACCGGATTTGATTATTGGGCTAATCCGATTCGAATCGGGCATGATTAGGGGCGATAAAATACTTCCCACGGGCTAAACAATGGGTTTTGCTATTTCTGACTTTGCCACAATGGATTTTAACTTGAGACACGTGCTCCTCCATTACAAGTGAAGTGCTTTCTTTTTCATTATGCCTAAACAATGGGTTTTGCTATTTCTGACTTTGCCACAATCATGCTCAGCTCCTTGCACTAGTTCAATATTCTATATCTATGCTAAATCATCTCGAAAAATATCCATCACCTTCTTGTCCCAATTTTCACTAGTTACTGGCGAATACTCAATTGTGATGATAAGTGATAACCACATCCTCGAGGTTGAAGAAATTTACTTGATGTTCCGCATTCTTTTTAAAACCATGAGATTCAGCATTACTATGCCAAAAAAATGATTAGACTTATCATTCAATGCTTAGTGGTTTGGCTCATTAATTTGTAATTGAGTGCAATGTGTGAAAATATCATCAATTAATAATGACTTGTATATTTAGAGGATATTCCAACTTTCCAAGACTGTTTTTGTCATCAGGGGTTAAGGTATTGTAGACAGACTTATTGTGCTTTTTCCATATAGTTTTCTTCTTCTTTAATGGAGTCGATTAAGTGGTGACTGGTTAGATAAATATTTTTATAAAGTATCTGCTTTTAGTGAAAACTTAAGAATGGCGAATTCTCTTGTGACTTTTTCTATAGATGTGATGTGAGTAGGGGTGTGCATGGAGCTGTTTGGTGACAAAAATCGAACCGAACCAGTTTTAAACAGTTTGATTTTTAAACCGAATTACTTTTTTAAAAAAATCGGTTTGAAACCAGTTGCAAAACCGGTTTGTGATTCATAACCGATTTTGATTTAAAACCGGTTTTAAATCAAAACCGGTTATGAACTATAAACCGGTTATCAAGTTTAAAATCGATTTTATAATATATTTTTTCCTGTAAAAATTCAAAACTGATTTTTGATGAGTTATGGACAAATCCGGTTTGATGAAAAGTTGTTCCATGATATTGATACATGTTATTTCAGAATGTAGCTAGAATTGGTTGCCTATTATTTTCATAACCAGTTTTGATTTAAAATCGTTAAAATCGGTATTAAGCGGGTTTTAATTCAAAACCAGCTTTAATTCAAAATCGGTTATGAATCATAAACTGATTATCAAGTTCAAAATCGTATTTTGGTTAAAGATGCCATAATTACTGTTATAAAACCGTTATGAAACAAGAGCAAGTTAGTCAGATTGCCAAAAGTATTTTTTTTTTTGGATATAATCAATTACTAAAACAATTCCAGGCCATGAGTATTGCCTATGTAAAACTCGAATATGCTTAACAAGTAAAAAAAACACATGGATTATAATTACTGGACTAATTTAAAACAGTTCCATTCGGGTATTCCACTTTAATATTAAGAGCCAAGCTTTCCATGAGAAACTGCAAGTTGGAAATGTTTATTTTTGTCTACTTTATGAGTTTCTTTCGAAAAAAAAAAAAAAAGTATGTAACTTTTATAAATCAGAGGAGCAAGATGCGTACTTCTCAAACTAAAAAACAATCTTCTTTACTAAATATCATTGAGGCACAAAGAAAGTTAAATAATGGTGCTAAATAATTAATTATTTATAAATGAAGTAGAGCAGTTTGGTTATGGATAATCATGAATAACCAATTATTTTTATGATTTGGTAAATAATCAATTTATAAAATAAAATACAGTTTTATATGAAATCAATTTTTTTAAAAAAATCAATTTTTTAAATGTGGAGCAATTTGGTTATGAATTGATTTAGTTCTTTTGGATATTTTGAACATCCTAGATGTGGGTTTGTGGTGGTTGCTTTTTATCTACCCAACCTATCCAATTGTAATAGCATTGGTTCATTGTTGCTTTGCACGAGTAAATAGTTATTTTCACAATTTGAAATTTGAACTATTACCTCGTTTGGAATAATTGCAATTCCATTTTGCCACTATGAAATGTTACAAAATTTCTGAACTCGTCATAATTTAGTCCTCGTCCCTCTCTTTAAACATCCCGTATGTGCATAATAATAAGGTAGGATTTGTTAAACATATTAGAGCGGAACAGAACATAACACACGAATTCTATTTTTTCGTTAATGTATTTTAAAAACATAGCAGAATATAGTTAATTGAAAAAATGATATGTTTTGATTCCGTCAAACAGAACAAATTTTTAATGTAACATTTGCATTGAGTACTCAGTGCAACGGTGGTATTATAACTATATACTTTGGGGAGTACGTAGCAACCAAAACCTAAAAAACAAAAACAATCTTATGGTTTTTTAGTATATAAAAATGAATAATATATCCTTTTTGCTAGCAGTAGGACTATTATAGACCAGTCTAGAAAAAGTACTAGTTTTAGATCACCTCTAGAGCTCGGCTAACTTGGAGAATTTTTTTTTTTAATACTATAATTATATTCTCCCGGAGCACATAGTTAAAATACCCCCATTGCATTGATTGCAGTAAAAATTTATTCCATCAAAAGATGGTAAGAATGTAGTGAATCATCATTGTTGCTTACACTTTTAGCAAGACAGCATACTTGGAATTTGAGTAGACCCATCAAATGTATGTTTAAAGAGTGGCTCAACTGTGTCCAGTTTAAAAGAATTACAAGCTTATTTTGCAGATTCATTCAAGAAGTTTAATTCCATAATTCAATGTAAGTATCCCTATATTGTAATTCCCACCATTTTTTTTTGCTAATCTTAGTAGTTTACATAAGGTGTTGGAAGTGAAGATATAGTGCTTGGTTGACAATGTAAACTCTAAAAATCATAATTAACAATGGAAGCTGGAAAATTTTCTCTGTCTCTAGCCTCTCCAAGCTAAAAATTGAGTAATTTCTTTAACCATAGCATCTCTTAATTAGAATTTTTCTTCAACACTAGTCTTTTCCAACTAGAATATCTCATCCTCTCAGGGTTTCACAATAACATAATAAAACTTCTCAATTAAATCCTCAACCCTAAATTTTTTAATTTTTTTTTGAAGAATATCATATCCCTTCAATCTTATCTCGGAACACCACATCCTTTTTGTAATATTCAAAAAAATAAAAAAAAATAAAAAAAATAAAAATTTGACGCTATCAGCGCCCAAATTGGCGCCTTTGGCGCCAAGTGACCAAAGAAAAAAAAAAAAAGAGCGACGCCAGTAGCGCCAAAATGGCGCTTTAGCGTCCAAGAGTGCCAAAATTGGCGCCAGTCGTGCCAATTCTTACGCGAAGGGAGTCGATATGTATCAGACGAGGATATGTATCAGACGCCGTTTGCGTCAATGTTTACGCGAAGAGCGTGAACGAATAAATATATGTTTACGTATATGTAAAATAATAATAATAATAAAAAAATAAGGAATTAAAAATTTAGATAAATGTATGTAATATATAATATATTAATAATAAAATAAATAATACTAATAATAATATAATAATTGATAAAAATAAGAATATGTATAAATATATTGCATAAGGTAAATAAAACGTAAACAGGTAACGTGGAGCCATCTGATAAACGTTTAAGAGAATCTTTCTAGAAACGTAATACGTGGTTAGTTATCTGAATAGTAATGATTACTTAGTTACTAGTTACGTTCGAATCTAACGAAATGTAACCGTAAGCAATTTTCTTTGTATATGTATATATATATACATCGTTGTGCATAAGAAGAAAGAGAGAACAATGAGAAGAAAGAAAAAAAAGAAAAGAGAGAGATCAGCGAAAAGAAAGAGAGAGAGAAATCAACAGAGAAAGAAAGAAGGAAAGCGACGAGTCAGTAACAAAGCAGAAGGTAATATTGAGAGGTTTAAAAACATTCCCTCGTATTCTTTGCAATCATTTTGGGAAAACGATGTTTAAGTTTAATACCTTTGTCATCTTACCGAACTCTTTTCTTTATAT